CCAAAGTGATTCTTAGAGCGGAAAGTAAACTTGAAAGTTTTAATTTAATCCTTAGCTTTACCGCCTTTTTCGTTTATGCCTCGTACAAAGCCGAGTTCAGACAAAAAAGAGCAGTGAACAGAAGCATTAACAACAGCATATTTTAGTCATCAAGTTGAAAATGATTTACTGCATTTGATGCAAATCATATGACTTATTTAATCTCTAGGTCAAAACCACTTTTTAAAACAAATTAAATCGAGCTTTCATTTTCTGGCTGGAACCATCAAAAGCATAGTACATGCAAAGCTGACTTCAGGTGAACATGCAGGCTTCCATGGCTTTCGGAAGCGTCTTTCCCACAAGATGAAAACAAGTTATGTAATTTTTATTTTCCTCAATTTTCAAAGAGAAAGCTCGAGAAGTTTCAACAAAGAGGCAATTCACTTTGCTTGTCAAATTTTTCTTTGGGCCACGCCGATGACGCTATGGTGTATCGTTTCATCCTAGTGAGCCGATAACCAAATTAATCACAAAAATGACAGTTCCCTTTATTGTGATTGATTTCAAAAATCCTATTTTCCACTAATTTACTCGCCAAGTTGTTATTGGACGGTTTCTCAACAGACTACGATGTGAAATTTGCAAATTTCTTTGTGTCAAAATTTTACATCTGCCCTCGAGCCATCACTTCTCGGCCAAATATTGATTTCTCGGACAACACCTTTGCCGTAGACATTATCAGCCGACATACCAGCCGCCTGAAGGCGTTCTTTCTATGTTATAACGCTCCATTTAATTTTCGCATCGCGCGTAAACAGGATATTATGTTGACGTTTTTATTCTAGCTGGACAGCATTTGAGATTAGCTCTTTAATATCACTCTCAATCGGACTCTACAAAAAAGTTCTTTTTTCTTCCATCTAATTTTTTCGGAGATTTTGCGTCGAAACTTTTACGCTCTACTGGAACTTTCAGTTACAAAAGCTTGCCTGTGAAGTCTATTTGAGTAACCATTATGTTGGTTTCTCAGTCCGTACGCTGCCGCACAAACAAAAGAGAAGTAGGTCATATCAATCTTTTGTCTCTTTCAGACAAGCATTTATAATTATATTGCACTAACCTTTCTGATCCACTGCATATCGTGGGGAACCAATATCTCCTCTCCCACAAGAGCGAAATATTGTTTGTTTTCCGAGGCCTAAACGTGCAGGCTGAACGTAGTGACTCTTAGCAGTTCCAAAAAATGATTCATAGAACGAGAAATAACCTTGTAATTTTGATTTTAATCGTTTTTTTGGCCGCCTTTTTCCTTTACGCTTCGTACAAAGCCGAGTTCGGACAACAGAGAACACAGACCAGAAACAACAACAACAATATAGTAGGTAAGTAAACAAGTTGGAAACAATTTACGGCATTTAATGTACAACACATGACTCGTGCTCTCAGCGTTTTTAATCAAGAACACTCCCAAAACCAAAACCATTTTGAAAACGAACTTTGAAGTGAGTTGTAATCCAATTTAAATTGTTCTCTTGAGCCTGCGAAAGCTTAAAAACTCGAAGGGTCGATTTAAGGTCAACACGACGACAAGTACAGAGACGTTCTATCTACACGTCCGAACTAAGCTGCGATTTTTTTATTTTCTTTGATTTCTCAGACAGAATAAAAGGTATAATGATCCGCTACTTTTAACAACAATGAAGGTTTTTGTCAAAGTTTGTTTAAGTCCTCTCAGCCAATTCGATAAATCCATAGCGTGACGTTTCTTCCCAGTAAACTGATATCCAAATATTCATAGGGGGTAAGTTTCTAGAAAACTGTGATGCTGTGTCAGTAAGAAAGTGTTACAGGGTGATTCCTTTTTATCGACTGAGTTGATAACGTAAATTGGCCACTGTAAATAGTTTAGAAGCTGACACTTCGAGCGTTAGCCCTTCGTCATTCGCTCTGACGAAGGATTAACGCTCGAAACGTCAACTTTGAAACTCTTTACGGTGGCAATTTACGTTATCAACTCAGTTGACAATACCAAATTACCTCGACATACAAATAATTTGATTTTAACAACTGAGTTCAAAATTTTGTTAGTGGATAATAGGTAGTCGGCAAGCCAGTTAGTCAGTTAGTTAGTCAAGATAGTTTGGTCATATAACTGAGTTGACAATTTAAATTAAAAGGAATGACAAGGACTCATCCGATCCAGTCGCTAGTCAATCCAGGAGGGAGGGGTGACTCCATTGTTTCATATCATGAGCCGGCGTCGAATGATCACTGCCAGTATGACGTCACTTAGAAATATATGAAGCGCTTGTTTGGTTTGCTCAGTTTAGCGAGGGACGCCATAAGTAGTTAGCTACGACAAGGTCAATATAAGCTAGATTGCGTTATTATTAACTAATTTGCCGTCCATGCGATAGGTTTGTCAGCGTATCTACAGTCTGTGAGTTTAACTGTTTGCTATTTCGTGAACGTGATTGTGTGTAATTTCATTGATTATAAAATTTCAGGGAAGTCCGCTGACCGCCATAATGATCCGGAGCGTATCAAAACTAACGTCTTTTCCTCTGTAAGCTTGTAACAAACCGACCCAATAAATGGAGGTTTTTTTCCCCTTATTTTATGAGTTTGTACCACATGTTAATTAGGGTCAATCTAATCGGTCATTTTGCTCATCAATCCTTTTAAGTTTAACGGTGTTACTTCATTAATCTGTATTGGACAGTGGTGAGCCACGTTTTTCTTTTCGGCTTGTAGATCTTGTGTTGTAGGAACTCTGTGAGCTCCTCTATTTGACTTATCTTCGCTTGTGCTGTAACCTGCTGATTGCAAGTGTTGTAAATTATTGATTGCAAAAGGTGTGCTAATATGTGCTGCTGGCTCGGTGATCACCGAGGGCTGTTTATATATTTTGTTTGTTTTGTAAATTTGTGATTGCCAAAGACTTGTCTATTATTTAGTTGGTTTGTGTTGTATATGTGACCTCCTGTGTATATTTCCATTTTCCTGTTGTTGGCTTATTTTTTGCCTCTCATTGGAAAATATTTATTTATTTTAAAACATCAATAATCGATTTTAGTGATATATGCTGCAAAAGAATCAAGAAGTAGAAAAAAAGTAAATTACATCCTTAAAGTAAATAAAAAAAATGAAAAATTACAATATTCTTAGAGGAATGCAAACAGAAAATACATAAAGTAAACAAAATATAAGTTTTTTTCTTTTTTCAAAACACTGAGCAGTCAAACCTTTTATTTTTGTTTCAGCCTTCCCATTTACACTCCCCTGATTTTTTTGGAAAGTTGTATACAGGGTTTGTTCAACCCTTTAACCCCAAGAGTGATTGGGATCTAATTTCTCCTTAAAATATCACCCCTGAATCACACTTTCGGGTCACAAGTAAAGGAAATGATCACCGACTAAAGGTATTGATTGTTAAACAAATTCTCATCATCAGGATATGAAAAAAGTTATTGAGAACAGTAAGGAGAATATGTATACTGATATAAGAGTATAAAGGGCTGAGCAAATATTGAAGTACTGCACAACTATATCGTGATTGTGTATTTGAGACACTCTTACTTCTCGATGTTATCACTTTGGAATCTTTTTTATTTTTACTTTTTCATTTTATAAACAGCCACCATTCAAATTTCCAGTTGCGGGCCATTTTTGGACTTTAAAAAGTTCAAAATTGTTCTATCCAGAATGATAATCTGTTCTTGCTTTTTATGACATTTTGGTAAAATTATGTGCAACTAATCACTTCATATTAGAACTTAAGATTTAATCTACTTATGTTTACTCGGTATCAGCTAGACCACATCAGTCCTGTCATACATTTCTTGTGACCTTAGGTGCTATAATGGTGATAGGAAAAAGCTTTGATAAAGGCTCAAATACACTTTAGAAATACCTCTATTGCATTTTTGTTTTAGATTGCTGTTGTGTTTTTATTGTACAAAAATTGTTGAATTTCATCATCCAAGTTTTCTATTCAGAATGACGATTTGGTAAAAAAAAAGTTGGTGACAACTGTCTTTTTTTGACATAATCAGCAAAGTCCACATATTTAATATTGCAATTGAGACAGACTTGAAATTTCAAGTGGAGAGTTGATTTAAGATAACATGTAATCCATATTTGTTATCATGCGGTGGTAAACCTTTATGTTACAATCTACCTTTGATTTAAATTACTGAAATACATTTTGCGTGAGAAGAGGTATGAAATGCTGTTTGAAAGGTTGTGAAAATGAGGCAGGATCTCAAAAGTTTAACAGCATAAAATAAAACACACCCCTCACGACTTGCAATCTGATTTTGGAATTCTTATGAATTGAATATTGGAAATCTCTAAATGCGTGAGTGTGTGACGTCATACTGGCAGAGGCGTCTCAAACAATGTTTACCTTGTAGACACCCCCTCCTTCCTGTATAGAACAAAAATTTATCTTGGAAATCGGCATTCTTAATCACCTCAGTATCGAACGAACGCTTTTCATTCTACCAATTTTTTTAGATTTTCTCGTTACCATGTTCCCAACAATAGCGTAGCTCCATTTCCTGCATTTAAACACAAAGCAAAGCCTGTAATTCCTCCATTCGCTCCGACGAAGGGCTAACGCTCGAAACGTTAGCTTTGAAACTCTTTACGGTGGCCAATATACATTATCAATATTTATGATATGTTTCCATCGACAGAAAGAACACTACAATCCTGTAAACTTGGACAACTACTTTATTAAACGACGAGCAATATTCTTATTTAGGAGCGACGCCACTAGACAATACAGTGATTATTCTCAATAAACTTACTTGAGCCCACTGCAGACTATGACTTAGCACAAACACAATTGGTCTCCAAAGGTCCTTGAAATGAACAATCTCCACAGTGGGTCTCTCTCAGTAAGGCTTTCCAAACAGTCGGTCACTCCCGACAACAACAAATATTAGTACTACACGACTGAGTCCTTATAATACATCTGCAAAGTGTTCTAGAACACTCCGGAAGCTTACAACATGAGTATTTTTAGCATTCTATATCTGAATTTCTAGATATTTATCTTAGCTAGAGTTATTATCCATGATAAGACCAAATTATCTTAATACACCCCCCTACCGACGAGCACCACAGTTTGAAACTTACCCCCTCTATTAAGTTAGTAAGTCGGTTCAGTTTCATTTGGTCATTTGTCTATATTTAGAATGCAGTCTGTAACGAAGGGTTAACGCTCGAAACGTCAGCTTTGAAACTCTTTACGGTGGCCAATTTACATTATCAACTCAGTTGATTAAACCATATTATTTTGGATTGCTTATACTTCAAAATAAACTGCGATATCTGGTCTATCGTAGGTGCAGTAATTAGTCAAAATGCTGTTCTATTTCAAGCGCATGCCACAGAAAAGACGACAGAGAATTCATCTCCAAAGGTTTTCATTTATCTCACTCAAACAGAGCAATGTCTTCCTCCAACCTTGGCCTCTTCCTCCGAGATCGGCGACCCCGAGACATGTAACTGTGATGTCATAGTGCTAAGCTTTAGAAGAAAATGCCAAGTGCAAAAGACGCCTCACATCACTTATCTGTTCGATCCCAATACTGGATGGGGAACAGGACGAAATGTGCTGTATTTTGCTGTGAAAGCAAGATTCCCGAGATATCTTTATTACATTTTTCTGGATGACGATGTGGTGCTTCGTTTCAATTCATTCGCTCCGCCAGAAATGAGGAGGCATCCACCGTTTAGAGTCTTCGAACACTGGCTTCTTGATTATGAGCCTGTTGTAGGCGTTTTGGATAATCAACAGCATTATGGGGCAATCTGGGCCATTGAGAAAGGTCGGACAATATGTAACAAGACGGATAGTCCCCTTGTGATACCAACAGTATGGTTCGATGGTCTCTTTAATGCATATCATTATAAATCTATTAAGCATCTTTTCCCTTACCGCACGCAGTATGAAAAAATAAGCTGGTGGTCGCTGCATAGGTACATGTTTACTGCTGTCGAACTGATTTTTCGAGGTCAGGCATTGATGTTTGTGCCTGTTACAGCGGGTAATCCCGCCCATCGCTCATACCCAAAGTCTTTAAAGGAAATAGACACATACTGGAGAGACTACATCGACACAATTCGAGAGGAAGCTCCTCTAGTTTACAGAAATCAACCCTTATTTGAAGATTTTAAGCAGAATCTCGAGAACTACGTTATCAACACGAAAACATATTGCATGAATGTAACACGTCATCAATCTATTAAACCATACGCTCATTTTGATAGTCAGACAGAAATGTAGTTGAGGAGGTTAGTGAAGAGATAATTTCTAGCTGGGCTTTCAGTCCTTTTTTTTTTTAATAATACACATAAAAAATTACTCAGTTCTAATTGGTTAAGATAAGTGCAGTTTTCAGGTAATTCAATGCAGAAGACTGAGGGTTAATTCAGTGCAAAGAGGTAACAAACCAGATATTCTGATTGGCCAATACTCAAAGAAACTCACAGATAGCCACTCAAATGCGAGCCGTGGATGTCGCAACATTTGGATACGCTGAAAATTTGCGAGCGAAACAATGGCCGGCGTTTTAAATAGATTTTCTTTCGCCACCGAAACGACAACACAGCAGCTGAAAAACAGCTCTAACAACGAAAACCCTGTAAAAAGCACTGCTTTTTGGTTGTCGGTTTGGAAAAAGTAGTGTTTAGAGACCCAGCTTAACACATGATTATTAGCTTTGCTAGTACATAATTATGATGAGCTATCTCGTATTTTTTTCATGGTTATTATTATTACGTAATCAAATTATTTTTCTCGTGCAATGTGGAATAAATAAGCACATGTTAATTTTTTAAGACCACAAATTGCACTTGCCCTACGGGCTCGTGCAATTTTGTTAGTCTTTGAAAAAATTTACTCGTGCTAATTTATTCCAAATTGCACTCGAAATCATGTGATTGCCTATACTTATTTTGTCTTAAGTCTGGGCCCAATCCAACCCGCTCACATTTTAAGCGACTTTTTTGGTAAATTTATTTAACTGTAATAGTCTTCAAATTTGTCACTTGGTTTCAGAAATAATGATTCCATGTAATAGAAATAAGAGACACGTGACTGCCTCCCTGTTTGCTTTTAAACCGATTGGTACTATTTAATCTGAACATAGCGAGGATATATAAAGCAGGGATTCGCTATGGCATGCACGATGTTATTATACGTGCACAATTATTGAATATCTCCTAATTAAAGTAAATTAATACTTTACCGAATCTGAGGTGACTCTGCAACTTTTGTTTTGACCTCCATTTTCAAACGGAAATGAAAATCAACTCAAAGGTCGCGGAGCCACCTCAGAGTCCATTAAATTATTAAGTAATGAAGGAGAATCTACATTTCCGTCCTTGTCTATTTTGGTACTGAAAACTTTTATAACTTGGTGACCCACTGACCGCTTCACATAGTCGAACCTCTAACCTCTGATGACAGTCGGTGTACGTCATACCAATTCTATGGGCCCTGTCCACTCTTCTACGGGTATTTTTGAATCCGCAACTATCTTGAGAGGGATTTTTAAAAAAATTGTGTTCACACGCATCGTATTCGAATCGTTTTAATCCTTCCTAACGTATCCGATACGTATCCGGATATCTCGAGGCTTTCTTCAACGGTGCATGTGCACTATCAAGAAACTTGAGTCTGTGATAAATATAAGCAGCATTTGTGTTTGTTTGTATTCGACATGTGTTGCTTGGAAGTCATGAAGACTTACTACGAGAAATATGTCACAATCAGGATAGAAACAAACGAAAGGCAAAGCAGAGTCATTCATTTGGACACATGATGAAGTCGAGTTAGTGCTCAAAATCACTAAGAATCAAATCAAACAAAGTACTCTGGTATGTGAACCTCTTTCTTGAGCTATATCCCTTGCCAGAAGATGCCTTGTCTATTGGTAAAGATTATCTGTGCGAAAACGGATTGGATCTAATATCGTTACGTCAGCGTTTCCAAAAATATAAGGATTCGGCCGTTTACGCGAGGCTGTATTCAATGCGGATTTTGGAAAAAATCCACTCTGGGAAGCGTTTTTAAATAGGATATATCATCCGTATTCACCGGATACACGTGGACGGAAGGCAAAACCGCAACGAAAAGTTTCCGATTAAAAAATATCCAGATACGTGTGGACGGGGCCTTAGATGAATAGAGAACATTTTTTTTTTTAATATTTCAAACAAGTTAAGTATGAAATTTCTAGGTGCAACATAACATTGCACTTCATGTCATTCTTTCCATAAAGATCTGTCTCAGTGTTGTATAATAATACTTGTAGATGCCTGTAAACTGTTGGTGAAGCAGCAAAAGAGACGTCATCGTGTTGACTTCTATGAGACGTCTACTTTCCCAATACTAATACTGCAATCTGTACTTGCGATGTCCGTATCAAAGGGGTTCGACTGTGACTGTGAATATATGAAAATCATTTATGTGAAATCTGGTTTGAGAGATGAATATGAAAGCGATCCTCACAGTAATGAACACTACTTAAGCAATAGTGAAAATAAGGCCTGAAAATAAATTCAGGCCTGTACGGGATTTGAACTCATAAACACCAATTGCTTCCTCTATTAATATAATTTACAACAAAATTCGAAAGCACCTCACCTACTATACGAAAATGATTATTTTCCTCAGGTTCAGCGAATATTGTTGAAGAATTCCCTCGAGTTCGTCTCGGGGATTATATAACAATATTCACTTGGTCGTTGATGAATAAATGATAAATTTTAATAGGTCTGGATAGGAGCACATTCAATGGGAGCAACCTACACTTATTCATCAACTTTATCATGCTAAATTAAAACTTTCCTTGTAATTGCATCCACTGTTCTGTTACTATTGTTTGTTTTCTCCAATCAGCATTTTGTTATACACTTATTCAACTTTGTACTTTGTATAAATCAGAACTGAAGGTGACAGAAGAACTGTCGAACCATGTTTTGAAAAATTGTCGTTTATTTTCTTAAAATATTTAATACAGATTGTATAATAAAAACAACAACCTTTATTTGGCGAGAAAATATGCTCATTTATTCGATGGACGTGAGTGTTTTTCCGTGAACTAAAACACTCGTCGAATCGATGCGAACACTTCATCCGGGAACCAAGTAGCGTACTTCTTGTATGTAACACTAGTGCGATATTGTTAGCTGCACTTAGTCGTGAGATATCGTTCTTGCCACTCGAACATATAAATTCATATCTTCTCGCCACCGTGTAATATTCTCTGTCGAGAGATTATAAACTGTTAATATTTTCTTGCTTTATATATTTGCCTTGGACATTATCTGTTCCTCGAAGCTCACAGTTATCCTCGTGCTTCGCTCTCGGAAAACTGTTCCCTTCTCGGAACAAATAATGCGCGTTAACAAATATCCGTCCATAATTTCGCACCAAATGAAGGTTATTGTTTGTATTTCATATTAGATTTGCGGCAAAGTAATGAACCTAAAATGAGTCGAACTGCTCTGAGAGACTTATGAGCATTTGTGTGCGGCAAAAACTGAGTTTTTCTTCGACTAATCTTTGGCTGGGGAAACTCACGATTCGAATCATATATTTGCCTAAGGCTTAAATAGTATCTTTCGTGGAAAAACTCAACTCTTCTGCACTGCAGTTTAACAATATTTTGGCGTTTCTTTTATTTACATAACGTGACCAAGACAAAAGCAACTTTCATAAAATTTGACCCACTTTCAGTGAGGATTTGGCTTAATCATATTCACCATAATTTTTGGATATCACATATAAAAAAAAGATTCGGTAAACATGAAGGAAGAACCCTGAGAATTATGCAAGGGTTCCCACTTACATATCCTGTGAGGACGAAAATTTCAAAATGAGTAAAACATGTGGTCCAGTGACATAACTTTTTTATCACGCCTCAATTCTTTTGGAAAAAAAAACAAAACAAAAAAACAGTTAAATGTTTGTGTTTTCATCAGGTGAATCGGTACATTTGAAATATTTTTCAAGGTGTACCTCAGTTTTAACTTCTGATTTTATTTTGGATTTTTTTTAATTGGTTATTTTAAACATTTGTACCATTTCATTCTCAGATGAAGAATTTAAGCTTGAGCCGTAACAATGAATAAAGCTCTATTTCAAAATATTAGCTTTCAACCCTTCAAATTGCCTGAAATCTAACTATCTTTTGTCAAAACAGCTTTTAACCGCCAACCCTCCGACATAGTCACGTATGGGTAGAAATAGAAAGAACTGCTTAAAGAACTAAACGATACCTGCTATTCAATCGATCTTCAAGCGACATTGAATGCCTATTTGGCCATTTTTTCACGTCATAAGTTTGTTTTTTTTTTTCTAGTTTTCTCTACTGGCGTCGACATGTCTTGATTCTATACGCATTATGACTGTATTAGTTTCACAATATCGAAAGAGTACGCGCAAAAAATTAGAAGTATATAATCACGGTTGAAAAGTGTAGCTTTCTTTCATACTCGGCTACTCTGTAGGAGATGGCTATTAATCGTTAAATGAATCCAATAAAGAGACAATAAAACGAATATTTTCGACATCTTTGCCAAAAAAAATTAAATGCCTTATGTTGATAAGAGGGCATTCTAAAAACCGTGAGTTTGAAAAAGACATGACCTGCCCAGATGTTAACAAGTGTTAGTTTTATAGCGCAATTAGCCATGGCTTCTTGTAAATTGCATTAAAATTAACATCTACTTAGCCTTTTAGGGCAAGTCTGTTTTAAATAAGTGATTTTTTATTCATTGGAAATGACGAAGATCTAAACTGAATATTGCGAGTAAAACCAAACAAATTAGACAATAAATACGAAATGATGTTTTTGTTCAAAGCTTAGCAGCACGCAATACCCGACAATTTGCGACAATGTGGTCCTGAAGGAATATTTAACTCAACTGTACTGACCATCTTCATCACTTTACTTTTTCATTTGCTAAAAATACCGACATGTTTTGAAAGTGCACTGCCGTTGGACAGTCTTGGGGAAGAACTTACATCCTCGTGTGAAAATATATACTGTTAGCTTTTACAACAATTTAGTGTTTTTATAGCGATCTCAATTAAGGGGTGCAGGTTTCACATGAACTTTCAATAACTAAAACATGTTTTTGAAAGTGAGGAATGATCGATTGATGTACAGAACCAATCCGCCTGTCATAAAAATGAAATTACAGACTTTATGCATTCGGTAAGCTGTTTTTTTTTTTTGTTTTAGTGAACGTATTTCTTATCAGCCTTCCTGCTGTTTCATAAGTTTGCCATATTAATATTCATCGAAAAGTTTTCATGGACACAAATTGAAAAGGCAAATGTGATTTTTCTCTGTTTTCAAATATTAGTCACTGTCTTAAATACTGATACTTCTCTGCTTCAAAAAGTCGTAGATTGGGACTACTGTGTGTTGCTGATGTCTTTTTTTTAAAGAATTGTTCATGAAATTTTAGAAATTGCCGTATGAAATGAAAAATAATATGATAACGTCGATATCAACAGTTGAAACTAACCACAACATTGAAAATTCAAGTTGAGTGAAGCTCATAACACAGACATGAAACACTGAAGAAGAAGAAAAGATGACCTTTCTTAAAAAAATGTGGACATCGTTTGTGGAACTAAACAATAGTTACGCAGCGATAACTTACTAATATCTCCGAGTTACGTAGAGGTGCGTTTTCTTAAACATTACCATGGTTCAAAAAGACAACAGTGCCACTTCATCGGCAGGCGAGAGCTGAACCGAACAAGTTCTAAATTTTCTTTAATCCAAAGATGTGATCAAAGGCCACCTCTTCATTCAGCGATATGACAATACTTAATTAGCTTAAGGAGTAATTACTTGTTGAAACCGGCTGGATGCGTTGAACGTGGCTGTACCTGGTTAATCGAAAAAAAATAATAATAATAATTGCCGGGAAAGAAGAAAAACAAATAATCATGCTTATTTACAATGAGGTTTTTTTATTTAAATTTTTTTTCGCATAGACAAATGTATACCATTCTCTGAGGTCTAAGCAGAGACAGGTTTTGCTCAAAGGGTACTCTTCGTTATTCTCGGTGGGGGTGCACCTGTGCGCAGTCCCACTTGGCTCCCGTATCCAGACCTTCCTCTTAAAGTTGTACAACCTTCGCCTTGTTGTAGGACCAAGGTCAGCAATATTAACCTGAAAATCAAGCTCAGATGATACATTTTGGCTCATTTTTTTTTCTTTACCATTCATTTGTAGTTCACTTAACACCTGTCGTGGTTCCCTTGAAAAACCATTTTGGATTCAATAACTCAGTCACGTTCTCTACCTCGGCCTTTTTAAGACCAGCTCAAATAAATCAAAATCCAATTGGGCGACACATATCTATCTAGTTTTGGTAACGGTCATAATTTATCGCCTTGGAGGGGGTTTTAGGTTGGGAGAAAGGAAGGAGGGTGGGGGGGGGGGGGGGCTGGAAGATTTTGTGTTGTTGTGTCGCGATACAATTTAACTAGTCCCCTCATGAGACTCTGCAATATTTTCATGATTTCCCTCATTGCCAGTTAATCGGCAGTCAAGTTCCTATGGTCTCCCCATTCCCTCATTTCAATTTGTTGGGGACGACTGCTCTTCCCTCCGTTCCCCCTGAAAACAAGTGATCCTCCCCCCTCTTTCTTCCTTCCTGTCTTCACTAGTGAGCTAAAGGACTAAGCCAGGGGGGAGGGGGTTGGGTTGACGCGCATCACCCACCTCTCGCCCAAATTGTCCCCATCAGGATTTATTTAGCTTATCATGTTTTACATCAGATTGTCTCGGAAGAAAAGCTCTACGGCAGGTCAAATGGATGTTGTCTGACCAATTAAAATAGATTTCGCTAAACCCTTTACACCCTAACATCAGTATGAATGTTCGCCATACTGTTCTCGATACATTTCCGAGGCTGCCGCTGACCAGGAGAATTTGTTTACATGTCATAAGTTTCTCTCGTTGGTAATCATTTTCTTTGTTCTCGTGTTTGATTCAACTGAGACACTGTTGGGAGAAATAAGGTGTTAGTCACTTGCAGGGGTGAAAGGGGTTAACCCTTTCACTCCCAAGATCTAATTAGTAATTCTCCTTACTATCTGCCATACAATTCTTATGATGTTAGTTCAGAGAATTTGGCATTGGATCAACTAATAATCCCATGGTTGACATTCTTCTCTATTCTCATCACCTGCCTACTTGATTTAGTATTTAGGAGAAATTCTGTCTTGGTCACTTGTGGGAGTGAAAGGGTTAAGAATATATACAAAACTGTGAAAATCATCAATAACGAACCACTTCGTGACCACAGTACTCTCCATTATGTAAACCTTGGCCTTATTAAGCTTCCTGACATGATTAAGTTAAGTACGAGTCTACTATTTTACGATCATATTGTAGATAAACAAAATCATCTAATTTTGCACTTTCTTTTATATCTGAGATCCACGATTATGCCACCAGAAGTACATCTTTGCAGTACCTGAACCCTAGACGCATCAGAATAAATATGAGGAGATTCTGTCCAACATATCAATACGGGAGAAGCTTACTATTATGTATTAGTTTTCTGAGTACTAATTAATATCTGTATATCGTGTGATTCCTATTCCCTCTCTTATATATATGTATCGCTTTGATATTGCTGTATGAAAAAATGTAATTTAGCGTAAAGGGCATCTAATTAGCTTGCTATATTGGGCTCCTCTCCATTTCTTTGTCTTGTTGTAATTATTCAAAGATTTTGATTGTTGAAATGGAGGAAATAATAAGAATAAGTATCTATTAACCAAGAGGACTCTCCCCAAAGAAACGCACGATTCTGCAAGCATTAAAGTCCGCCTCGTTTGGGGTTTGGGGAAAAATCAATTCATAGTTAGTTTGTGTGGGCGAAAAGTGTCAGTGATAAAATTAAACACAAATTACCATCACTAAGAACTTCATGAACAGTCATTAGCAGACCTGACTGGCTAAAGTTTGTGTGGACACCGTATCTTCATACTCGTAACATTACATTCAAACGATAATATCTTGATAAAAACGGTGGGAAATCTTTCTTAAATCCTACTCTCGTTTTCTCTCAAACTGAAAGTATTCAGCCAGAATTTCTATCAACGTTTAATTATGTCTCAATCCGAGAGGGGGTCAGCAGATTAAAATAACCATTTTCAAAACATTTCATCGATCAGAGATGAAGTCGCCTTCTGTGATTGATTACTCATTCTGTAATAAATGACACATTCCACGCTAGCCAATCGCATTAATTACGTAAGGTCATATTATTTAATTGCTCTTTCATAATGAGCCTCCTTTAAGCTTTGCTTTCTCCGCAAGTCAAAACAACCTCCTCACTATCGGAAGTTAATTTTTATGAGCTTAGGATTTCTGGTTGCTGACTGAATCTGGTAAATTATTTCAAGCGAAGTTTCATCGGAGAGAGAACTGGTTATTACCGATGAACTTTTGCTCAAATGTTTCTATGGAGTCCGTCGCCTCATCAAAAGGGCACACGCCGAAACTGAAATTGTATCACAACCCATAACAAGATAACAGAAAACACTATCAAACACGACAGCAAATATTTCTTATATTATAAGTATCTCTTCACCGCTCGGCTGTCCAACGGTGCAGGTTATTAAAAATACACTAAGTGGGATTAACTTTGTGCTAGCCTCGGGCAAGCGGCTACGGTTGAAGTAGAATTAGTCGGATAAAAGATTTCCAATTGAAACAATTAGTTTGTCGCACGTTAGACAGACTAATTACTGACAAGAGTAATTACTTCTTGACAAAATAAGTGTTCACTTCATTCGCGCAAGAAAACAGCGAGTACAACTTTGAAACCTTAGCAAAATGTAATATGCGTACATAATCCCAAGTTTGTTTGCGCGTCAAAATTTTATTGTTCAAGGGAAGTTGATGGCTTGATAGACCTGAAAGAAAATAGCGGCGTATTTTTCGCGTATTTTTCATGTTTGTTTATAATTTCCTGCGATTGCTCAAACGAACATCTTATTAACGCGAGCGGCTTCTCGCCTCTACTAATCATTTCTAATTAGGAGATGATATTAATTAAGAGGTTAATTACATATCAATAGAATTTGACAAGTCGGTAAGAAAGTCGACAATACATGTTAAACCTTTGCATCGATGCCGGCTTAATAATGCTTTACAAAGCCCTTGAGAAACACGCAAACATTTCACTAGCAAGCTCATGCCTCTTCTGTTGGAAAAACAACAATTCAACGTCCGCTAGAACACTTCAATTTAAGGCTATTAATCTCAAATGAATTTCCGTTGCTCTGTATTACTTTCATTTCCTGAGAAGGTGACAGTCTTTCGCGCAAACTAACGAAGTCGGCTCAAGAAACGCGATAAAGAGCCATAATTGCATTAATCTCCTTTAAGCTAGCCTTGGTTTAATTTCCTCTTTTTGCCAAGACGCGTGTATAATACTAGTATCATTGCTAGAATTTCCATTTCTTCATCTTGAAGCAGATAAATATTTCATTTTTTATCACCATTTCCATATCTGCGGCGGTAATGATGCAAATCGAGTCGAATTTTTCAACATCCGAAAAATTGGCATGAGTAGAAGTGGTACTTAATTGTTTCCAATTGAATGTTGCCATTGAAATGTTATCATCATTTAATTGCTCGCAGATCCTAATATCGGAGGCCAAAGATTCACAGGAGTGTTCACCGGCCTGCTTTCTAGTGAGAATGAAATGAAGGAAAACAAAATGAGAGGGTAGGCCCACGGGCAAAAGGACCATGGTCTGCTGAAGATGTTGAACGGTTTGAAACACTCTCAAATGTTGACATGAAGGATGAAAGCATGCTTAGATACCGAAGCTTACAGCCCGACGAAATTTTACGGTAACTCTCTTAAATTTGAGGAGATAACTCAACCAGTTATTTGTATGTACTCTCAAAACTTGACAACAGCGAAAATATTTGTTGATGTTGGTGACGAGCGAAGAAAAGCGGTGTTAATTAAAGAGACTTCTTTGGCCGGCGCTCGCAAGATGGCGGCAATTACGCCCAATTACTTCTCATCAAAAATGTGTAAATTTCATTATTTCGAGTTTTCTTTCTGCCCATATTATTTGCTTACGAAGATGCCGAGTCTAAGGATAAATCTACCAAAAATTTTATTTCTAAGAAAGTCTACATCACTTTGGCTTAGCTGTCAACCCAAGGTGAAGCTGCGAAACGCAAAGAAGGAATAATTTGCCGGCTCGAGCAGTTTCGCATAAATAACACTCCTCGTTTCTCATAAAGGCAGTTTAATGTTGATATAATTAGGTCTTTATTGGAGTTGTATAGGATTGTTATGTTAATCTAGATAGGGATTAATGTTAATAAATTCTAATTATATTTTACTTGAATGAATGTTTTGCTAATAACCGTGGTTGAGTATAAATCCGTTGATTGGTTGTGAAAAGCCAATCTTTACCCCAAAGAAAACCGCCAGGCAAGGATCCCTTTGCTAATAATAGCAATTTAATTTAGCAAGCCGGTCACTGTGTGAGGGGCATAATTTCCCCTGTGGGTCTACCATTCATGCTCCACTAACTAAGCCCTTCGTGATTATGAGCAAGAAACTATTGCGCCTCTGATAAGAGAGGTGGGTGAAGCTCAAGGTGGTGACAACTTCCCTTGCCCAAAGCGCTGTATAATGGAGGCCCGAAACAGCGCAGATACTACCTCTTCTAAAGAGAAACATGGCGTATTTTCCTATAGCATAAACGGCATATTAGGCCTTAAAAGCGGTTCTGACTCGATGAAAGATCAAGACGGTGAGAACGCGGGGGAAGTGATAAAGAAAGAAGGTAATAATTAAAACGTTTTTCGTCGCCGGCATCGTGTTAGCAGAGTTACATCACGCGCTCGCCAAATGTGTCCGAGTTGCTCTTTTCACATCACGAAATTTGAGGAATTGAATCAATATATTTAACGCGGATGGTAATTTGAACTGTAAACTTAACTCGTCGTTGTAGAGATTCATCTGCGTCTTCTGCTTTTTACTTTTTAAAGTTGGCTGTCAACATAGCGATCTCTTAGCAAAAGCTTGAAATCCACTAATATATGGTATGATCACCAACCTATCTAACTGAAAATAACTACCTTTTCGGAATAGTTCGAACTACGTTTTGTTCTTTGATCTTCGACTTTTGATTTGGCTTAAACTATGGCGGAAATTTAACCGTGAGAACGCTGATGCAGCGCAAAGAAATGGCCGCCCAACGGAAAAACTTCTACATCACTGATCAAAAATCATGCGCATTTTCAACAGAGTACCTTCCTAAATTCGCCAGCTTGTTGACTGTCACATACCATATTATTGAGTCGTCGAATTTTTGACAAGAAATTAAATAGAGTTTTGGCAGTTTTTAGATGAATCATGAGTTTTGCAAAAGCAGCAATAACATTCTGCCTACTTTGCTTAAAATCAGCCATTAGTAAATGTTTATGATGAGTGTTTCGCTAGCGACAAGTGTAAAGCGCTTTTAATCGAGTTTGCAGTTATTTTATTATGCAGTGATGCGATTATTTTAACAACCTCTTGCAAATGAATCGCTGAGGAACGTAGTGTTATGACTTCGTCTTTTTTCAGGGTAGTTTATATTCTCGGCGAATTTTTTTTGGCTTAATTTTTATAAACACTCCACGAAGTGAGAATTCGCACAACGATTTACGTAAATTAACATTTAAGGTATTTCTATCTTGCCTGCGTTACTCAACTTTGTCTCGTCTGAGCGCAATGTGCAATTTCAAAATATACAAACCTCAGGGAAATGAAAAATTTAATGTCTCAAAGCTCGCGATGTGTAGAGAAATAATTTTGAAGAAAAAATCTAAGAGACACGAAATTCGATCCAAACAAAGGAGGTTTTAGAAAAGTGTTGTATTTCGTAAACTGACTATATTTGTTGCTCTAAACTCTATTAGCGGTGAACACCATTTCATAGCAGCTGGTTCCATCTTGACCCTAATAACTGCTAATATTCAATTCAATTTACATCAATTTGTATGAAAGAATAGCTCATCGCTTTTCCATGCTATACAAAACGCAATCCATTTGAATAAAATCTCGCTAGGATTATTTTTCATGCACGCCCCTTCGCGATTTACGCCAATTCTGGCGACCTGAACTCTAATGATTTGGTTTTCTGGCTTGCTGCGTTTTGGCGTTTTGAATAAACAAAGCAAATGTTTAATAAATTGCTCCTTTTTAATTGTTTTCCTTCGTCTGAAACAAAGGGGCGACACAAATGAAATCGCCTCGACAATGTGGCAAAGAATGGATGCGGAGTATTCTAAATTAAGGTAGATATCTATTAACGCCAAACCGTGGACTTTCATTGGATGAAGAGCCAATATTAAGAAAAGCCCTTGAAAGTTTAAAATTTTTGTCCATCACTGTAAGAGACATAAGAGACAATCTGCCCGCAAAACTCATAAAAACTATTCTGCCCATCTGTTATAGTCAGTTTAGACAGACAACGATCGAGAAAAGTGTTTTTTAAAAACGACCGGGTTGAGTTCACCATTGGCAAAGACATGGATGTAAAATCTGGTTAGCTTAACTTTTACTCGCATTTATTAAGATTGTTAACTAGGCAACTTGTTAATAGTTGTTTTACTTTAGAATGAGTCTGATATCACCGCGCAGAGTGGTAGTTTAACTTCACTGTAGGGTTTTTAGGAAGTTGGCACCTTACAAAGAAAATTAACGGCCTAGCTTTGTAGTCTTTAACAACTCCAAGAAAACAACCACAATTTGCGGTGTTATGAGTTCAAGAAAACATTTTCCGCTTCATAATAGGGGGAGGGAAAATGCAACATTGAAAGTAAGTGAACGAAAACATTTAAAAAAGCATCTGTTAATCTACTGTCCGAAATCGCGCGAGAATTTATTTGTTTAATTTACAAGTAGAAGGTTTTGTTTTAGAGATGAAGTCCCTTACCGCATGGAATAACATTTTGTGCTTTTCCTTGTAATAGCAGAAAGCAACGCTATCGAGACTGTCTCCGCAGAACAAGTTCCGGTAGAGGGAGATGAAGAAACTGAAGAGGTGAACTCGTCGTCCGAGGACGCTTCAGCTTCAGCGAAGAAAAAGAAGACTCGCTACCGCACAACATTTAGTCAGTATCAGCTTGAAGAGCTTGAACGAGCATTCGACAAAGCCCCTTATCCGGATGTATTTGCACGGGAAGAATTAGCCTCTAAACTTGGCTTGACAGAAGCAAGAATTCAGGTAAATATAAATGCCACGTTTGAACTGGTTTCAAATATTTGTTTCCAGTAATTAAATTCGCTATCCGTTCCTCTTGCTCGAATTTGACGACTCTGTTCCGAAAAACAAGCGACAAATATATCGGTCATAGGTATTCTTTAAAATTCGAATTTTACACTCCTTCAAATAGGTACTAAGCATAGCTGTTTCAACCGAAAACAAAAGTTGTATCTAGCAAATTTTTTGACGATTCTGACAGGGTTTTTAGCGTTAATCTATCAAATCTATGAAAGTTGATGGTGGTTAGGTGTCTCAGTAAAAAAAATTAGATCGTTTGAAATTTCGGTTGACATTATCAATTTAAAGCCTTCGCTGTCTTGGCTGAGTGCAACTGCCTATCGACACATTTTAACCAATGAAGAATGCTTTATTCTTTGGATAGGAAATGTTCTATTATCAAAGTCACCGTTTCATTGCTTATCGAAGACTTTTGCTGTCGTATATCATTAACTAGTGCTTGTTATTGCATTAAATTTGTTCTCATAAAACAACTAACATTGATAATTCCAAGAACACATATTCCTAAAAATAAAGATGCAACGGTTGGTGATTCATCTCTGAAAACGCCAAGTTTGAACGACGTTAACTGATCAGTTCATTTAACACAAATGATATCCACGTAGATAACAAGTTTACATTTCATTTTTTGGGGGCGGTAGATTTTGCGGATGTCGGAAATGCGAGACTCAAACGAGCCGAGACGTCTCGCCCATTTATTTCCAAATGGATATCACTATCGATGTACACGATTCCCAAAATATTGTTCTGATATTTCAAATTGATATGCACTTATAAAACAGATCCTGGGACATCAGAGAGTGAAGGAAAACCTAGAATGTAAGTAAATTTTATTCTTCAACTTGTGTCTTCAGGTCTGGTTCCAGAACAGAAGAGCAAAATGGCGAAAACGTGAAAAGCTATGTGCTTTTGGAGCAGTTCCCCCCGGACACGGCATGGTTTACCCCTGGTTACACCAGGAGCCATTCTCTCCCAACACATCTTACCCTGTGACCTTCCCCACGGGTCTTGGACACGGCAATACCCCACGCGACATATGCTCGTCCTTTTACCAAGCCACAACGCATCCCATGCAGTGTTTCCGTTCGCAAGTTCCGACTGTTATGCGCCCCGGTTGTCCCGATCCTCGCGAGTGCCCTTGCTCCTGCAGCGTGCTGTCTCCTACGGGAAGCCCGTGCTTTATAACACCCCCCTACCGACTTGAGGAGTCCGGGCGAGGATTTGATGTCTTACCCGAACATTCTGGTGGAATGACGAGGGAAACTAACCGAGTCTCGAGTATTGCTTCCCTTCGCCTTCGAGCCAAAGAACATCAGATGAATATTGTGCAGATTCTCAGTAGAAAATAAAATGGGACTGAACCCAATTTAAAAATCATTTCTAAGTAGTTTTAAACAAAATTCAGAAGTATATACATAAAAGGTTCATGTGGCAGTGGCAAAGTGAATGTACGGTTTTAAGCAACAAACTTAAGACTATTAATGGCTATAACTTCGACACATTTGGTTGTCTACCAGACTTAAATGTAGTAATATTTCCGTACTTTTAATTTGAGGAACATAGCCTGCCAATGGATTCTCCAAACTGCATCTTGAGTTTTTAAAAACAACGTTAAAACAAATTTACAGCGGAAGTAACTGTAAATAAATAATTATACAATTGAACAGTTTATTTCATGCAGCTATTCGTCTTCTTGAAGTGACACAAGTGCAGTCTAATCGTCTAGTGACAGATCTAGAATTGCAGAATAAATTCTAGCACGCTGGTTCTTTATTGTGAAGAGAGCTGCGCCTTGAAAATGGAATTTAGAGTTAAAACTACTTTAAAACAAGTCAAGAAAGCCGCTGCGTAGGCTGAGTCATTGACAAATATTTACAATAAAGAATTTATAAAGGAAAAACATTTGGGTTAGAAGGAATCTAATGCTAAAAGCAATGAAAAACTAAAACAAACGGAATTCGAAAGAGTTTTAAGACCTCTCTGGTCAATTGCGAGTGAAAAGTGTCCCTACAACTAGGCAGGTACTCTTTCATTCAAGTCCAGTTTTCATGCTCAATTTCATTTTTCTTTGCCCTTTCAGTAAGTCATTCCGCATCTATTACCCAAAGAATCTTCATCTCATTCCCTTTCCTGTTTTTTTTATTTTGCTTTGTTTGTTTTATGTCTTAACTTTTTCAAAGGCATTAATAGAGTACATACTTTAAGCGCGATAGAAAAAAATCCTATAAGTACTCACTCTCTTTCAAATATTCTTCTTTTACAAGGCAATTGGTTCTCATAATTTTGCGACAATAAAAGTTATTCCCAAGCAATTTATACATATTTAAAAAAATCAGTTCAGTTGTATAAATTCATGCTCGTAACATACTAATTATTTCTACAGGTTTTTTCAAAATTTATTTTTATAATGTTATAGAACGAAACACACCTATTCTTTGCTAATTCATAAGCCACAAGTTTTTTTTTGATTTGTTCAAATCTCTTTCGCGATCTTACACAAAAGAAACGATCACAGTCACTCTGTTGAAAAGGGAAAACAAAAGATATCTCTGCTCAAAAGAAAAAAAATAAAACAGAACAATACAAACGCTGGTCTAAATTTCCCAAATAGAAAAAATCGAAAATGTGTCACCAACTGTTGTACGTGGAATTTTGCATTAACTCGTTATTCGTAAGAATTTCAATGACACATCTCATTCAAACAAAGACAAAAAGACTGATAGATGTTGACTGATTGCATTTCATAAAACTGACCTCTTAAAACTGGCGTAAAACTCGCATGTAAAAACTCCTGAAGAGAAAGATAATTAAAATTCGATTTTTGAGAACGCTAAATTCATGAGTCCTTTCCACCACACTTTATCTTGCATTTGGAAACTAGCTTTTGTCCTTATAATGGCTTTTTGCAAAACCAATTTCTTATATCGTTCTTAAAAGCACGATAAAAGGAATAATTGATTATCTTTCTTTCCTCTAGTCGTCATTGAGTCTACAATAGTTGATAACGAGCGTGTTTATCAGTAAAATAATAGAATGCCAAATACATCAAGCCAATATTTACTTAAGAGCAAGTAGATAACTGTGTTATTAAAGGTCGATTAAACTCTTGTATCATACGTGGACGCAATAAACTTCTAACTTCCGCTCAAACCAAGGAGGACAAGATGTTGTCACATTTAGTTCTGATAGTTAATGCCGCCCCGTCAAAACTCTAGTTAAAGATTAAATTCATGATTAAATTCATGGATCGAATACAAGATGATTTCGTTTTGAGCTTCGAAACAGAAAAACATCTTATTGGCGCAAACTTTTAAGGAAGAATTTGGAAATATCTCGTGCGTAAAATACAGCGCGAAGCATTTACAATTTATATTCGAGACTCGATTATTTTTTTGCGCGCGAAAAATTATTTTAAATCATCTTTGGCAAGCAGAGAGCATCTCATGATATCATAAGACATGTTCTATTTTTCTTTCCTCCATACAAAAAAACAATGTGCACCCCACAGACAATTCTAATTAATGAAGAAAATTTAAAGATGTTTAGCAGTCTTGTTAAGCTTGTTTGAATGGATCACATCAAAAGCTCCCAGGATAAATGAAGGTAAGTATATTGATTTGAGACATAAGGTGCCTTGCAATTACTGAATAACTAGGTGACCTTTAAAGACTTTTTCACCAAAGCGATTCATCTTGTCAGCTTTTCAAAAAAAAAATAATAATAAGTGGCCTAGATGTTGGGCTTTCTTTTCACGGAAATTCTGATAAAAGGAAAATAAAACCACTTGGTAGTCTGTTGTAGACATGTAAACTGCAACGTTGAGTTGGTTTTAATCTAAAATGACTTTTGATCGCCAAAGATTCATCACAGAGACTTTTCAGAAAATAATATATTTCTTTTAAAAAATTTTAAAAATTAATCTATTTTACGATTGAGCAAATGTTCCTCATTCCGGAAATATATTTATTAACAAATCAAATCGTCAAGATGTTTTTTCTCTTGATTAAATTTTCTGTAACTCATTTTAACCGTATAACAATGTTGGACCTCTTTATGAAACATTCCTTGTGGCAAAAGGAGACATTCGGCGCCTAATGTCTGTGATGGGGGCATTGTGATCGAGAATAGAAACAGTTCTTCTTAAAAATCTCTCTGCTTCGATCTGTTTTTCACAGTCTAACCTTCTGAGGCCCATAGGACCTTCACACAAACCATGTTAGCGTCGACCATATTCCTGGAATAAAGAGTGCTACGGTTTTGTTTTTTTTTTCATTTATTATTTTTTTTTCGTGAATTGAAATTAAAAATATACTGATTTCAATCAGTGTTGTCAGCAATTAACAATGAATAAAACCCGTTTTCAAGTCGCTGTTTGAACGTAAACGAACTCGCCTAAATTAAAACGTTTTGATTTGCATTTCATAAACTTTGACAGACTTTGAGGCAGCACTTCAACCACACCTTTTCATAAGACAAGTAAAACTGGTATGATGAAATTTACCTCAAAGTCGAAGATTAGAATGGTTTTCGAAATTTTTCTTATTTAATCAAATTTTGAATTTTCTCTGGATAATTTCTACATATTTATTTCTCTCTTCTGGGAGGCAGATAGTTTAGAGCAAAACTCGCAAAACAATCTGAACAGTGATATCAGTTTGACATCTCTTTCTGTCGCTATATGATATATGTTGCTGTTGAACGTTCAGTTCCGAGCCCAATCTTTGCACTTAAAAGGAAATACCAGAAAAGTGACAATTTAAGGAGCTTAAATTGAAGAAACAACTACTACGAAGTTTGTTGTAGATGATATTTGGCCCAAAAGGAGCGTGGCAACCCCTTATTTACATTTTTGTTTTTCGTTTTTATATATTCAATAACATCCTAAATGTAGGGGATGCGAATTTTTTGCAAACATCTTTGGTAAAAAAATTGATCTAATTTCACTGGTCAAGCAGTCGTTGATTGCTCGTGGATAGTCGAAGTACAAGAACGAGTAGTGTGGGGATTTGATATGCAAATTTCGGGTTGTGAGCACGGCCTTAGGAGTCTGGGAAGAGTAAGCATCTTATTAAAGATGGCGGACCGATTTTTGTGGCTACTGCTTTTTATACAATTATGACCTGATGTTTCCTGATGCTACTTATTATTCTTTTCGGAGTATCTACAGTTCGACATTCGCACTCGATACAGTTCTCTCCTTTTGAGATTTCTGGCTTATAGCTACTATCGCGTTAAGTTTTCAGTTTTTGCCGTGACACTGCAAAAGACGATAAACACCTCAAAATAATTTCAATCTCGCCAACGCATAATTTTAATCACGAAAAAAAAACTTTTCTTTTCGGGAATATCTAAATAGGTTTGATCTGCATATCAATGTCGATCCACTAAATTTGGGAAGCGGGTAAGGTGCGAAGTTTAACGAGGTGACCCTAATCGAAATTAGAAATTGGTTATAATGAACGAGCATAATTAAAAAAAGGGCGGAAGTTTAAGGATGGTAGTAGCTTAGTTGATTGAGAAACCGTAAGACTTTTAAGCTTGCCCCTATGGAGTATTAGAACTATTACTATCGTTATATATTATTATTATTGTTGATATAATTATTTGTAACCATTTCATTATTGGTTGAATGGCAATTAAACATTATTGAAGAGTTTACCGCTGCGCTGAGGTAAAGAAGCCCACTGACCACCGGCCATGTTGTTTTGTTTATCCGCAGTTCTCTTGACGTCGTCAAGAACACTATATGCGTATTTTCAAGTACGCTCGTTACAATTGTAGCTGGTGCTCAGGAGATTGCTCAGACTTCACATGCTAAGTTAGTAGTTTTAGAACTTAGCGTAATGGTATCTTTCTGCTTATTTGTAGGACTCCTTTCTCGCTTCAGATTATAAGTTAAACAAGAGGTCGTTCCTTCAACTATATTTTTAAGTCGTCTCTCTTTTGTGGAACAGGTTACTCAGAAATGTGTGTGATGCGGCAGGTTTTCTGTTTTGCACGTGAACAACACTACCTCCCATCGTTATCATACAACCTCTATTCTGTTCAATGATATAAAATTGAATACGAGTAACCACATGCAGTCTCAGGCTGCCTATTTCCAAATATGGCTGATCTACAAGGTAGAACTTTTCTGGGGAAGATGGCTCGATTCTGTTTCTTGGAATCACAGGATCATTAGTTATTAGTACAATTACGGTTCATTCTAGTTACATTCTTCTCAGTACATCCACAAGATTTGTTTCTCTTGTTCTTACTATTTCTTGTCCTATGCAAGTCTCGTTTTACCATGACTTGCAACTGTTTCGAAGCCTCGAATTTTTAAGGGGGCTCTTTCAAACCTAGAACACCGATCCTGTAAAAGGTGATGGAGAGAAAGTTTTAATTCTAATCTAAGAAGGAAAATTGAGAAGGCAAGTAATTGAAGCAAAACTTCCTACTTTATTGTAAAATTATAGGATGAATAAAATTAAAAAATAACTATATAAATGAATAAATATCTAAATAATCAGAATCTATACGCTATTCACAAGTATGTTACAACTCTGCATACTATTTAATTCTAGTCTAATTATATATTCTACGATTTTTAAAATTTACGAAGAGTGGGGTCTTTCAGAAAATGCAATAGTCTGAAAAAGGAACGTTTGCTAAAAGCAGTGTCCGCAAACACATATCATTTAGTAATAGCAGGTTACGCTAAGTTTGGAGAGACACTGAGGGAAGTAGAAGTTGAATTTCTTTCACCTCCACCTGTACATTGTTAAATGTACTGTCACCGGAGTAAGTGGGGTAATCAGCTAAGAGAATAAGGCACAAAAGGAAATGTATGCCAGTGATAAAGAATAATCTTATTTCAGATTTAGGTCATTTATCTAAGCTAGGGCCGAGAGCATCTATACGTCATGAGAGAGGAGCTGCTAGAATTAACACTAGACAAAGTTTCGGTATAAGCTATTCATACATATCTTAGTATCATTAAAACGAGATCTTTGAATCTTTTGTTATTTACATAATCATGATAGACGTCCGCCTTTACATAACATTCTTAGTACGCTCCCTGCTCTATCGAACCTTCATACACGACATCAAACCCTTTCCTTCGCTTCCCAGTCCTTTGCTTGAAGTCTTTTTAGATTTCTGCTGACTGGCAAAACATTTCCACAGCCGCAGGGTCTCATCTGCGGCAGCCGACGCCACAAACTGTCCATCTGGTGACATGGTCATGTGAAGAATGCGTGACATGTGTCCAGTTAATTCCATGACGCGTGACATGGCTGGGTATTTCCAGATAGTTAGCTGGTTTTGGGAAAAACCGTGACCAGAGACTAACTCTTTGTACTCCTTGGACCATATCAGCGCGCAAACCTACATTACACAGAGATAAGAGTCACAGCAAAATCGAAGCAATCACGAACAAAAGAAAACCAAACAAGTAGAATTTGGCAGAGTGTGACTTTGATTGTGATAAACCATTCTTGATTTAATTTTCTTGTTGTATGATTCGATTTCAAACAACATGACGAAAATTAATTCGCCTTTAGAACCATAATTAATGAAGAATTTTACCAATCCAAAACCATTATTGTTAGTTTATAAAATGACCAATTCGCCTTGCCACCTTTAGCATGTCGGCACCGTCAGCATTTTTTCCGCCCTTTTCTGTGGTAAACACGCGTGACAGCGGTTAAGTGCCTCGCAATGACAATGAGGTTCATCAGCTGCATGCCTAGGCGCCCTCACTACTCCTGCATTTGGGACCTTACGTACAATTTTCCGCACTTTCCATAAGCTGGAGCTTATCATCTGTGGCACGGTTGACCGCGCTGAACACTAAAAATATGTCTTACTGAGCTTTACACGCCATTTGCGCTTGATAAGGCTTAAATGTTTCTTGGCCCCAATCACTAACCGCTCTCTGTTAATACTTCTAGCAAGTATTTTATCAAAACATGCCTGACTATTTGTGTCCACACTGCTAAGGCAAGACCCTGTGTTTGCATTCCAAAATCTGATATGACGGTCAGCGGTTCCACCACCACTAGCCAGGACATTCGGTTGCCATGGACACCATGCCACTGCCTGAAGATTAATGCACACTTAGAAAAAAGGACCAACTTTGGATTTCCAAGATAATTTGATTTTATGAAATGAGTGGTGATTCGCTCTGACGAAGGGCCAACACGCGAAAAGTCAGCTTTAGAAACTCCTTACATCATCAACTAAGTGGATAAAAACAAATGATTTTGTTTCACTCCCCCACCCATGCAGCAACACAGTTCCTTTAAAAACTTACCCTCTTTCGCTGTGGTTTTGGTTTTATGGCCATAGTTAAAATTCTTAGCTCTTTTCAAAGGAAGCTGACAAAATTCACCAACTGTGGGATATTACGGCAAGATAACTACTGAAGTTGATGGATTTAAAAACAACAAAATTAAATACCCGAATAATTTTGAATATAAATTATATTAAAATTTCTTACACAGCGCACTTATGAGCAGCCATTTGTATATTTCTGTCATGCTGACACATTACCTTAACTGCAGCCTGATGGTGCGTCAGTGTATGAAGTGGAGTGGCAGCATCATCTGAAGCTCCTCTCTGTGTCCAGATATTCAGAACGTTATCATTACCGCCACTGGCTAACAGCTTACCATCAGGACTCCACTGCATACCACACACCTCCTGACTGTGGCCCAAAAGGGACCCTACATGATGTGATGCCACTCGCACATCATGATGATGAATAGCCCCACTCCGTGAACCACTAAAAATGCCAGAGGAGGGGGTATTGTTAGACCTTTTTGACCCTGAATTCTTGATGGTTTGACCAACAATTTTGCTTTTCTCTTTCACTTTGGTTGTTCTTTTATCAAGCATAACATGCATAATTTCAAAAGCAAAGCCAATGAGAGAACTTGCATTCTAACCCAACCTTGAATTTGTAATTGACCTAAACACTTTTAAGTCACACTTTTTAATTTTGAAATATTTGCATCAATCTTGTTGCCTCCCTTTTTTGTCAAAAAATTCAAGACACTGAGCATTTCAGATCCAGCCAAAATTTTACTGAATTAACCATTTCCACTGAACATAGGCAGATTAATTTCAAGTCTGAAAAATGTATCAAAACAAGGTTATTGACAGCTACTGCCAAGTCCCATTCCATTTTCTTATGGCTTGCTTTTAGATGAATTATGAGCACATGCAGTTGGAAGAGCAAGTGCCAGACTTACACATAACAGCAACACTGTATGCAATAATCAATCAGTACTTTAATATTTGATTGCAATACCTAAAATGATCCTTCAATCCATTTAGGAGTAACAGTTGATTAAAGACAACTTAAGGTTAAAGGTAAAGTCTACATCTGAAGCTTCTCATATGACTGCTTAAGTTAATACCTGAGCTCTAGAGTACAATGAAACAAGTAGTAGTATTGCAACTCCTCTGGACAACATTTGCTGTCAGTCCATTTAAAATTGCTTGCCCCTTCCCCAACCCCCTTCCCCCATCTCAAAAGAAAAAAACAACAAAAATAATCTTTCCTTATCCTCAACATTCCATTATTTTTACATTCTTGGATGGCATCATGAGAATACTGTACAACTACTACCTAGAGCTGTGTCCAAAACAGCAAAATTTATGAACCTTAGCCTAAGGGTTCTTACAAGTCTGCACCAGCATAACTCTGGAGTCTGTATTGGTCAAGTTTGCTGTTATACACATTAGTGGAAATACAATTCAAAGTCAGCCTTTGATCAAAGAGCCATTTACCTTGACAAGATAAACGAGTTCCAGGCAAGTGAACCCACTCTAGCAGCATGACCTCCCATCACACGAACACACTTAGCTTGTGCTACATCCCATAACTAAAACAAATAACAGATACTTAAATTAATATCATCATAATCACTATTGTTACATGATTTTATATTTGTTATCATTCAACGTTATCATTAATTATTTTTATTACTATTTTTATAATCATAATTAAAGTAAATGCTATTATTAACACAACAATTAAAATCAATATCATCACTCTCATCATTACTGCACTGGAAATTAATTATATAAGAACCTGATCAGAGTACCAGTCAGAGTATGACAAAAAACCATCTATAAGAAACTGTCACAAAAAATTCAGGATCAGATCAGGTCATTTAACATTCAGTTAAATTCAGAAGACAATGTTGTAATTGGGAACCTGTTCAACCTACTTCTCACAAAAAAAAAAAATCATTAAATAAGGACAATTTCACTCTTGGTATTAGAATAATCAAACTTAAAATCTACTGCCTCTCCTTTGTAATTAGTGCTCCTCCTACCACTCCATATTGAAAAATTTACTGCCACCCTCGAATAATTAAACATCTCATTACATGTACCTTCACCCTGATTTTTATTGACAACACTGGAACAACAGGATTATGCTATTGGTTGTTGTCAATCACTCTTGCTTGTATACTTACACTACCTAATATACATGTACCATGTACACCATGTTTGGCTAAAAAAACCCAAGGATCAGCTTTGTATCATAACTTATGTTGTGTTTAACACATTAGTGGTACTTCAGGTGGGTGTATGGAAAAATATAATACCCCAACTACTGAGCAAAGCCCTCTGACAGTTACCCTTCCATTCAACCACAGGTTTGAGATAAGCAAATACATGTAGGCACTAAAAATAACTTAAATGTTTACATCAAAAATAAATTTAGCCAAATTAAATAACAGAGACCCAAATGTTCCAGTTTAAAATTTTGCTCCTCTTGTTTCCCTTGAGGTCACTCCTACATGTATCACAAAGTGGCATGTAGGCTTTTTACAGTTGCTGTAAAAAGCTTGCCATGTTTTCATACATACGAGTGCTTGGGTCAACCAAAGACTTTTCTTTTCCTTTATCCAGATTAAGAAATGAAATGACTAAGAATCTAGTTTAAGGAAGTAACATTCCTTTTAGAAGTTAATTGCATTTACACCACATTTGGCTATGAAAACCATAGGATCAGCTTACCAGGATCATAGTTTATGTAGTTTTGAACACATATTAGCCATCCTTCAATTTGAAAAAAAAATCAAATCCTGTCTGGAACTGGAAAAATAAAGTACCCCCAACTATTGAGCACAGCCCTCCAATAGGCCACTGCAACAGTAGCCTTTTCCTTTTTGGGTTTATGGTAAAAATAGATCTAGCCAAATTATAAAACAGAGATGCAAATGTTTAGTTTAAAAGTTGTGTTTGTCTTGTGTTCTTTAAATACACTCCCATAAGTATCACAATGTGGCAGGCTTTTTACAGTCACTGTAGAAAGCTTGCCATATTATCATACATACGAGCGCTGGGGTCAACCAGAGACCTTTCTATTCCTCTATCCAGATTGAGGAACATTCTTGACAATCTTTTTTGAAATCACATCATGCTTAAAAGCGTGACTCTTACTTTGTAGTAACTGGGTAATAATTACATATACCAATACATGTATATGCATTTCAATCAAGTGCAAGGGCAAGATGGCTTTTTATCAACCTTAACTTCCTCTTAATCCATAAAAATGTGAAAAAGAGCAGTGTAAATATCCAGCCATCATGACTAAGCAAACTTGGCAAATAAAGGATTTAGTATATAACAAAAAGATTTTGCTTTAATAAGAAATAAGAATGACTTGTTTGTTTTCAAGAACTGGGAAAAAATGCTATGATGGCATGTACTTGCTTTCCATTTGACAAACTGTTGGACTATCTTCTGCCACTCCATTGTAAATCCACTCCATACAATTTCTCTTGTGTAGGATTAGAAAGGGAAATCCTGCATAGGCAGGATGGGAATAGACCCTTCTTTCCAGCTTGGATAGACAATCACAACACAGGATTTCCTTGATCTTGTTGCATTTGCTATGTATTAACTAAAACAACTTAAGCATGTCATATTTTTTTTGTTTTTATTACATATACAAACACTGTTTCTTCTTAACTCACCTGGACTTGACCATTACTGCTTCCAACAGCAAGAATACTACCCTGATCAATCCAACTGACACTGGAAATGTAATCTTCACCTTCCAACTGAAACAAATGCTGGGTCTCACCAGTACTGGGATTCCATGTGTAAACTGCACCAGACAATGCAAGGGCAAGCTGGTTTATTGAGCCCCAGTCTAACAGGTTTAGATCTGATCACAAACAAATAAAATAAATTTTATTGCCCTCCAAATAACAAAATTATACTTAAAATTGATTAATAATCAAAGAAATTGTAGAAAACAGAGGCTAAATTTATTTTAGGCTTTGCATCTTTTGAACCTATGCTTCTCAAATAATAGCTGCAAAATCACTGGTTAAGAGCATACAAAACAAATTTGGGTAATTACTTGTCCCACTTAACCCTTTAACTCCCAGAAGTGATTAACATGTAAATTCTCCCTATAATATCCATACATTACTATGCAAATGCAGTGAGAATACTCAAACTTATCAGGTATAAGTTGTTACCTTGATCTGAAACCCACTTCCTGTAACTAACTTACAAGGAAATGTGTAGCAGCTAGGGGAGAAAATTAGCAATCAGATCTTGGGAATTAAAGGGTTAAGGAACCTGGGGCTAAGATCTAGGGAAAAATTGTAAACAATTATACAATCCATAGGCCTGAACACGGTCCGAGAACAAATTCTTTTGAATTTATTTTACAATTTCCTGTAAAAGTTAAAATGGCTCTGATTGAAATCAGTGCACTTGATGATATCAAACACTTCCACCATTTGTTGTCAAAATCTTTTACTTACAATAATCATCCAAAAGTTCAGGTGCATCTAGAATCCTATCTTCAGCCTGTGGGATGTGTCTTGTTGACTTAGCTTTTGGTGCAGCAGGTTTGCTTTGACAGTACAACACTCTTAATTGATTCTGATGTCCTAAAAACAAATTATAATATTGCACCAAAATAATTAAATATTGTAAACATACAATTCAAATTTTGCATCAGTTTTAAAGGAAATACACAGAATATTAGCCATTGATTAACCCTTTGATTCCTAAGAGTGACTAGCATCTAAATTCTCCTTACAATATCACCCCTGAAAAACAACATTAGGGTCATGAGAATAAAGGATATGATCACCAAATAAGGAAGCTCTTGACTACTCAACAAATTCTCCTTGTCAGCACCTTGGGAAATGTAAAGAGAACAGTATGGAGAACATACATACTGATATGAGGGTGTAAAGGGTTAAGAAACCTCTGCAGGTTCTTGGTTGTATCTGTAAAATGAATTGTTATAGAACATTCCAGTGAAAGTTGAAATTTAAGAACTATTTAATTACATCATCATCATTACTATCTATCACTTATTTAATTATCTTATACCCATTTCTTGATTTATTTTGCAATCATAGCCAGTCAATTAATCCTTTAACTTCCACAAGTGACCAACAAGGAATTTCCCATGACCATATCTGAATACACTTTAAAGCAGGAAAGTAAGAGAATGAAGAAAACTATTATCAACCCTTCACAGCCTAACATCAGTTCATATAAGTTCTCCATACTGTTATCTATACACCTATTAGGGTACTGACAAGGAGAATTTGTTTAACGATCAAGAGTTTCAAAAGTAGGCGATTGTTTCCTTTATTCTCGTGACCTTAATGTGTGATTCAGGGGTGATATTGTAAGGAGAAATCAGATTCTAGTCACTCTTACGGGTCAAAGGGTTAAGGAACAATTGTTATTCTCGGAGCAGTCTGGAAAATTCATATTAAAATCTTGGAGTGTAAGGATTTAAAGGAAAGAGGATATCGAAGAAAAACGCTACCTTCCCTCGCCACAGGTGCTCCAGACTTGAAATGTAGAATCTTGCCATTACTTGAGCTGCTTTGCAAATTCTCTGCCATATTTGAGTAGTACTGCGAGTTTCCTTCGACTTCCATCTCACAGTTCGCCTCGCCCGAGTCCGTTCCTTGCATAATTTGAAAATGGCTCCATTCACAGTCGACAAGCGGCCTGGAAGGAATAAAACGGTCACCACGAGGAGACAGACCAAACTTTTTCGGTGACTTTTGAGGAGTCTTCGTTGGAGTCTTTGCTCTTTTGCCCGGAGTGTGAGTTTGAGTTTTTGACGATAACTTCGAGTTCACATGGTTGCGAGAAGTGGTTTGAAGCGGCGATAAAGGTTTTCCGGTTGAAGCTAAAATCCTTTCCCTCTCTTTCCTTTGCCAGCGTGGGACCGGCCCTTTAGAAAGAGGAGCTTCGAGCTTTTTCAAACAGTCGTTGACGCCATTTTCGAATTCGTATTGAGCCATATTTTCGGTAATTTCTGCATGAAAAGGTCCAAAATTACAACTTTATCAAGGAGTAGCCCGATTAAACAACTTTTAAAACTTTTCGCTCACCAAAATGAATTTTTAAATATTAAAAAGCAACTGGATAAATCAATTTCCCCACTCTGTAAAAGTCAGTTTTGAAAGATCTTGTTCAAAGAGCGCGGCCATTTTTAAAGGACCCAATCCTGCATCTGATTGGCTGATTCTTGTTAATAACGATTCATGAATTCCTCTGCTTCACATTCCACACTGCTCGTTGGAATACGGTAACGGCTCGAGATGTGAGGGGATAGATTGAAATAAGATTCAAAGGCTAATGAGATTTCCTTACGGAACTCTGCTCATAGCGGATTCGTAGGCTTTGAAGGCAGATCAGCTATCGCTAGCCAGAATGCGTGGGTACAGACTTTTTAGGAGAGTTCAAAAAGGTGATGTGTAATGCGCCAGCCTTGATTCCCCAGAGATCTCATTACACTAATAGAATCGTGTCACTTTGAGGATTTTCGTGAAGGATAGCTGCGATACTATAAAGATGAAAACATTCAACTTTCCATCTAAGTAAAACCTTTTTATGTCAAATAAAGATAGTTTAATTTGTTTATTTTATTTACAACAGAAGACTTGTCAACCACCACATCGCTAAAATAACTGAAATTTCAAACTTATGACGTACATTCATCACAAATCTCCAAAGCCGCTAAAGGTAAATACGTGTGGTATGTTATCAAAAAACACAAAAACCAAAAAAAAAAAAAAAAACCAGATGTAATATCAAAAACCGTTCAGCTCGTTTTGATTTTGCACCGCAGAGGACGAGCTTATAATGAAGACAAGCTTACAATGAAAGTTGGTACCGGAACATAAACCTATGTTTAACTTGAATTTATTTCCCGTGTGTTAGACTGTTTTGACGGGCTGTGCAACATGGTCAGATCTACGCTTCCGGAAGTTCTTACGTCATCATATGTATCGTTCGTCGATATGTGATTAACGCAATTAATTGGGAATCGTAAAAACTCCTATTAAGCACGAGAAAACTTTCTATTTAGCACAAAAGATTACAAATATATTTCTAAAGTTTTGATCGATCTGGTTATTCTGCGATTCGCATGTGTCGCAAGAATGGAGGGTAAGGGCATGAAATTCGAAAGAAGCTATTAAAAAAAAACTTTTTGATCACTTGCCGAAGACCACCCTTAATAATGAAAATAATATTTCCTTGGATCACGCAAGCATCTGCTTCTTCATTTCCGTTTGCGTTAGCAATGCCAGTTAAATGCATTTATGTTTGACCGAAACATCGAGAAAGAATTTGACCTATGGTGCGACAGCCAACTTTCGTGGGTTGAGCGATTATTGAATTGTATGTAACTCTGCTGCTCAGGATATGTGAATTTTATTGTCTGTCACCCTTTATCTCTCAACTTTCATTTATAATCTTAACTCCTCATATTTCTTACACGGAATGTTCTGATGTCATGAAGACCGATTGTGGAATGAAAATATATTGGTTTCCCCTGACATGGCTTCCTGAGTATTTGACCTTGTTAGGCTCTGCTTCCTAGCATTTTTTATTGGTTATGTAACAAAGCGTTGAATTATAAATCAAAAGAGCTTTGGGTGGAATAATCATGGATTCGATCAGCCGGTCTCACACGCTTTAGCCCCGAGAACAAGCTACGTCAAAATCACCATCAATATGACTCATTCTAGTTTTGAGTTAACGTGCGAAAACTTTGTAAATGTTTAGAGCTGCATCACCGCTGAGCAGTTACCGGCTTGGAAATTCTTTGGGAAATCTTCAACGAGGATATGTCAGTTTGGAAAACTAATGACCCACAAATCGCGAAAATTCTACTGAAAAACGGCTGGAGGGAGTGAAAGTTACCACCTCATGAGAGAACCGGTCTAATTGATAGTTCTAATTTTACTTGTAGATATGGCTTACTACAAATGGCGCGTGGAACCATTAACTGAGCGTCATAATAGCGAATGAAAAGTTGAAAAAGACAAACACAATAATTAAACAAGATAGGACGACTACAGCTATGGGCACGGGCGCTTCTAGCGTTGAAAGGCATCAAAGTACAACATCTATTGTCAGCGATGAACTCAGGGACCCAAAAAGTGTTATGTTCAAAAGCGCTCGCGCAGGAAATGAAAGAGACTTAACTTTGGTTTTGCAACAAGGAATGGATCCAAACGAAAGAGAATCACAATTTTCAGGGTGAGTATACATTGTCGCCTTGTTCATAAGGAAGAAGGAGAGCTCCATCAAATGGGCGCTGGGGGTTTTTGCGGCACCATGGTGTGTGTTTTTAATTTTCTTTCATAAAATTTTGGAATAGATTTTGGGTCTGAAATCGGTTAAGTGTTGTAAACCACAAGCATCCCAAACAGCTGAACTGCCCGTTGCTGCTATTCAAGACAGTGATATTGTTAAAAATTACTTGTCTAAGGCTAGGGTTATAGTAAAGTATGCTGCACATCATATCTGAATTTTCCATTTTCCGCAAATTGCTCTGACGAGGGGCTCACGCTCGAAACGTCGGCCTTTAAATTCTTTACGGTGGCTAATTTACGTTTTCAACTTAGTTGACTAACACTGAATTACCAAAATTTTCCATGAGTGAGCTCTGTGCTACACATACATGTATAAGCAGAGTATAGAAATAGGGCTTTTCATTGTTAGAAACATTCCTCGTGGTGATTTTTGGTTTTTGCGCCCAGTAGTTGATTTATATAATTAAGCTCTGGAAATTTGCTTTTTTTTTAAGCAGCCCTTTCTTCTGTCTTTTCTCATAGCTTACGAGCATTGCATTTTGCTGCTCGCCACGGTCAATCACAATGCTTGGAAACTCTCATAAAATGTGGCGCAGACGTGACAGCCGAAGATTTCTATGGCTGGCAAGCAATACACGAAGCCGCGCTCAACGGCCACACCGAGTGCCTTGCATTGTTATTAAAGGGAGGTGCAAAGGTGGACTCTGTTGCGTATAACAACAATGGCCCTAACACGCCCCTTCATTACGCGGCGAGACACGGCCATATAGAGTGCGTGAGACTGCTTTTAATGCACGGTGCTGATTGGAGGAGCGTCAATAATTTCGGCGAGACACCGCTGCACTGCACTGCTATGCGTGGGCACGTGGATTGCATGCAGACACTTGTACAAGCAGGTACCAATATTTTTTATCACTGGGAGATTAGACCGTGTTCGCTACATTTGCTCCATCTTTAGTCCTTTCTGTTCTGTTTTGTTTTGTGCTGTTTTCGTTTCGCCTCATTATCTTAAAGCATACTCGACAGTCCTTCGTTTAGTATGTTATTGTTTATTTGTGTTGGCCTCACCTATGTTTATTTATGTTTTTTTTCTTCGATGCTGTCGCGTCTTATTTCATAAATAGCAATTAAGGGCCAAATATTCAAGACAGAAATCTATTTTCGAGCACCATTGTGAAGCCTCCGTTCATTTTTTGGTACTTGTTTTTGTTGTTATTCTCTTATGTTTAGACTTTGTTTGGTTGCTTGTCTTTCACGGTAGTCTCTATTGGAATTTGAGATAAGAGAAAAGACATATGAGTACACTACCTCTTACTCTGCCCTCATGCAAAGAATAGGAAGCAAAACAGTTCGAAACAATATCAGTATCGGAGCAACTTCCCACCTAACCCTCTTCTAACGGCCCAACATTAACCCCAACTTTTGTTGGTTTTGGGGAATGAAATTGATCCAAAACGTCTTCTGAGGGCCAAAATTGTGGAAGAAAATGGTCTGGAAGGGATCGAGGAAGATCTGATGTCATAATCATTAATAACCTTACTCACCTATAGCCGCTTGTCAAATCAACGTTCTTAACCAACCCCATTATTGCAATTCACGTCATAAGACTACCAATTCAAATCAATTTAACTGTTTTCTTTTAATGTTGTTCCATCATCGAGGAGCTGATATCAACAGTGAAACCCGCGATGGTCTTACGCCTGCATATTTCAGCGCTATATGTGGTCATTCAGGGTACCTTAAAGAGGTAATACGACAAGGTACGGATATCAACAGGAAGTATAAAGCACTCCAGGTAACCTTGTTACACAACGCCGCAGAGACTGGTCAATTAAAAGTCCTCAAGGCTCTTCTGCGTAGGGGCGCTAATACAGAAATACACTCTGGACCACGATCTTTAACCCCAATGCACCTGGCAGCGCGCATGGGCCAAGAAAAAGGAATCAAATTACTGATAAAATACGGCGCAAATATGGAAGCGTTATCAGCTAATGGATACACAGCTCTCCATCATGCTTCACGCTGTGGGAAACTTGAAGTTGGAAAGGTACTGATCGCGTGTGGCGCAAATATTAACGCCATTTCAGGTGAGATTCTTTCATTTTTGTATTCTGTGCCCACCCTTGACGTAGTGACGACCCCTAAAAACCGGTCATTATTTGTCGCCTTTCGGGGGCGAAGGATTTTGGTTGAATCACAATAAAAAGTTCACCTGATCACCCAGGGCTCTGTAGTATTCTAATTATTCCCCTTCATTGGCAATTAATCTTCCATCATGTATCCATTTCTTCTCCATTATTTTTTCTTTGGGAAATTGGAAGTACGACACTTTCAACCCCTGCTTTTCGCGATAGCCTTTTTTGGTGCATTCTGGAACGCAGCAAAGTGTAGGCATTCCTTCCTGATCCTAAACGCGTATTCTAAGCAGTAATTGACCCCAATTGAGTGTTATTGTCTTCACTCAAAAGCAAAAACTTCACCTCAGTAAAACCACTACATGTGCGCTCTGTTTACGTCTGAGAGGCGTTTGTGGCCCCGCTTCCATGCAAAATCGTTACCAGCTCCGCCCGCCATCGGCCATCATGAAAGTCGTGTAGAATAGTTTTCCCTTTATTCTCTGTTAGCGGCGAATGAACCCCGTTTCCACTCCCCCTAAAAACCATGTGATACCCCTAAAATCCTCCGACCCACCTTCAGGCGATAGAAAATGACTGATCCACAAGAAGACCGAAGCAGCTGTAGGTGGCTTCCAACCATAAAGTGTGCTTTATGGTTGGAAGGTTTCACCTATTTTTTGGAGATGGAAGGGTACAGGGGAGGAGGATGGAAGTCAATACGTATAGCTGTGACCCTGGAGCGCATTCTGGAAGTCACCACTTTTTAGGTTATCATTTTATAATCACAGTCACGTCACATAAGAAAAACCAAGTAGATTTTTAAACGCAATCAACTGAAAGCTAAAACCAATCGCACCCTACTCATATAAGTTTTTCCATATAAGGAAAGGTTTATAAGGTTTATTCGTTTATTTGAGGTTCGAAGTGCGACCTACTTCGAAAAATGATTAACATTTTAGCGAGTTTAACCTCGCCTTAAGATTTCAACATGTTACTCAATGGAAAAATGATGGGCATTAAAAAATCTATAAATCCCGGGTTATTATGTTTTGATGAAGCACCAAATTCTCCTGATCAGTTTACAAGGAAATGTAGAGTAGCCAGTTAGAAGGGAGAATTTTGTAAAAAATGTTGGTAGTTGCATGCTTCATTGAAAACTATTTCGTCTGCAGAGGAGGCTCACGAGACACCATTGCACATGTGCGTTCAGAAGCATGACAGAGAGTTTACAAAGCTTCTTATCAAAGCTAATGCCGATCTAAACATCCGGGATAGCAGTGGGAACCGACCGATAGACATGAAGCACCTTAACGACGATGTCATCAACGTCCTCAGGGCCGCCATGTTTGAAAAGGAGAGAGTGAGCGCAGCGACAGGGAGCTGAATTTCAAATTCCCATTTTTCTTTAATGAAGCTACCTCAAAACAATCCCATCTCGAAATCTTGATCTAAAAGTATTAAACGTCATTATAGTTGTGTTGTATTACTTCTCTAATCTATCTTATTTATAATAAAAGATATCTCGAGTCATCTTTGTGTTAATCAGAAACTACTGCGCATTGAAGAACGTGACTACATCATTTGTCTATTCGCCCTTAAAGGACGACGGCACATCAGTTACACTGAATTTGAAGTTAGGGTAGATGTACTTCAGAGCAGAAATATGCTTATTGATTGGTTAATATTTAACAGTCCAAGTAAAAGTGTCTTATCTCCCATAATCACATAAATGTACAACCCATTTGCACCCCTCCATTTTCAAACCCGTTGAATTACTCGATTAAACTATTGCAAATAGCTAATATATGACTATACTATTTTCAACTGATAATGCAATAAATTTTCAACGTTACATAGATGTATTTCGGAGCAATTTTTGTAAAAAAAATTGCTCTGAAGTACATCGATATACAGCTGAAACAGCAACGGTATCTGTTCTCTCTACAATAAATGTGCGGAGTCTAGATGACTTAAGTTTTAATTTTGCTAAAACTTTTCTATAGACTATGTTACATATTCATCTCTAAAACAGCTATTTTCTTTTTCTACAATATTTCCTCAGATATACTATGATATTACCAAATTTTTGTGAAATGTACGTAACTAATAGCTCCAAGTTTTGAAGATACATGAAAGTTCTAGTTTAAAAAAAATGATTAAAATGATAATATATGGTATCGATTTGACATCAAATTATAGCAACGACTAATGATTTCTAAGTGAATTTTGCTTCATGTTTGTAGGAGAGAAGACGAAGTCAAAATTTATAAAACTGCGAACAAGTGAAGTGCCATGGGCTTATGAAGGACTCCATCTAAAAGAGAAACAGCTTGCACCAGATTTCTTATCCCCTGCAACTACCTACTGCCAATAAACAAATACGATTCATGATTTTTATAGGATAAAAAACTTCACTTTCCATGCCATCAAAACTTTCATTCTTCCTAATGCCAACGGTTCAAATCATGTTCTCTTTATTATTTTCTCTCTTTGTATAAAATAGTAAACCATTACAGTTGGCCGTTGACTCTACGGTGTAAACGAATATTCTTTGGTGAAGCAACCGATCAGAACCTAGAGGGTCTTTACTAATGTGAGCAAGCAGTCATTTCCTCCGATGACAGCAGCCACATGTACTACTCTAAGCTCTGATTGTTCTATTGCTTCGTTGTAATTCCCTCTTTTTCCAGCTTAGTTACTCAAAAAACATGTACAATTACGATTATTTTGCTCTGGCATGTTAGTCGATGTATAAAAGTGGTTCTTCTTCGCTTCCAGTACTCTTATCGCTAACTTTGCTGTTTTCGCTTGGTTTCTTCCAATTAATCGAATTCACCTTGCTAGACTCCAAATATGGCAAACATTCTCGCTTTCTTCTGAGAGAAAGAAAATACAACAAAATTAATTTTTACAAAGATAACATCCAATGGAAACCATTGTCTAGATGTATTACTGTAGTCGTTTTTTAAATTGGACGGAGAATAGGGCAAATTGGAAAAAGTATCCATCCAAAAACCATCACTTTTCGTATTCTGATGGCCAAGTGATTTTAGCTTCGTTTTGACAGACGATTAGCAAACTATCCGATTCTTCCGTTCTTTCGTGAGCTGCACAAAAGAGCTTCATATTTTGGAATTTAAGTAAGTAGCTCGTTATCTACAAGGGGTAGCACTTGATAGCTAAAAGGCCAATAAAATTGTGGCGCTCAGGCAGACTGTTATTACAGCCATCTAGAAATAAAGAGAAAAAATTTCAGGCGAGTAAATTTTCCACAGACAATAAAATTGCACGAGCCCGTGGGGCAAGCGCAATTCTTTGAAAAATTTACAAGTGCTTATTATACAAAACTGCAAGAGAAATCATGTCATTATTTGCTATTAATGTACATGAAAAAACATCGCAGAAAGTTAAGACAGACGAAATTTTGAAAGCGTGTAAGCGCTGTTTGTATTTTGCACTCGTTTTACATGAGAATGCACTCGTTTTCAGCCAAAAGCGTAAATTTTTTCATGTACATTATTAGCTAATTAATTCGAGTTTGCCTTTTTCTTTTTTGCTTTTTTGGATGACGACATTACCGCAATTAGTTGTAACATTAATTGATAACTGGAATCGCGTATGAAGTATTTCTGTCTTGTACCTGCTTTGAAAACAATGCTGGCTTAATTCAAACCGCACTTGTCTGACGAGAAGCTGCAAGAACCAACCAAATAACATTGTTAGGGAATCCTAACACTAGAAGCAGAATGAATTCAAAGTCAGTGTGTCACAAGTGTGTGTCACAAGTGTGTGTCACAAGTGTGTGTCGCAAGTGTGTGTCACAAGTGTGTGTCAGTGATCAGCGTTAAAATCGGGAACTTACAACCTGGAGTGAGTTTGCAGTCAAAATCAGTCTGTAGTCAATAAAGGCTTCACCCAGAAACTACCGGTTATCAATGGAGTACCAATTGTCAGTTCGAGTCTCTTCTCTATTCAGAATGGATTGCGGTTGATTTTCAAAAGGGGAGAATTTTTACATTCAGATTAACATAATCTACACAATAACCGAGGAAGTCCAGTCAAAAATCATTTTCCAGCTGAGACTTGCTTCGCTTTTGCTAAAGATTTTTTTTAAAGGTGGTACTGACAGAGGCGATTGTCACTAATTGACTCAGAGGCGACAAAGTAACGGTTTGTTGCTGTCACTGATCTTTCCTAAGATAGACTGACGGGATACAAGCGCCGAGTAAAACCTTCATTAAAAACAGTAAACATTCCTTACTAATCTATATCGACTTACAACGGCCGCTAGAACGTCAGCACCAATGAGCATAAAAAATACGTTGTTCCATCCCTAGGATAACGAAAAAAAATCACTCATTTTAATATAAAGTACTGAATTCTTAAAAGTAATGTTATCAAGGATTAATGTAATTAATACTGAACTTCGATGTAGCACTACAACCTCAAGTTCCTAAATGAGCTACACTAACCGGACAACTTCAATTTTCCTTGTGATTCACTTCCCTCCCAAATGGAAGGAAACGATCATATAGAGACTACAAAGGAGACAGAGAACTACCTTAGGCGCGATGAAACCCGTTAAGAGAGGCCCAAGGGTAGCACCTGTGGAGGAGACACACAGTGTGGTTAAGAAATGGGCTCAGTTTTGGAAAAGAAAACTCTTTAAAACTGCTTTCGTTCCTTTTCCACTATACCCTAATTTAAACTCATGGACTCCTTTTAACTAAGACTAAGTTGAAGATACTAGTAAATCTGACCAAATAAAGTAAATAAAAAATGATTCAATAAAAAATCCGTCTAGTAAATCTAGATATGACTTTTGGCCTCACCCAAGGAACCTGTGCCGCCGATGATAGCAGTTACCATGGCCATTGCTTTTGTGTTGCCTTTAAGACATGGATGTGAACCCTGAAATACAAATGCAATCATACTTTCGTATCCATAGATTTCAATCATTTCAACGAGAGCAGAATAATGATGATACATGGAATTAATCTCGGTAAGAGAGGATTTGTCAAAGAGACCTTCGTACAAACCTTATGTTACCAGTAATTCCTCTAAGAATATTTGTAGACCCAGGTTACTGGTCCTTAGAGAATAATGTCTCATGTAGTTCGTGCCTTACTTACTTGACCTTACGCAGTCGCGAGGGCAACGCTAAGTAAGACATCGTTAAAAAATTAACATCCATTTGCCGTATGAGTTTCGTAAGTGTGGCATGTAAAAGCGTCCCTGATTTCTATAAGCAAACATGAAAAAAGTGCTGAGAGGATTGGCTTTCTTAGACTGCACAACGGCTTAGCAATGAGGCACAGTTCTGTTCTTTAAATCTTGTATTTTTTTTCATATCCTTCTCGTTGCCGTCGCCATCCTGCTTTGCGTAAGGTCCCAATTGCAAATATTTTAGTCAGAACGAACAGTTACCGTTTGGGATGTCCACGTAAGCACAATTTGCAAGACAGGATTGGTTTTTAGAGATGCCCCTGTATCATCAAAAGTGGGAGTGATTAAAAAAAATTACCCGAGAGGATTAACTAGATGTGACGAATCAACTTTCGCTTGACTCAATCCATTATATAATAGGCCACATCTTATCGGGCAGCACAAACATTTCAGTTTATTTTCGAATTTTTGTGGCGCAAGTTTTAAGGCTCTCGCAATATCAGTAGGTGAGTCGTTAATTATAAGCCAAAGACAGTCGATCGTATATTGTGAGTTTTGATTGGAAGGGAGGGGTAAAATTCGCTAAGGTTGGGTCATGCAGCGATGCACCAAGGCATCTTCTTGAATGAGCTGCGCATTTGTTATTGGTTCCGAAATGAGCAATGTCCTTCAACGACGTCTCCTTATTTGTCGTGATATATTATCATAAAAGGTAAAGTGTACGTCAACTTACTAAATTGGCTGATACCGCCGTTGTTATCAAAGAATAAGGACCATTCACCAAAATTCCCGCAATAATCATCAAACCTAAAACCAGAGATCGACCATCAATAAGGCGAGACAAGAAAAGTTTGGCATTATAAGCTGCACATACGATTCTATTATAGACAGCTACGCTTCAAAACAATATTTCCTAACTGAGTACTCCATTTACGACGATCTAAATGAAGTAGACTGACTGTGAACAAAAGAGGACAGATATACAGACGAAGGAACTGACATTAAGATATACTGACAGAAAAGCTTAGTTTGGCTCAGTATGATTGCAAAAGAACAACGGAACAGGTAACAGCAGAATTACTGGGATCTAACCAAAGACGTATGATATTACTCAGTTCTCAAGAAATATCTGATAAAAACTTACCAATATTCGCTGCTATGTTAAAATTTGAAAGGAATCTATAAAAAAAGAGCTACAAGAAAATTGGAAGTCAGGTAAATATATTTAATCGTTACCTCAAGATAAAACATACACATGCAGAAAACTCACCACTGGCCCTGCACAAAACAACATAACCGCAACAACAATCCCACTGCAGCCAGTTTTGTCAGAGATGTATCCAGCCAAGATTCCTCCTAAAAATGAGCAAAATGGTTCGCATATAAAATCCTGTCATATAAATCTCTGCTATCCTAAAAAGCTGTGCGAACTAAAGAAACGAAGCGGGAGACATTGGAGATTAGTGAGATGACAAACGATATGATTCAGCCAAGCTTCAAGTCGTCAGGAAATAGTGGTGAAAATAGCGAAGCGTTGCCGGGGTCATTTGCAGATATTTGCTTTAGTTCATTTGCAGGTAGGCCTCATTTCACACAGCCGAACCCAGCTCCAGGTTGAAATAAACTCAGGCCATGCAGTTAGTCAACGCAAACCTGGACTCAAAAACCTGGAGGATTTTTGTTAATATAGAGTTTTAGATCCACGTTTGGTGTGTTCAGCGCAAACGTCAAACCATGGTTAGCAGTTTGTGGTTAGAGGTTAGAAGTTTCGTGACTTTCGGTTTTTTAGATCGACGTCGGCTCTCACCTGAAAAAATCAACATGTGCGCTGCCACCTTGAATTAAAAGAAAAGACTTCACTTCACATATACTTCTAGGACATACGTGAGAACTTTCGAACAGGAAGAAAAAAAGCGTCGAAGGATTCCATAACCCTAAACTGCCTTGCCCAAAGTTCTAGCGTTGACGGCAAACGGCGAACATGAACCGCTGGAGTCTAGTCACGTGACTCCTAGAGTTTGCGGTCACACGTATTCAGAAACAAACGTAGATCTAAAATTCCCTAATAAACTTTCACCAACCTATCATTCCTCCCACATCGAAGAAAGTGGACAACTCTGCAGACAAACGTACGTCATGAAATTCACCACCAATTTCTGAAGAAAAAAGGAAACAAGACATAAAATGAATTTAGATATGGGTTATTAGCTTTCCAAAAGGGCCACACTGTGCACTCACTGACTCAATTTGTACAGATATTTCCCTAAGCAAGTTGGGATTTATTTCGCTTTAAAATGTAATGTATAGTGTTCTCACAACAATAATATGTATAACGATTCGAAGCAGTTTGATTGCATATTACGTTCATAATGACAAGTAAAGCCAAACAGCATGGCGCTTCAAGCTCCCCAAGAAAATTAAAAAGTAAGTTAAGATTCTCCTTTTTAATAAATAATGGTAATTGAACTGAGTGGAGTGCAATTTGGGCTGAAATCATACGCGTGATTTCAAAACTTAAAGTAAACGAAGTTTGGCCCATATCGTGGGAGGTTATCCAAGATTCGTTGCATGAAAAGAAAAGACATATGGTACTGCTTCTTTATTCTCAGTTTACTAGTTCCATCTGATTCAGAGTGGAAACAGCGACCGAGACTTAAAAAACCTGGTATAAAGAAACAGTGCAGAGGTTCCATCTTAACCTCTAACTCATACGATTGATAGTCGGTGTTCCCTTCCGAAATTTTCGTCCTTTTTTGAATCAAATGACAGCAAAGAGAGGAAAAACGTAAAAACTTACTCGTGTTTTCTATGTAAAATGGCAACCAAAACAGGAATGTTAGACTGACCAGTTTAGCAAAGAACAAACAGAACGAGTACTCAATCACTCCCTGCAAATTCAAAGAAGGGAAGAAGATTTTTGTGTACAATCAGGCATAGATTTTGTGTCTAGCTCCCCAAGAACATTTAGAAAAGATGATTTAAATAAAAGCTCGTGATTTGGTATCAGTATGGTATTAGGTAAATGTTTGATGATACATACACCTCTGTGACGTAATGGGAAAAACAAACGCACACTGGAGATTGAAACTAAATGTGTTTGGCCTGCTGTTTGGTAATGTGAAGCTCTCTTCAGTGGCAGACTTATGTAGACCATTTCACATATTAAGGCAATTTAAACTTCAAATATAGCTCTAACTCCAACGGAGACGTTATTTGAAAAGTCAAAGCTGTTCTCGTTCGATCACGTCATTTGCCTACCGTCACAAGTTTCATACCGTGGTATCTCTAAACCCATAGAGTCCTGTTCAGCATTCTCTTTAGAATCATAAGGAAATTTTGAGTTAACTTACTGGAATAAGAATTGCTTTCCAGAGGCTTATAGCATCGGGTTCCTCATGAGACGAAAGTGATGACGAAGACGAAAACGACAAAAAAACTGAACTTGACGAAACATTGGAAATCTGAAAATTGTTAATAACAATGTGAAGTTATAGTTATAACGAATATGAAGTAACAACGAATTCTTTGTATGACCTTGGGTTGTTTCTTGTCAATGAGGTTTGAAAACGTGAAGAATGTTTTAGTGAAAACGGATCCTGAAAATATTTCATCTGAAAGAATTATCACATATACCACTGTAACACTTAGCCGAAGAACAAATCACGATCGAATTGTAAAAAAAATTCCCATTCCCTAACATAGACGAGTACTCACCAAGCCATCCTGATGGGCTGGATTTCTGACATCAACTTTCGTACTAAATGTAGCATAAACAGGAAAGGACTGCAGAAAACAAAGGTAATAATCAGATTTGAAGAGGGGACCACTTCAAGGGGACAAAGTAGTGAAAATAATTAATCTCGAAACGCAACAGCATGGTATCACCAGGAATACTAAGTCAAAGGTGAAGTAGAAGGTTATTAGCTCAGACCTCTTTAGATTGTCTCTGCGGAGATGGGCAGTCCACATCAATAGGATCTGGGAAAAAAGACGTATTCAACAGGTATCCTAAATAAGCGTTCTATCATCTTTGCAGAACCCTATATGATCCTTAACACCAGATCCTGGTCCTTTACAGCAGGATTCTCAAAGATCTGTTAAGAGGAAAGCACTTAGTGAAGATTTTAAGGATCTTCCACTGTGCAGCTGTTCAATTGACGAAGTTCTCGTAAACATACTATCACTGACACGGGTTAAGGCGTAAAACGTACCTACAACGAGGAACAAAAACACAACGATTGCCACTCCACCAATGATACAACCAGGTACAAGAAACGAGTATCCCCTGTTAAAAAGTGTAATATTAACGTCAAGCTAAATGTCATCACAAAGACAAAGCCGAAGCAATAGTTATCAGCATTGTTATTGTTTGTGACCTAAATCATATCCCGGCCCTTACCATTGGTTACTAGCCCAGATGCCAGCGATGTTGGATCCTAAGATAGCTCCAATGGATTTGTGAGAATTCCAAATTCCCATTATGAAACCACGTCTGCAAAGGATCATTGACATCAGTATAGCCGTGACTAAAACATGATGAGCGTAACTGTACATCTATTTAACAGGTACATCATGCTTTTCAAATGTACTCTTGGATTTCATTGACGTTTATGGAATTCCATGGAATTTAGCCCTCGGAACACGTAACACTGACTATAGCTCTATGAAAATCTTCGTGAAGATCCCTAGACCCATGCTGCATAGAACTAAGAGAGCCTATAGAATTCCACTGAACTCTGTTTAGCTACTTTGAGCCCTATGGAGCTTCATTTTTCCCTGATAATGATGAAGTTCCTGCTCGCTGTATGGGACTCCATGGAGAGATTAACATTCGATTAACGCCGAGTTCATAAGGCTCATTTAATGGAATGGAAAGATGTAAAATCCGGTCTGCAATGGTACACAGTGAAAAAACAATAGAATTTGTCGATCGAAACTCTCCGTGGCAATTCATGGACCTCAACGAGTTCATTTAAGCATATGGATCATGAACATCTATTTTACTTGATGAAACCGCTCGGAAAACCTTGAGTACCTCATGAGAACTATTGCAAATGAGCTTGGAATATTTCATATGAACGTACTGAACAACAAAAATCAGTTCTTAATTCTTCTAACTAAAGTATAAAGAATTCCTCGTATCTAAGCAAAGAAGTTTCTAGCTCACCAGTTATAGAAGGTTTACAACGTTTCTTACCTCCTTTTCCCTATCCAGTTGCCTACACACTCAACTACAGTGGGAAAACCGGTACTCTGTTAAAACAGAATCAATTCATAGACTTACTACCACTTTTGGTTTGCTTGTTTTAGTAAAAAAATTACATAAACAGACATGAACAACATGAGATCATTGTCAACAAAGCTAACAATCATTTATGTACTCACCTGGAAAAATCCCGCGAACAGCTAAAAGAGAAGTTAGGAAAAGTCAAATTGATTTTTTTGTGAAGAGTAAAGAATCGGGGAATATCTCCCGGATGCAGCCGGCCATCGATGCATTTGACTACTTACATGAATCAAAACCAACTGCGTAGCAACATCTATTCTATGTATATTTTTTTCATTCATCGCAAACATATTCTACTTGGCTTGAGGTTGACATCATTTTGCTATCAACATTTTTCCAAATGCTCTTGCATCCCACTTTACTCTGTAAAGTATTATGACATCAAAATTTGCAATTTCAAAACGATGTTTTAACAAATAAATACGAGGAGTACTTACCTGAATGAAAAAATAATACTCAAAGTTGTGAACCTTGTAGAAAAATCCCAAACCAAAGAGCACGGAAAAAAATCCACTGAACATCATGCCGAAGGTCAGAAAATACCTTAGGTCTATGTGCTCAGCTAGATAGCCACTGCAAGGAGAAACAATAGTCGGTAAATAACATTGTTTATAAATGTTCAACTCATAATATTGCATTTCTAGTGTTCTGATTGGCTCACTCAACTCCGGCAATCAGTACATATTGCGAATCACCTTGTATGGAAATGTATTGCACCAATTGTTGCAGATTTGAAAATAGGCTCCAAGTAACCAAACGTTCAGAATTTAATAACATTTGATAAAACAAATATTCCATTCCCGCTTTTTGGATACTAGATTAGAGATAGCCAACTTAGCGCTATGTTCCTCGTTGGTTATTTACCGTCTTTTAACATATCTGAAACAGTGGTGTTATACGAGGATTTCCATTGAAAAATACGATAATTTTTCATGTGTTTGACGTTGCCAATCAGCTGCTGACACGTCACTCGTCTTTCGCGCGACTCTGTCATGTTGATGAATAAATGGCAAAGCCTTCACCATTCTCACTCCAAGGTCGTTTTTTGAAATTTTCTCGGATAACGGTTGCTGAAACACTTAAAAATTTGTATGGCACATGACATACAGACAATGACGTTCGAAATCTCCTAGAAGATGAAGGAAATCAAAATACAAAAAGAAAAACCGAAAATCGCGAACTCGGTGGCTTTGGTACTGGCATTTCTCGTGGCTGATAACGAAAATTGACCACTGCAAGATTTGCAGCAAGCCGAATTCGGCCGTAAAAAAAGATTTTTTAGCCGTTAAAAGATTTCTTCTGTCGGCAAGGAAAAAGTCAATAACTGAGAATTTTGTAAATTGGACGTTACGCCCATTGTTTGTTTTTGTAATGATTCAACGCATTTTTTCTTTATCTTGAGTTTTAACGCCAAGGCACTTCATTACTTTTTTCGGTTATTATGGTTGCTATTGTTTTTAGTAATTAATAAAGTTGACTTTTCTAGTCAATAAGGCATTCAACTCGAAGAGAAACTCCATGCGTATCTACGCGCGCCCTTGTATTATTCTCTACATATCCAACGCGCGCTCATAGAATAAATGTTACATATACCACTTCTAACTGAATTGGTTTTACAAGGCCCCTTACATCAAAAGGGGAATTATTCAGTATTCCATTGCAAAAACATTTACTATTCCATTTCTCAGGACGGATCTAGAAAAGAATGCTAAGGACACAGGAAAGATTCACTCTCCTTGACCTTATTAACCAGAGACAGAAAACTGTACCTGAAGAACATGCCTATGGCATACGATGAAAGGAAGGCAACGTCTAGTGCTCCAAGAAGTTTCTCTCCACTAGCAGGAGAATCTGGTAAAAAGAAAGGTCTTTTTAACAAGAATCTGTGACTTAAAAATAGAACATCGTGAGTTGGCGGTAGTTCACACCCGCTCTAAAACAAAAAGTTTATACATCATACAAGGACCTCCAGAACAGCTCGAGGAAGTTATGGTGGACAAAATAGGCATAAAACAAAGAAAAAGATTTGGATTTCCTGTATGTTTTACTTCTTCAGCTTTGTAAATACTCACAATCTCGTCATTAGAGATAATTTTTTTTAGGCAGCCTTTTATCAGTCAGGTTTATGTAGATGTGGTTGTAATAATTCACCGTCAAACGTCCCGTCCAACAGTTTAGAAGGATTTACACTTTCCTTGATATGTAAGGAGTGCAAAGTGTGGAGTTCTTCAAACATTTTAGAATTTATCACTTACTCACCAAAGGGTGCCCATCCACGGCATAAATTATCAGCTGTACAATTGTGAACTGTGAATTCTCCCTGAACAAGAAACAAATTGTGCTTGATGGTTAGTTGCCGAAATGAATTTTGGGTGGGAAATGCTCGTAACACCGCCTCTACGTACGCACACTATGATTGGTCAATTTAGAGGGCTGTATCTTACTGTATGACCCGCTAAATTTGAAACCTTGTTTGAAATGAAACCTTTCCCCTCTATATGAACCCAAAGATACCATGAATACCTCACTAACCTCGTTTTCTTGCTCCTTACTGCATGTAGGTCACGGAACCTCGTTTTTCCGCTTGGATTTATGCCCCGCGCGGTTTGCAATTGGGCATTCATAAACCCGAGTAAAAAACACTTGGTCTGTGACTTATAGTACAGACCTCGAACTCGGTTACTAAGAGGTATGTAATATTATTGTAATTGTGTGCTTCTCACCTTTACGACACTGATTGGTCTTCTTGAAAGTTGATAGGAAGCATAGGCGAGGAAGGTTAGAATGAGTACCCATGTGCGATAGCTGAGGGGAACAAATGGCGAAGTTTAATGAGTAAATTAGTCAGTAATTTTATACTCAAAGCAACTGTTTCCACTCAGGGAAAGGTCAACTCACAATATCAATTCCGTTGATTCAACCAGATTATCTCAAAGTCCTAAATAGCCGACACTCAACTATTCGAATCCTCCTCAATTTGAACGAAAATCGATATCCTCATGACTCAGTCGTGCATTCATCTTTCTTTCACCCTCACCGATATTTGTTGTGTGGATGAGTAACACTTCAAAACTGCATTTGAATTTATTTCGAGGCAGTCGTGTATTCTTTTCCTTTTTTCACACTATGATTCCTTCTATCTCATTACCGCCAATTTTCCTCTTCAAAATGTTTCATTTCTCTCGACGTCTCGGCAATGTACTTCATTTGATCAATGGAGAAAGCTATTTTATTAAAAATCTACATAATTTGAACTTGACTTAGTACAGTAAAAACTTATTTTGTCTTATTTCTGGTTGTCTCTTCTCCAATCTCGATAACTAGGAACCTCTTTCAAGCTCTCATGAAGTACGAGATATCGCAATTCCGGGCTGGGCCCATGTGCCTCTTTAAGGTAAGGAACAAGTGGTTGCTTTATTTTTTTCTGAGTTACACTTGCTAAAGTGTGCGCCCCTGAGGAAGTGCATTTCAAGTGAAAAGTGAATAAAATCAAAGGAATTAGACACTGTAACCCCATAAATAGATTGCGATAGTTAAAGATTTTGTAGAATAGATTTTGAAAAAAAAAGTATTCTTACACTTGCGTTGTTCGTTCGGTAGTAACCCATCGAATGAATTGTATTCCATAAGGAACTTTGCTGCGGTGATGATCGTGGGCCCCCAACTGTAGAGATGGCATTTTTGAGGCTTGCAAGAATTAAATCAAGAAAAGCCTGCAAATAACGAAAATGATTGTAAGACATTCATAGTAAAATCATTACATTAGTTACTAGCTATATCACTGCTGTAGCATGGGACTGGTGGATTTATTCAACCTTTTTGGTACGATAAGCTGAATTATATACGCATTTTGATTAGTTCTTTCTTATGCTCTATAGAAGGACAGACGCCTAGATGACGTCACCATTAACAACATTTTGCTTTGATAAAACCAAAAAAAATTCCATGTTGTCGTGCGTCTGTTCAATAATAGATCACAGACGATAAATCAATCTTTATTGTACTCACTCTTGCTCAAAAATAAATCACAATAATGAAAATATTAAAAGTAAAATTTAGAGTACTGGTTTCCTGGAAAAACCATGGGGGTTAGCGGAGCCAGGCGGCCAGTTGACATTAGCATTAAATAAAATTAAATTACATGTCAGCAAGAAAACAGAAGCACAAATGCACGCGAAAAAAGAAGAAAAAAAGAGGAAAACGGAATTTTGATGAGCTACATTCACTGTAATTTAACGAAGCTCAAAAATTACCGCCATCTTTCTCGCTGACGATTTTTGACGTGCAGTAAGAACATCACGTGCCACTTTCTGTTCTTATCACATTTTTACATCATTTGTGGTCTATAAATGAACAGAGGTACGGCAACATGCAGTCTATTTGTTAATTTTAATCGAACGAGAAAAAAGGAATTTCAAACCACATTGGCTTTCTTGAGATCGGGTGTTTCAGAAAGAGCTCGTTATTCCTTCACCCTCACACTATAAAAGAAGATTAGATAAAACTGCTCTTGTTCAAGTGAATCTATGTGGTAAAGTAGTCTAAAATGTTACTCAATAAATACTCTATAAAGTTAATCTATAATTACTCTGTTACTCTATAAATACTCTATAAAGTGAATCTACGTGATACAGTTTTGAAACTCACAAGCTGCTTTAAGTAGTCTAAAATGTTACTTTGTAAAGTGCAAAAAGTTTTCTGAGGTTTTTTTACGTCTTGCTCATGATTTACCGCGTGTTGATTACCAAATATAGATCACTTCTGTGATCTGTTCTGTTGTAAAGCACGCTAAGGGCGGAAATAGCACTGGAGAAGTGCACAGAGAAAACAAGAGCCAGACGGCACGGAGTCAAGCCTTCACAAAAACCTCACTCTCTCTCATAAAACCACACGCCGCCTCCCACCTAGAACGACGTTAAGTATATCGATTAGGACTTATACTTGTGCACTTGGTTAACCATGAATGCTACCCACTGAAAACAGAACTAACAGGTTGTTAAACTTGAAATGACGGAAGAACTTGAAAAGAAGAGTTTGAACATTCCATATGCACCCGTTCAGAGAAGTACGCCGATTCTGTTGTGGTGGCATTATAATTAAAGACAAATATTGTAAGCGGAAATCGATGTGGAACGAAAAGGCCGAGTCCGGTGTCGTATATTATCAACAAGCATTAATATTCCGCGAAAAACTTCCGAATCACTGCTAAAAATTGTATATTGCGTATCATTTGACAGTCATACGCCGGAGGTCCAGTGAATATTGTCGAACAAACCTCTCGACTTCGTTGCGTGTCGATTATTCGACATTCTAAGGCAGCGCAAACTCACAATCTCAATGCTCAGTGAATGTGCTATATTGCGTGACGCAAAGACTTTTAAAGTTTTTATGGGAATTGAGATGTAAAATGGAGAAAGGTTGTCTTATAATTAGCTATGCTTAAATTGATTTAAAGAGGTAACTTAAGTCACTGTCGTTATATCACATGTTGCTATATTTTGATTCCTTGTGTCAAAGGTAAAAATAGAATCGCAAAACCAGCTTAGATCACATCACACTGTTAAGATCAGGGCAAACGAAATGCAACAAAAGTGGGATTATCTATCTCTTGTAAAGCCAGTTTTCACTTACGATTAAGCCGGAGTCGGAGACTAAATCAGAAGAGCAGAGTGATACGATCTGTTGAAAATTATCGGAATCGGAAGAAAAATATCGATACTGCTTACGACTCCGTCGCCTTCGATGCAATGAAAACTGAATTGTTTGAAACTGGTTAGTTCCTCTACTTCTGCTTGCGATTCCGCCAATCGAGATTTCACTAGATCTTATGCATCGGAGTCGTAACGGAATCGTTAAAAATGAAACCATTGTGATTCTTTCGACTCAGATTCCGTCGAGCTTATGACTCCACTTACGACTCCGATTTTGATTTTTACTTGGCATGGTTCGGAAGCACTCTCACGACTCCGACTACGACGCCATCGCCAGTGGGAACCAGCCTTTCTGTTCAAATCCGCTTGCCGCCAGAGTAATCTCAAGGTGTACGTGGCTTGAGCTCGCCAGAACAGGTTGATGGATGCTGATCGAGTGCAAGCAGCAAAGACTGCGTAATCCACGAGCCCTTATCTCTTTTAGTGAGATTTTTCGGACGTTCCTCGTTGAATCTCTTTAATTTCAATCTTTTTTTTTATCAGCCAGGCTTCTTTTTGGCTTTAACCGAAGGACTCTTCTCTGTTTCACCTTTTCCCATTCACAGTCTAGTCTAATACACAAGAATTATAACAAAGATCACCGAGTGAAATTAAATCAGGAGGTGTCTCAGTGATTGAAATTCAAGAACCAGGATATTTACCTCTGAAAACATATCGGTAGTCATTTATATTGACAAGTTTCAATTGGCTATCCCCTGTTGTGGCCGACTAGAGAATTCAGCTCGAAAACACGTTTTTGTAAATAACTCGTGCACGTTTCAATTTTTTACGAAACTTTTTTTTATAGTAATGTCTCTGAAGTCTACGCTGAAGTAGAGTTTAAATCTCTTTGCAATGATTTACCATGAAAGTTAATCATTCCTTAGTTTAATATTTCGATACAAGTTAGTGATTGTGTATTGATCGCCCGATGTACTTTGATCAGTTACCGAAAGTGAATTATTCTTTGATATGTATCTGTGCATTCTTAAGAATTGTCTTTGTAGTTTAGGTTTGTAAACGTCGAAAATGTTTTTGATCATTTGTTTGGTTTGTTCTACAACGGACTTGCAGTTCCTGAGCTAAGTCCAACCACTCTGAAATCAATGATTTGATGAGTCGCCAGCGAGGAAATACGAAGTTCACATTGTTTGAAGCTGCAAAACGAACTGAACAGCCATGGAATAAAAGGTACTAAGGTATTGTTTGATCTGTTGTTATTTTCAAGGGTTGGACGCCGATTTACTTGGAAAGATACAGCTGAGGTGTGAATAGCACTGATAAACAAGTCGACAACCGTCTACTGACGAATGTCACGAGTAATTCCGTATGATTTTCAAAACTGTTTCAAAAACCCTGCGGCAATTCACGGCCACACATTCCTAAAATTTAAAATTATTCAAGCTGAACACAACTTTTCGCAACCGTGAAGCCGCACCTGCATGCGAATGAAATATTTTGCTGTGCATACATGTATCGATCCATATCAGAAGAATCCATATCAGCAGTCCCAAATTCTTAAGCCAGTGTTAAAAAATGAATAGAGCTACATTGAAATGATTGGATACTATTCATTAGTCTCGCATTTTCGGAATGTAACAGCATTGTTTTGTAGAATAATCGTAATAATTTTCTGTATAAAAACCACGAGAGAAACTCGTGTTTCCGATGATAAGTTATGCTTTATTGTGCTTAACCATAACTGCTTCTATTCATGTCTCAAGTTTCACATAAGATAGAATAATCACTACAAGAAGAAATAACAACTTGTTTTCCTTTTTGTGAGCTTAAAAATACACTGGAATGCTTCTTCTGATCAAGTAAAACAATGTTTCTGGTTTTGTTGAACTATCTGATAATTCAACATGTTAACGCATGACTTTTGAGTTGTGGTTAGCACGAGTTGAGCGATTTTATACGGCAAACAAATCTATGGTTATTTTCCCTGCTGTCAAGTAACCTTCTACATCGATAAAAATTGTCAAGAATAACGTGAAAAAGTGTAGAGTGTTCACTGTATTTTCATCGCTTCTCATTACACTCTAACCAGTAAGACTCGCTGAAAGGAAAAATTTCTTTGAGTTGATACTCTATTTTATCAGATTCCTAACTTTTTCAAATACTACAAGTAGCCTTTGTAAAAGTTACTCGTGTTGATTTATCCCGAAATCATGCGATTACCTGTACAAATTCCATTGGAATTTTTCGAAAACAATTTCAGTTTGTTTGCTCCTGGAATTTTGAAGGGGATAATATTATATTCAAATTACGAAGCTATCCGACAGTACTGAGAAACATTCTTTCCTTTTGCCTTAACCGGCTGAAGATGGTGTATCAGGCGGCTGTGAGTGGGCTGAAAAGATCTCACGGGAGGGATGAATATTGATTGGAATTATTTTTCTGAAACTTGTGCCAGAAGAGAATGAAATTAAAAGAAAAGAACAAACTTGACTGAAGCTGCATGAAGACTAGATTTAACATGTACAAAAGCTTTATTTTTTTCAGAATTAATGTACCTCATTTATTACACTGATACGTTAATGTTTGTCATGTAAGACATCTCCATGGTTGTGTCTGTGTTGTTTTCGTCTTTTTCATACGCCATATGAGATCGATATTTTTCTCAGCTGATGCCGAAGGATGTATGTTGACGACTAGACCCATGTACTAGCTTTGCGAGCAAGCCAATAGCGCTGCAGGAAGCGGGAAATTTGAGATCAGACAGTCGGAGAGAGGTTTACTGAGGTCACAAGCTTGCGTTGTATGAGGCCTCGTACCTTCCGCTGGCGAAGAAATGCTCACGCCGAAGCGCTATTTTGAAATGGTTTCTTGCTCGCAGGCTACAACTTAATAGAAAGCAAAAGGAAAATGGAAAAACTGATCCCTTATTCGATGGTTCAACGTATAGAACGAGCGGAAATATTGCCCAGGGCTCGTATTCAAAATTTAAAATAATCAACGATCAGTTAAATCCTTTTTCATGACGAGAGTTTTTTAGGGATGGAAATCGGCAATTTTCTCGCCCCGTATCAGTTAGAATCGTCCCCAAAAATAGTTTACACAATGTTGTAAGGCTCAACTCATAGAGGGCACTGCCCTTACATTCTGTACAGAAAACAGAACTAAGGCTTTGAAGAGGAACGAGAGAAAATTGTTCAGCGAAATCTACTGTAAGATCCAAAGACGGTTAAATTAGGTAAATACATGGATAAACGAACAAATGAATAGGAGTAAAAAGTATAGGAGTATAGATAAAGAATTAAGTTATGAATATGGGGTGACGGTCACTCGGCGGAGACCAGAGCGCTCTAGAAACAGGAATATGTCCTTAATTGAGTCGGTTCAGTTCTAGTAATACATAAACACGGTGTTTTCCGTGATGGGAATTTCTCAAGGCAGTCGTAAGTGACATTATCCTTAGAAAAAGGTTTGACTGTGTCAATTATAACGCAATGTTAACATTTTATTCTCGTCTCATCCTGCAACCGGCTGACCCTATCGAGACAGTCGTGTGACTGGCACCACTGAGAAGGTTATGTGCTTTTACTAGCTTTCAAACGAGAATTAAAACTTACAATACTTCTAGTGAGCGGGAAAAATGTTGCAGAAACGACCCTCATTTTCTTTCACATACCTGTGAAAGACGTTCGTTTGGGCATTGGGCTACAACCATCTTAGATTTTAATCAGAAAAAAGCCTTAGCGCACATGTGAGCCTCAATTGAGTAGATTTTATTTTTCACCCCTGACAATCAAGATAATCTTATATTTTCCTTTTTTCACTTCGAAAATGTGGGCTTGTCGCATACCAACGTCAAAACGAAGAGAACAAGTTATCAAAAGATACAAAAATAGAAGAAAGAACCAGCCTACTAGGTTTACATCAGCACTTGGCAAAAAAGGAAAAAAAACCTGCATAATTACATAAGATTTTGTATGAAAGAAAAATTGTCGTTCCCGCTAAGCTAACAGATGAAATAGAAAAAGCGATAAAATTTTCTGGTTTATAATAAGAGTCGAAAACAATTTTCGAAAGTGAATTGCGTAAGACCACCGTTAAATTAAAAGCGACTTTAATTTAGCAATGAATTAAATATCGTCTTTCCGCGTCTTCCTTAGTGTCTTTAAGAGGACAGCATTCCCAGTACGGAGGAAAATGTGCGGAGATCGGTCTAGTTAAAATTGAATTGAATTATTTCTTACCCGATTGGGAGTTGTCCCGATCTGCAGGAGGAGTAGAGACGAATGAATGACTTTTTAAGTTTAGACACTCCTAAGTAGAAAATAGTTATTGTTCTTGCAAAACTCTCATGAAGAAGGCGTGACCGTGACGTGACGTGGCTTTTAGTGGTTTTACGGTTACCCTTACAAACTCCCGGGGAGGAGTGGTAAGGGGGTGGGGTGGGGAAGATAGCCTCTTCTTCAGTGGCTGTCAGGATGTTGAAATACTTAAAATGGTTGACAAGAAGACCTCTCTCTCCAATATGAATGAGGCTTTAAGCTATGATGGTGAAAACTTTCAAGAATACTTTGAAGGTGAAGAGTTTACAATAGGTTTACATCTGAAGTTTATTTAGGATATATAAAAAGCAAGAGGTCTCCAGAATCGCACCGGCACAAACTTTCCTGAAGGTTCAAAGATTAGCCCCCTTTCCCCTCCCCCCCCCTCCCATATAGCCCCGGGCTTTGGTTAACCTTGTCTGCCACTTAACTATATATAAATTTCGCTTGAAGGAATTTTTTGTTCTCGAAATTTATTTCCAAATCAAAGAGAAAAATATCGAAAAAAATCCCCTTTAGAACCTTATTTATGACTGACTTGCGGGAAAGCCTGCTGAAGTCATTTGGTCATTTGACAACTGGGTGATTATCTGAAGTCAAAAGATAGCTTAGCCCACTGTAGCATTTACCATACCATAAATAAGCGTTGGGAAAGCATTTGACGGAAACATTCTCATTGAAGAAAGGCTACGAGCTCTCGAACAACCAAATAGCGTTGTTTTAGCTACTGCAAATCCCCGGCTTCCAAATGGGTTCTTGCCGTGACTAAGGCCATAACGGTGTTGCATAACTTAAAAATTGAGCAACAAATTTAACACGTGACCTCCTTACTTGAAAAATTTGCTACGTAATTTGTCAGCTGGTCTTCGTCACGTTTACTGATGGTCACGGGTTGCACGTGCAAACCGATGGCTATTAGGTTACAATGTCAACTTTCCTCGAACTTGCACCTCTTACTTGAAACATTTTCACAGTTGATATATCAAATATTTCCACTCACGAGCGATTGGTTTAGACTCGATCGAGACATGAACGAACTTGTCCCAGTTAAACATGAATAACACACCAACAATAACCTTCATTTGATGCAAAATTTTTTTGGGATATTTAATTTTTCCCTAAACTTTATCTGTAATCTTTGTGTGGAACAATTTTATTCTTTTCTTTCAATCTATCAGCCTTGAGGAACTTACCACGTTAAAGGCAAATGTAAAGGCTTATTTTTGAGCCAAATAAAGGTTGCTGTGTTTATTATCCTTCAAAACACATGTACATTTTACAAATCGTGCGAAATAAGCGATTTACTGACAGTTTACTGTGAAAAAATGTAGGAACAAACAAGCCTGTCTCTTTTCTTCTGTTACAACATCAGAACACCTTTTCATCTAATACAAAGACTTCGATGGCATAGGACGCAAGGTTTGAAATTGGGGACTTTTACCGGGAAGTTCCTTAGACTGAGTAAGATGTCATATTCGGTCACATGATACGCTGAAATCAATCGCGTGCTAATCGATCTGGTGTTGAAATCCATTGGAGTTTGCGCGGATATCACCTTGCCAAAACTGGAGAAATTGTGGTGATACTGTCGGAGTGAAATTACTCAATTTTCAAACCTTTCGTAAATCGTTACGTTTAAACTCGGTTACTGCGAGATATTGCCTTAGAAGACTAGCCTTGTCCAACATAGGATACAAAGTAGAATTCGCGTGGCAGCTTCGCTATCTATAACCAAAAATGACAAAATATCGTAAAACAAACATGAGAATGTTTCTTAAAGCTGGATTTATTTTTTTCTTTGATAACAGGGGCTACAAAGTTCATTTGGACATATGATCCAAACCCCTCGTTGCGATGAAATGTCATGTGATAGTGACAAATTGTTTTGCAATTTTCAAAAATATTTTTAAGGTATAACAGTAAGTGCTCTGACATCAATTTAATAGTTATAGAAAACAATCATGCATATCTTTGAAATTTCTTTCTACTGATTCTTTTCAGCACGCGCCAATAACTGAATGTTTTTTAAGCATGTCACCGCGAGCAGAAGTCCTTCTCTGAACTTTGTCTCTCCGCACCACATCCAGATAGTAACGTACGCTCTATTCTCTCGCTATGGAAGTTTTTGAAGCGCCTCCATTATACTGTAATGTTGTTCAAAGTACTTTTCCAGTAGACTGTACTTCGCCCCTTTTTCAAGGCACGTTTGGTCAAGCTACTCAGTACAAACGTTCCTTTTGGTTAAAATTTGACCCATTGTCCTCTGGAGCTAAGACCCTCGCTCATTTGGTGCTGAACGATTAAATCCTTATTTCGTCTTTTTGCCTTATTCGAAGACGCAAATAAGCAAGCCTTTTTTCTTTGTTTTTTCTTTTTTATGTAACAGACATTCGGTCAAGAGCGAAAGCTATTTCCGGTTAAAAAAAAATCTCCAAGCGTTCTATCACGAATGATGTAATCTGATTGGTTATGCTACTCACTGCTATTCCGTGATAGATAGTGGGTGGTGTGAATAGCCTAATAATGTTCAGTTGTGTACAGATTAAGATGAAAACACGAGCCTATATCGTTGTTAAGATTTAACGATTAGCAAATGCATTCTGCCAAAATAGACTTATTCCTATGCGTGATACTAGATTATTCGGGCTTCGTCCTACAAACTATCACGCAATGGAAATCTCGAGCTCACGGAGAAGATCGCGTGCAAGTCTTCAATTTCGTCATCCGAATGAAACGTTACACCGAATTTCGTATTACGTGATAAGTGCATTGAATTTTTAGTAGTGCTGACAGGAACTCGTCGAGACAAAGTGAAATGTTTATGATATAAGAATGTCGGACAGGGACTCGTCGAGATAAAGTGAAATGTTTATGATATAAGAATGTCGATCGATTTTCGTTTAAAACTTGAAAAAAGCTTTTACTCTCACCCTTTTTTTCAAAATATTTATCTCAGTATTATCGGTTCGATTCGTAATGGAAAGAGTTTTTACCTTTTATTTGAAAATATTCACCCATTATGATACCATTCACTACAACATGACATCAAGAAACTGTTATTTGACACCTTAAAATTGCTTTTTAAGTTGTTCGCATGAGTTTTTCTGGAAAAACAAACCCTGAAATTAACTCTAATAATCGTCAACCTTGAGTCACATGCCATCGATAAGAAATGGAAAGGAGAACATCCCCCCTCCCCCCTCCCCCTGTCACCCGACCCCCTCTGAATCCGGTCAGCGGAAAGAAAAATTGACGGACACTTTCATCTTTTCTTTCTTGTCACAGAATGTTCATTATAACTTACTGCATTTTCTTTGAAAAAAATTCTGAAACTTGCCTGGCCTTTATCTTCAGGCGACTGAAAGCAATCTTTAAATTAAGCAAGAGTGTTGTAAAACTGGATTAGTTACAGCGGCCACCCAAAGTGAAAAACTCAGGAAGCCCATGAGAACTCATAGCAAAACAAACATACTGCCTAAAGCGCGGGAAAACGCGAATAACAAGATGCAATTCGTTGAAGTTTTGTTTGACTGTTTGAGAAGATAGCGCGAGTTTCCTAGACTAATGAAAGGGCGTAGTGAAGCAAATCAAACTAATCCAGGACTATCTCTGATGCTACACTAAAAATTGATCTAATTGTTAAGATCGTTTTTCTATTGAAGGGAGTTGCCATTTTTGTCTCTCTCTACCCAGAAGTAAAATCGGGATCAGCGAAGTGTCAATGAACCTGACGAAATGACGAGAGGCAACCGGCTACGAAGTCAAATCCCATTCAGGTGTAGTAACAATATTTCTAAACGTCTTTCGCAACAAAATCCTCGATAAAGCGCTTAAAATCCCCTTGATCCGAGTGCGGACTTTGTTTAAATTGGAACAATGGATTAAATTCAACCACAACATGGACACAAAGATAGGATCAGAAAACTACACAGTAACTATTTGGACGAACATATTTTATTTCCTCTTATTTCATTCAATAGATGCATTCCATTAAAAACTTTTTAAATTTCGCCAAAACCGTTTTACGTAATTTCAAAGCCTTCCCCCCCATCACAGTCTAAAAGCCTCGGGCTAGGTGTCCAACCGAACTCCTACGGCGAATGCCGGATTCCTTTCCACAAATGTATGCTGCAAGACCGTCAACATTTACTATAATTATTCGAATTACCAAAGTAGCAATTCCTATGACAAAAGCCACTTTATGAATGTTCTCAGCCACTTTTTAAAATAAAAATACCCAAAACTAAGACCTGTAGTCTCCTCAAGTGGCTACTACCTATCTTGAAAATATCCAGTTTCATTGTAACACGACACCACTCTAAGGATATGGCGATACAAGAGAATGAATATTAAGTATAAAATTATCTGGATTTCCTATTTACACTTATCGCATTCATTTTGAGTAAATTATGATTGAAATACTTCTTAAAATTTATAGAAAACTTCCCAAATATTTCATTCGTATTTGATGTATATATTCGTTTGCCTTGCCCTTCATTTCTTCAAAAACAAATTTATTAACTCTGCGATTAAGGAGAAAGATGATTTCTTCATTCAAGGAGGCGCTTGGATTTTAACAACAATGTTAATCGTTGGCTAAATTAAAGAACAAGTATTTTAAGATTATGAAAGATTGTAGAACTCTCTTTTCCCGCTCGTGACCGTCAAAGCCGGGTTCTGATTGGCTGGTGATTTGTTGTCAACTGCGTCGGCTCGCGTCGGTACTTCAACTCTAAAGTAAAAATTTAAGCCAAACACCAGTAACCTGCGTGAAGAAATTCTTTGACTTCCGAGTCATTTATCCATTTCTATTAGTATGTGTTAGCTGCTGTGCAGAAGTGGCTCCGCTTCGCTACGTCGTTCGTGAGGTTCATACGTAGTACCATTTCTCAAACTGGTGTGACCAGACTCCAAATACGCTAGGCGAACTCGCTCTCTGTGGAGTGAAAACGAAAAATTCAACAACGTTAACTAAGTTCGGTTTTTTTCCATAATACCCGTATAGAAGGCAAAAATGTATGTATTTTTGTCATTTTAAATGTTACTCACCTGCGCCTTAAACAGTTCTGACTTATTTCAAACCATACTTGTCTGCTGAGGAGCTAAGAGTGAAAATAAAAGGAAATATCAGTTTTAAATCACACAATTGCTTTCATTTGTTTGTTTGGTTTTTTTTTTTATTGCACGCGTTTTCATGTTTTAAACTAATTGTCGAGATAGAACCGATGAAGATTGGGGTAAACTGGTTGAAGTATACTGATTCTTACCACAGACAATTATTGCAAAAGCTACGAAGGACTCGCAAATTTAGGTTGAAGATTAAATGAAAGCAGATCTTTGCCCAGCTTTTACGCGAATTGGCCACCTGATAAGAAAGAAGTTTTTATCTAACACCACCATATGTTCAAAACTGCGCGATTTGTTCATGTATACGAGGAAGTGGATGAGTGTAGTGGGTTTTTCCTCTGTTTTCGAAAAAAAAAATTTATATATACTTACAATGGCGGCAAAAAGGTCGGCGGAAATTAGCATGTAAAATACATTGTTCCAGCCCTGGTAGAAATATAACAATATAAACTTTATCATAAGGAATGTTTACCATTAGTAGACTTTCTTTTCTCAATAAGAAACTTTTTTTCCTCTAAACACCTATGTCGATATATTTTGAGTGCTACTGAGTCGTTGAAAACTGCGCAAATTAAAGGGAGATCCCTGTATTAATAGTTTGATAGGGCAGAGAAATGCTAAAATAAGGACGAATGAACAGAAGGCATCATTAGGCATGGCAAAGATTCGCACTAGTTGAAAACGATGACTTTTCCAGAATTTTTTCAAGATCTTCCAGGCGTGAAATTTCTCCCTAAGTTCTTATCGACACACGGTAACTCAAGAGCTAAAAATTTAAATTGGCCTTTTTAAGTAGGAATTATGAGTCTTATGATTCGAGGAGAATTTCTACAATAAAAAGCATTTGGTAACATACCGTTGGCGATAAAAGTATATTTTTATTAATAGTTTGCTTATTTATTCCATTTAACAGAAATTATTTACTTACCGTTGGCGAGATGATTCCCGTTAAAAGCGGTCCGAGGGCAGCACCTAGCATGAGGAAAGGTAACGTTAGAGACGACTTGTATGAAATGGTAAGAAGATTATTCTTCCTACAAAAAAAGAGTATATAAGAGGATAAACCCTTTACACCATATCACCAGTAGGCACATTCTCCATTCTGGTCTCTATACATTTTCTGATGTGCTTGCAAGGAGAATTTGTTTCACAATCAAGAGGTTCTTTGGTTAATTATCGTTTCCTTTATTCTCATGACTTGATGTTTGAGTCTTGGGTGATGTTGAAAGGAGAAATTAGATGCTGATCACTCTCAGGGATTAAAAAGGTTAAAAGAAATCAGTCATTGTCTATAAGGCTGTGGCGGAAAGCAAGTGTAGGTCGCCCTTAGGAGTAACTGGCATCTAAATTCTCTCGAATCAAACAAGGTCTTGAGAAAACAGGAAATGATCACAAACTCAAAAAACGCTAGATTGTTAGACAAATGCTACTTGTAGGTACCAAAGGAAATGTATACAGAACAGTATGGAGAATATGCATTCTGACGTTAGGTAGTAAAGGGTTTAAAGAGCCTTTCATCAAATGAAGTAAAGAAGGTAAAATGAAATGACGCAGCAAATTTTGAAGAGCCGAAGTTTAATGCGAGCCTTTCGTCACAACACATGAAATTTTAGTTTTTCAAAACTTGCCTCAAATGATTCATTTTCCCTTTTCAAGTGATCCTGTTTTAGTTTCAGTCGAAAACAATGTAGGTGTTTACCCAACGGAAATACATTCATTAAAACTAGACTACAAATTAGACGAAGATAATTTCTAGCACTGTGGTTCTACAAGATCTTTCAATAGAATCTTCAGTGTGTTATCCTCACCCATGGAGCCTGTGCCATCTATGATTGCAGTGACGGTAGCCATGGCCTTTGTATTTCCTTGAAGACATGGATGGGTACCCTGCAAACATGACATTGTGTTAACCCTTTGACTCCAAGAAGTAATTACCATGTAACCTCTTCCTATAATACCTCTACATTATCCAACAAATAAGTAATAAGAATACTCAAGCTTATCAGAAAGAAGTTATTTTGATATAACACCAAAATCTCTTCCTATTTTAAAAGGAAATTTGTAGCAGATAGAGTGGAGAATTAACGATCAGATCTTTGGAGTTCAAGGGTTAAAGGGCAGTTTAAACAAACAAATGAAAGTTTAATTAATGATTCGGACTCCACTTTTTTAAACATAACGTGTCTTTAGTCATGAAAAATTGAAGACCCTTCTCATTTTCGTCAAAACGAAGCCCAACTGGAGACGGGAGGAAAGAGATTTGCATCTCACGGAGAAATTCATGAACATGTTAGGACCTCTGCTTATTATTGTTTACGACTTCAATTTTTTTTTCCATTCCGATCACGTTAATAGGAATTGGATGTTACAACCTTACCAGATTAGCTGATACCGCTGTTGTGATTAAAGCATATGGACCGTTCACTAGGACGCCGCTGAGTATCATCAGAGCTGCAATCAGTAAAAAACACATTCATAGTAAGCTAAGGCGCCAATGGAGTGTTTTACCACAAACGTCTCGTCTACACTACACTGGAGAAATTTCAAAAAGCACCTTTCATTCCGTATTTACGGCCTGACATTTACGATAATTAAATGTCCGCCAAGAAATTAGCCAATTTGAAAACGCTCTTCAATTAAAAACTGATAAATTTCAAAACTAAACGTTCTTTTTTTCTACCGTTGGCAAATCGTTCACACATATCCGCAGAGGGATGCAACCAGAAACGCCAACGGCGATCGGACACTTATTTTTGCGCATGACCAAGGACGCACTCAAACGTTTCTTTGGCCGCTGACCATTGTAGTGCAAACGGAAATATTCTTACCGATTTTCTGTGTACACGTTCCCCGGCGCACATCGTAATGCAGAGGAGACCTTTGCTTAAAGTCAATGACAAGATTGGGTACATCGATTGAACTCATTAAGTTCAAGAACTTCAGAGATGGGTTTGATCAAGAATCACTTTACTTCGCTCTCTCCGGCTTGTGATTGGTTTATTACTTTCGATAATTGACCTGTTGGTTTTTCGGATTGCTAATTTTTCTAATCAGAAGCTAATCCTTGATTTAGCGTAAATAAATATATAAATTTTTGTTAGATCGAGTTTGCTGGGTCTCGTGTACGATTTCTTTTTCTTGCGCAGCTTTAATTGTTAACAACATAACATTGAAAGCACTATTTCCAATACCAGTCTACAATATGCACAAGACATCGATATCAAAATACCTACCAATGTTAACTTTGAGGTTTGCATTGGCAAAAAATCTATACACAAAGAGCTGAAAAAAAAATTTAAAAAATAATAAATTATGGCTCGTTAACTGAAAGAAGTCACAGCATGCTCAGTTATCATCAAGTAGTCACAGCCTGTGGACTCAAAGTGGTTTATACAGAGATTTGTCGCAGCCAGTTATCCCTCGGTTGTGTACTTTATCCTTTGTCAATACTGCCTTAGATTTAAAACCTGGCTTTGGGATAAGGGAATTTCCAATACATGTACTCAGCAAAACACTCACCATTGGCCCCGCGAGGAACAACATGACAACAACTGTGATTCCACTGCACTTTGTTTTGTCCGAGACAAATCCAGCTAAGATACCTCCTACAACATAAGAGAACAGTCAACAGTCGAGTAGGAATTAATTGAAACCTGTTAGGTCAATCGAGTGTCCAAAGTAAGCCGGGATTGCATTGGTGTTGCTTTACTTCGCTCTCTAATTGACCCGGTAAAACTCGTTCTGTAATTGGCCCGGAAAAACTCGCTCTGTAATTGGCCCTGAAAACTCGCGCCACTCTCTCAACCAATCAGAAGCAAACTAAATCCAGTGGCGGCTCCGAACATGGAAAGGATCTGCCCTTCATGAAACGGGCGTAGCTTTCTAAAGAAACTGTAGTCCTGCGTCGGTGAGGGAGAATAACAAGGTAATTTGGTATTATCAACTGAGTTGATAATGTAAATTGGCCACCACCGTAAAAGCTGACGTTTCGAGCGTTAGCCCTTCGTCGGAGCAAAGGGCTCTGACGAAGGGCTAACGTTCAAAACGCCAGCTTCGAAACTCTTTACGGTGGCCAATTTACGTTATCAACTAATTTGATTATACTAAATTACCCCTTTATGAAACGCTATGTTAAGTGCTTTACCTATGATTCCTCCAACATCGAACATAGTTGACAAATCTGCAGATGTCGTTGGACCATACCGTTTACCACCAATACCTAGACAAAAAGAAATACTGAATAAAAAAAAAACATCCATAGGGTACGAGTTTATGCAAAGTGGTACTTAATTCTCCAAACTAAATTTCATTTGCACCAGTGCAGTTAAAGAATACGGCATTTGATAAACACATTCGAATTGTCCATAAAACTGGAACAGATGAACTTGTAACTGAGCTGATGGCGGCATTGCAGGTTTCATACCTCAGAAGTATATACAACTGCTTAAAGAATTACAGTGTCATTGGTTCATCTTGCCTACATGTAAGTCTTGATTTTTTGGGCTTTATCGAACCAATCTCTTTTTTTAAATAATTCTACCTAGTATGTTTTGATTATGGAGTACATTACACATTTAGAAAAATGAATAAATATCATTTGCCAAATTTTAAATCAAATTGTTCGGAAATTTTGGTTCAAAGAAAGAATAGTGGACTTGATCCAAGAAAATCAGTTGTTTGATTAAAACATGCTGACAATAGCTGTGGTATCCTTACTCCTAATAAGTAATCAACTTATGCATGAACCAAAAGTAATGGCCTAACAAAATGTGTATAAGGTTAGTTACAAACTATGCAACTACTTACTTGTATTTTCAATATAAAATGGTAGCCAGAACAGGAACGTGTAACTGACGAGTTTAGCAAAGAACAGACAAAGAGAGTATTCAATCACTCCCTGAAAAGTAAAATTTGCAGACATTTAAATCCAGGTTCCAACTCCACCTACATGTAATTGTTATTAAATTTTCAAATCTACTTATGTAGCATTTAAATTTAAGCTTGAGGGAGAAAAAAAAAACCACTGCCCCTTCCAGTTAATTTAAGTTTTACCATAACTGTTAAATTTGTCCAGCCACACTCAATTAAGTGAGCACCCTTCGTATTGCCACTGTAAGGGCAGATGATGTGTGTATGCATCTAAGTGTTACAGAGGGGATTTCTCACTTGAACTACCAGGTGGCAAATGTCATGAAACAGTTGATTCTTGAGTCAGTTATTTGTTCATTTAGAAGTTTGGAGAACACTCAAGAAGCTAGATTTACCCTCTGCTGAGCCGTAAGCAACTATTTTGCATCTCTAACTCTCTCCCAACTTCCTGCATGTTTTATATCTCAATGAGCCCAATGCTGACACATGGATCAATGGTTAAGGGAAGTTGCAAAAGCTACAAGTGCTGTTGCCATGAGAATGAGGGTAAACTACTGATACAATTACAACGTAACTTTCAGTAGATGCTCTCATACATTCCAAACTTTGTAAACAACTCTAGATCAATGCACACATATTTATATTTGATTGGGAAACAGAAATGAAACTCTACACCACTAATTCTCCAACCCAAAAAGGACTAACTTAACTGAAACAAATGAACCTGCAATCTATAACCCAAATATGCAAAATTCCTTCATGTTTAATGTTCAATTTCTTTTCTCCTGCTAGCAATCTGTGCATATCCTTAACCCTTCACACCCTAACATCAGTATAAATTTTCTCCATACTGTTCTCTATACATTTCCTATGATACTGACAAAGAGAATTTCTTTAACAATTAAAAGCTTCTTTAGTTGGTGATCATTTCCTTCATTCTCATGACCTCAATTTTTGTTTTAGGGATGATACTGATATACTGATAGGAGAAAATAGTTACTAAACACTTGGGGGCTAAAAGGATTAAAAACTCTTTCCTTCCTTTACGAGCTTTCTAACTTAAAATAAATGACTACTCACATATAACTACTCGACAAGAAGGTGTATCAAGAACAAAGTGTATATTTAGTTAAAGTAACACATACAGTAATAACTTCAGTGAAGCAATGAAAGAATGATTACCAAAACAATCTGTGGAGTGAAAGAGAAATACAAGCAATAACTACAGAAATCAAATATTTGACTCACTGGAATAAGAACTGCTCTCCAAAAACCGACAGCACTAGCCTCTCCATGTGATGGTGGCACTACAGTTGAAGCTGAAATATGTGACTCACTTGGCACCTAAAATATATTTAATGAAAGACAAAATTAAAATAACTTGAAACTTGAACTGAATGAAAGTAAAAAAAGAAACAACTAACAAAATAAATGGCCAGCTACAGGATACTCAATTTTTGAGAAAATTGAGCCTGAAACCTGACAAGATTTGTTTACTTTTCCTATTGCAATAAATGTAAAGAACCTATTTATTAAGATGGTTATTTTCCTGAAGGGATTGAAAAACAGAAAGAGCCTATATGACTTAGGATAATGAACAACTGTATTGTTACATCATATTCAACTATTCTTTCTTAGGGCATGATGATTTAGACAGAAAGGGGTCATCTTGTTCCACATCTCTGGTCTCCTTAGGTCAGATTTAAGGCTAATTTGAGCAGCCACAGAATTTAAATTTAAATCCAAAAATTGTTAGCTACATGTTGGACACTTAGAAAGCACAATTATACATAATAAGACATAAGTACTTAAACGCGTTACTGAAACACTTTCGTACATAAATAAATTTGTACCCACCTGTAGATTTCTTTTCACTTCAGTGGGCTTAGGGCTATAAGAACATGGTTCTTTTAAAAGTCTTTCTTCGTCATCACCCTGTAAACAACAATGATAATTTTATGTAATGCATAACGCACTGGTAATATATAGCTCTCTTCTGTAAAGTAAATGTCAATATGTGACCATGAAAGGCAAAACGGACACTAACAGTTATCAGTTTGAACAGTTAAACTGTTCATTATCTGTTCATTATCTGTTTGAATGTCTAAAAAAAATTCGTTAAAAGTGTTCGACAAACCGTTCGAACGGTTTGCATATCCATTTGAAATACATTAGCATCCGTTCATTTGACCGCCTAAAAAAATCCGTTAGCATATTCTTAGAACTTAATATAAAACTAATAATTCTCCATTATGATTATCATAGTAATTTACTGCTTAAAATATTCCTATTTACTGGTATGCATTCTTTGCACTCCTAGTTACCCTTAAACCCCAGAGAGTGACTAGCATCTAATTTCTCCTCACAATATCACCACTAAATCAAACAATAAGGTCATGAGAATAAAGGAAATGATCACAAACTCAGCACCTTAGGAAATGTATGGAGAACAGTATGGAGAATGTGGATACTGATGTCAGGATATTTAATAATTATTCATCTAAAGTGAAGTGAGCATTGTTGAATAATCCCTAAGACCTAAGGGGATTATTCAAAAATATTCACTGCCCTTGAGGTGAATAATTGTTTTTAATTAGTAAAGTTGCTTACTTTTGAATTCTGTAATAAATTTGTTTTGTCACTGAAACCATTCTGTTATCATTGTTCTGACTACTCAGTCATATCAAGATAAACAGCCAGTTTCCATTGGAATTTAACAGGTTTATTGAATCCAGTCTTATTGAATCCGGTCTACACAACTTCATAGCTTTCTTTTGAAAGGTTTGACACTTAACTTAGTATCATCATTTGTGCTCCTCAGAATTGTAATTTTCTCCCATTGCATTTAATTAGCACTTCCTGCATAACATTGACAAAACGCAAGGGAACCATTTTGAAATTTAGTGCCCCTGCTATGAGTGTACAAGTCTCTATAATCACCAGAGAAATTATACTAAAGAGGGTTAATCTTGAAGCAACCAAGTTAGTCCTACTTTTCATATTCATGTCCATTAGTTTACCATATAACTTAGAAAATAATCAACACTACTATAGCCCCTCTATATGTTTTAAAACAGAAATATCAAAACAAAGCTTTCATTTTGAGACTTTCTTATAAATTCTTCTGACAAAATTCCATGACAAAGATTTGCCAACTTATCACCAAAATTTTTCACAAATCCAGGATTTGTTAATTGGTGTTATCAGCTGAAACAAAATGACTCATATACTTACTGTGCCTAGTTAATAACTACTTATTTATTCATTCATTTTTAACTGATCCAGACAAGTTATCTCACCTCTTGAGAGTCTGTAACAACTTCTGTGCTGACAGATGAATCATTAGGCAGAGGCTATAAACAGATTTCAATCACAATATTATTCTTTAAATATCAGAGAAGACAAAGTGAACAAACTTCATGCAGGGAGTTAAAAAACCCATTTGGGTTAAAAATAATGATAAGATAATCCAGTGGATATTATTACAAAGATGAATAATAAAAGTAAAAAACCCATTTTAAAGTTGTGTGCCTGGCTGCCAAGCCTTTTTCTAAGAGTAGAGACAAGGGTTTCTACAGTAACAAGGTCATGTTTAGCCTCAGTCTTGCTCAAATGATTAGTACAGTAATTCACACAAACTGTATGAACATTTAGAAAATAAACAATGCTGCTATTTTAAAATAACTCTAAAGGGGTCCTACAACCCTCAAGTGCAGAGCATACCAGCTGAAAAGAAATGGTTCTTGTTTCATTCTCCAATTTATAACTTCCTATTTAAGGTTCCTAAATAAATTGAGTCTAAGATTAAGGTAATAAAAGAAGCAAGTTGCAAACTTACCTCAGTGTGTTGTTGAGGAGGTTGGCAGCCTACATGGCTGGGATCTGATGTTTAAATTAATGTCTGAATCAATTTTTTCACATTGCTGTATATCATTACACTGTACTTTACAAAACAATACTGTACCATATTTTTAGGTGACTAATACAAAAAACAAGTGGAAAGTTTAAGTTGACTACAGCTCATTCGACACTTTTTTAATGTTTTTTCAATCAGGTAATTGTGTGTCCAAATTTAACCTGAGACAGCTCATCCCAAGCCCACAAAATTCACTGGAGATGCATATCACATATCAGGTATAGGACAAATATTCACTTACCAACAACAAGGAAAAGAAATACAAAGATGGCCATTCCAGCTATAATGCAGCCAGGCACAATAAATGAATAGCCCCTGTAAAAAAAATTGAATATTCAGAAATAACAATTTTAATTGCAGTAGAGATGGATAATGATGGAGTCTGTTACAGTAAAATGACAATCTCAATCTCAACTGAACATCAAAACAAAAGAATCAGAGATCATAGCAAGATGTAACTTACCACTGACCACTTGCCCATACACCAGCTATAGCAGACCCAAGAATATTTCCTACAGATGTGTGGGAATTCCATATTCCCATTATCAAACCACGCCTACAAGAAAGTGGACAAATGCAGTTGGACAAATTGCTAATAAAATTGTTGTTTATTAATAAGAAATGATTACTCTAAAATGGAGAAATTTTGCGTAAGAAATGAAAATAAAGGTACAGTGCTACCTTAACTCTGTATCTCTTCAAGAATTATTTACTTTTCATACTTTGTCCCTTCCTTTTTATCCCAAATCCCTTTTCTTGTTTTAGGAGCGGTTCTCATATGGAACACCACACTATCTTATCATTTGGCTCTTGAACCAAACATCACTCACATGTTAGCAGAGCGTGAAATTGCACCTAATACAGGCACCAATGTGACTAAATTTTTCACTTTGGTGACCAAATCCTGAAAATTAGTCGCCAAATTGGCGACTAGAATGTTTCATCATAACCTTACCTAGAGATATAGTGAATTAAAAAGATTTGCAAAGACAAATCCGTGGCAAACTTCCTCGTTAAGTTTGTTTCCAAAACGCAGCAGATGCATCTCAATCGATAACTAGATGCCATCTTGGATTTAGGTGAGCTTAAACATTGCATATCATCCATCCTAGTGTCCCCTTTGTAGCACGTTAAAGATCTTTTCCCTAACTTAATTTCTAGAACGATGACAGCATAAAAAAAAGATTTTGTTTGTTTTTCAAAATGGCAACCAACTTTTTTTGAATTGGCTACCACTTTGATGAATTTAGGAGCCAAGTGGCTATCAGAAAAAAAAATTAATTTCACACCCTGGTTAGTGACAAGTGAAAAGAGCACAATTATGGATCACTTTAACGACAGCAGTCAAATTGCAAGGACATGAAATAATGCAATTTCTTTTCACATGACAGCCAACCATCTCAAAATTCTACACAAGTGACCCTCGCATGTCACTCTAACTGAATTGACTAAAATGTTTTCTTTTACACAATTAGCAGTGGACTGAACAAGAGTGACAGTTTAACATGTATCACGTTCAAGAACTGTTCAGAGTCATGTGAGCATATAGCATATAGAGTAAACTGCAACCTTTTTTAGCTATTTCCTCAGGTTACCGGTTGGAAGAAATACAAAAAATCCATTAATGCTGACCAGAACCAAATCTGTACATGCATGTCCTAGAATTGAAAAAAAATTCCCTTACCTTCCTTTTCCAAACCAATTTCCAACACATTCTACTACACTGGGCCAGCCAGAACTCTAGAAACAAAGATACAAACAAACAAAATTATGAAACGATACAGAACTTTGGTTTAAGTACAGCACACCATATGTTTTCCAAAGTTCATATCATTTGGTTTGAAGTCTGAAACATCTTTCAAAGGTGTGGCTTATCAAGTCAAGTTTTGAGCACATTTGAAGACAATTTTTCACAGGCTAATAAGTGCAACTTTTTGGAACCTCAAATCCTGGTAGGTAGTATATTTTAATACCATCTTAAGTTACTGGCACAGATAAATAGCATATGAATTTGTTGACTGTACCTCTCCTTTTAAACTATTTGAAAAAATGTGGTTATTGGACACCAGCCTACATACAATGTGAGCCTCAATTTTCTCCTGCCAATGAAATTGTACAGAGATGAAACCTATGTGTAATTTTTCAAACATTGATTTGCAATTTTTCCCAGTTAATGCTGTATATATTTAGTAGCAAATCAGTCAGTACAATTAAACTGGTGCTATATGCCATCCGATAAATTAATTGATTTCTGTTGCCTGATTTCTGGATAAAACTATGGCAGTATGGAGAGAGGTTATATTTTCATCAAAACTTGGAGTTAAGAGGCTCAGGACAGACCAAGTAGGGGTTTCACACAATATGTACATTAATTAGAATCCATACCTGAAAAAATCCTGAAAAAATCTGATAAAGAGAAATAACAAAGTTAAACTAGACACCTGCATGAATATGTGGCATGATTTAGCTGAAAAACATATTTATGTTCATCTTGATAGTACTGTATCAAATGAAGAAGTTGAATGGAAAACAATATCAGAATATGGCTTAATTTGAAATTTTATATTTGCATGCATTTATCTTTGGCTGCACAAGTTCTCTACTATGAATGTGAAATGCAGCCTCAAATATTAAAACGAAAGACTTTTCCTTAGACAGATTAAATATAATAGTGGTGTTTCAGAAAGGAGTAGAAAGAAACTATGCTTGGTAAATTCTTTTTTCCCCTTCAACCAAACTGTATTTGGGAAAAAAAATATAAATATATATATAAATGAATGTGGGGGTAGATTCTACCTTGTATATATATAATATATATAAATACACATCATAGTATATACCTGGATGGTGACAAAATATGCAAAATAGTGAAGTTTCCAAAAATATCCCATGCCAAATAATGCTGTAAAAAGACCACTTGATAACATCCCTATTGTACAGATTCTCCATACTGGTCTTTATAAGTTCCTAGGATGCTGTCAATAAATAAATAAATAAATAATAAGATCTTTTGACAGGGAGCCCACGTCACAAAGTGTGGTTTTCAGTGAGGCCCTGCATAAATCTAACGTAAGGATAACAGAAAATATAAATACCAAGAATAGGATAAAAGGGTATAATCAATAGAAGAGACTACATGTTTTTAACAAGACGTCTAAAAACTGAAAAATCGGAAATGTTCCTAATGCCGTATAAGAATCAATAAGAATTTGTTTGACAATCAAGAGCATCTTTAGTTGGTGATCATTTCCTTTATTCATGAGTTCATAGTGTTTGATTCAGGGGTGATATTTCAAGGAGAAATTAGATGCTAGTCACTCTTAAAAATAACCAAGACAGAATTTCTCCTTACAGTATCAATATAATATCAACCAGATAAGTGACGAGAACAAAAAAAAATATAAATTTAGGGATAATAAGTTGACTGAATACCAAATTCTCTGAACTAACATTATAAGAATTGTATCATTGACAGTAAGGAGAATTACAAATTTGATCTGGGAGTTAAAGGGTTAAGCAAGAGTTGTGAAGTGACATCATTTGAATATTTAACCAATATGCACATTTAACAGTGCTCAAAAATGTGTCTGTTCCACTGATACTGTAGTTAAAATTCATATTTTATATGTACCTGAAAAACATGCCAACAGCATAGGAAAAAAGAAATGCCAAGTCCAATGCTCCAAGAAGCTCATCGCCAGTGTCTGGTGAATCTAATGATCATGGACAACAAAACCACAAGAGTCAGATGCAGTCATATGATATCTATGATATACAACACATTTAGGGAGTTATTGGCATGTTTTAAAAACAACTTAAAGTTTTACTATAAAAAATCTTTCCACTTATTACCAAATGGTTTCCAGCCATGGCAACTTTCACTTATTTTTGAACAATTTGGTTTCAATGTGCCCTAAAATGAACAAAAGCAGATAAAAATACTGTATTAAATTACTTGCACACCTTAGTGTTTTTGTTTATCTGCCTTAAGGCCTGTTTACATGGAGGTGGGGGACACCAGGTAGGTGAGGTAACCCGCCTAGCCATGGTAGAAAAATAAAATGCATTTACATGCAATCTTACAACCCCGGGGTGCTGGGGTGAGGTTTCGTAAGGTTGATGTTGCACTTGCAATTAGGGAGTTTAAGTGCAGGCGTCCCAAGCTCAAATCTCAAGAAAGAGGAGAGATAATTCTCGGACATGTAAACTATGTATTTATTCATGAAAGCGTCACACGTTGTGTTAAGCAGTGTCAGGTTACGTGAGGAATTGTAGACTTAATATGTTATAAGAAATGGATTGGGAAACGAAATACGGCTGATTTACAACACTAAATATTCCGAAATGTGAACATTTTACACTCCTTGTGTGTCCATTGCAGTTTCTATTGATTTCTGCAATGAGACGGCTAGGAAATGTACAAATTTTTAAAACATACATGTTTAGCTTTTGAGCTTTTTGCCATGAACGCGACCCCGGCTAAGTGGGTTACCCCCCTTAAGACGTTTACATGACAAACTGTCACCCTTGCTGACAGGGTTACCCCACCTAGCAGACCAGGCAACCTGCCTTGACAGGTTACCCCACCTATCATGTAAATGTAGTCAAGATAAAACGAGAGATTATACATGGAAAGGCAGGTTACCCCACCTAGGTGGGTTACCTCACCCACCTGGGATCCCCCACCTCCATGTAAACAGGCCCTGAGACTCATAAACAAGTTTGGTGACCCCATTCCTACATGTATCACTAGATTGCAATCAGCATATCAAAATATCACTTTTTTGCAAATTTAAAAAAATCTGTATTTACAATTCACTAACACCTTCATTTTTTTCTTCTTCATGGCACCTCTATCACAACTTCTCCTCAGCACAAGGACTAGTTTTATACACAGACATGAAACACGCAATACTACCAATATTATTTTTTTCACTATTGACTTTACACACTGCAGTAAAATTACTTAAAATATTGTAGACAATATTTCATTATCAAAAAAATTCATAAAAAATGCACTAGGCTGCTATGTATCATAGGACAAGTTTGTATGTGTTTTCATTTTCTGGAAAAGGCTGAAAATTAGTCTAGGAGAGTTATGCAAATTAATCCCAACTTTTGGAATTGTACCAAAATAGACATGTGCAAAGGTGTCAAATTGAAATTACCACATGCAATGCAAAACGAAATTTTTGAACAAATGCTTCAGAAATATTTCAGTATCCCACACAATTCTCAGAGAAACCACCCTTTTCCCCACACAATTTCAGTTTTTTTCTCTCCCAAAAAGAAACTGAACACACTGTGTGGTAAGATTAGTGATGGAAAAAATGGTGTTTATTTAGTAAGTGACACAGGTTTCAACAGAATGAATAAACACTGCTAAAATTAGCATTAGTCTCTCACAGCTCAGTGGTATAAAGCATCTGAAGTCCATATTACTGATCAAAAGCCCAAAAGTTTGACTCTATTTAAGTGAACTAACCTTTTCAAGTGAGCTATAGTTTAGGGTCCTTCAGCTGCCTCAAAATAATGAGTGTTTAGCCTACCCTCCCCTCCCACTGCCCCAACATCAGGGTCTAAAATCCACAGCGGTGTTTCGTTAAACAATATTATTTTCATAAACAACTCATTGTTACCAGAAATCTACCAGATAGACAGATTTATAAACCTTCATTCAAACAAGATTCAACCTAAGCCTAAAAGCTTACGAGGTGGTGGATAAGGAAAAACAAAAATTTAAAGCCATATATGTATATATAACAAACGTCTGTAAGAAATGTTTCTATGCATAGTGCTGAATTTTTGAGATTTTTTGGGGAAGCCCAATTTCAAGAAAAACAAGAGTTATAATTATTATTACGCCATTGTCCCGATTTGAAAATAAAATCATGAAATGGTTAATGCTATTTTCTCACCTTTACAACACTGATAGGTTTCCTTGAAAGATGATACGAAGTGTAAGCAAAGAACGTCAGTATGAGGACCCATCCACGATAGCTGGAGAAAAGATGGAATGCAGTAAATGAACAGTATCACACGATAAAAATAGTATTTGTTGGTTGATATTGCTACACATCACAGCCACCACAACAAAGAGACGTCGATAAAACAAAAATTTATCTGATCTTACGCTTGTGTACGTTCTCGTCCAATCCATTGTATAAATCTTATCCCATAAGGGACCTTCTTTCGGCAATTGTCACGAAATTGTAGCTCTGGTGTCGACATTTAGATCGTGGTTTACAGAGTAATTCTTTGATAGATCCGAACTTCGGTTCATAGAAAACCTGTTTGGTAGAAAATAAGTCTATGGTTTCAGATACAAATCAAAGAAACTTATAACATGTAAATGCTGATTCAGACATCAGGAAATTAAAAATGAAGCTAATACCAAGCGCCATAGTTGGAACCGGCATTTTAGGATACACCAATTCTGTTCAGTCCGATTGTGAACTTGATTGTGAAATTCAGATACCTAATGATTTCGAAATAAATATTTTGTATGCTTACCGACTCCTGTTCGAGTTTCTTTCACTTCTCTGTTACCTTTCGTGTAAAAATAACTTTGCTGGATACATGCCTGTACCAAAGTCATTAAAATAGATCGTCGTGTGATTCGTGCTAGTCATGTGACGGGAAGGCTGTGACGGAAACAGTTGGAAGAGAGGGGGACTGAGTACGAACAAAATCGTCGTCATAACAACCCTAAGCAAGCGCTCAAGTTACTAAGTTGTTGTGCTTTGTGGCAGTTCGTCTCACGAAAAGAAACGAAAATGTCGACGCATTTTAGCGCAAATCAGGTAATGTGAAATCGATTGTATTTTTCTTCAAGGAGAGAAGAGATTCGTGGTATTAAAAGATGCTTCAGTCTCGTCATTTACCCCCAAAACGGCGCCGGTCGATGTGCGAATCCAGAGCTGCACAGAATATCAATCGTAGATCGATGTCTAGAAACATACAACTGTTACATTTGGTAAGTCTTAAGTGAACTAGTTAACACTTTGTTTTGTGTTTCATTTAATCCCGTAGTACGAACAAGAATTCGCTGCTCGGAGGTTGCAGAATTGGGAAATTCCAAAGAGGTTCAAAGAGGTAAGATGAACGATATACTTGATGAATTATTAGCCAGGTTAGCCTGAGAAACATGTCATTGTTTTCTTGGGAAGTTTTACCATCCCTTCGCTGAGTCAGAGACATAAGCATGTTGCGGGGAGAAATCTTCTTAGAGGATTCTAAGCTGTAACTCTCTTGATGAACCATTCCTCAGGTTGAGGACTATGAAATGTAAATAAGAGACATTGTTACTCAGCTGCTGTGCTGCAATAAATCTTTAACCAAACAGCTATTACCGATAAACAGAATGCACACGAATCAGATTTTTTTTCATGGTTTCGTTTTCTGTTAATTTCCTTATTTTTTCCTATCTTTTGTTTTCTGGTTTCTTTGTTGTTCTTGTTTTTGTGGTGTCTCTTTGGTTTTCATTTCCTCAGCAGCAAAAGATGGGTTGTATGGGGAGCCTAGGTAGGAGGTCCTTGGGAACAAACAAGAGCACTTCCCTATCCCAACCCTTCCTGGAATCTGATGCAACTCAGAAATGAATCAGTAGAGTTTAATTACTAACACTTCCACTTTAAAATTCTCTTTCTTCATACTAGCGTCCATCAACTCTTGAAGGCTTCACTCAGCCAATTAGCAACGACCAAGGACACATTTTGCCAGGGATCCCACGCTCTACAAAGAGTCCATGGGGTGAATTTTTGGGGACATGGGATATGAAAAAACCTCCTCTCAGAACAAAGACTATAAAGACAAATGCAATGTCCACAAGCTTGCAAAAGAATACAGAGCCTCCTGCACGCACTCCAAGCCCTAAAGAAGATGTCACTGCAGACAAAGCAAGGACTCCAACACCTCAGCAAGAAGAAGTACAGACACCAAGCCCGCAAGAAGGGAAAGCAAGCCCACGTCCACCAAGCCAGAGTAGTCAATGTAAAAAGTCACCCAGCCCTGTGGTGGCAAAAACCCCTGAACCAGCTCCTCCATCTCCTGTTAAGAGCCCTGCCCAAGAAAATAATTCACCCAAGAATACAGTTATGTTTTCTGACCCAGCTTAATGTCTGTCTAGCACCTTGTACTCTACAAGTTATCCATTCTCTAAGCAATTGCAAAAAATAAATATACCAATTTGTGAGACCTTACCTGACATTGACCAAGTGAAGGTAAAGATGTTCTTGCAACATTAAATAAATTTATGTATTATCCCAAGAATTTTTACAGGAACAAAATTAAGCATGCCCACCTAATATTACCCCTATAACCTACTCCTATTTTCTGCAACTATTGAAGACTACTGCTGAAGGAAATTAGTGGCTCATTAACTCCAACAAAAATTCCCCTTACTATCTAGGGCATGGTCAGGGTGTCTTGAGGTGCCTATGAACCCCCCTGAAGAGGTAAGGACCCATTTCAATCAAACATGAAGGCATATAGGCCCCAGGCCTTAGTTGTTGAAGGGTGGATAACACTATCCACTGGATAAATTGCTATCTAGTGGATAGCACAGTATGTTTTGCTAACAGTTTTCTGCTGGATAGTGATTTATCCATTGGATAGCATTACTGCCCTTTGACAACTAGCCTCTGGTGGACAAATGGTCAGGATTTTGAGACATAGGTGCTTCTGGACATTATGCCTCCCCCTTGTCAGCAGATTGGCAGGAGCAATAAGCCAGGAAAGGAGGCTGAATAGGTAGTTACAAGCTACCTGTTGTCAGAAAAAAATATCTGAAAGAATTAAGGGCATGTAAAAACCAATCGTCTTCCTGCTTGTGCAACAACTGGCTAAAAAAAGTTTTCAGAAGAGCAACTCAACAAAGTAAAGTTTCCTGTAGTGTTGAAATAGTCAGAGTTGCTAATTTTCAGAAAATCAAACCAAACAATCAAATTTCTGGTTTGCTGCAACCTCCATCATTGAGTTGATAACTCAGACATGTTATACTGAATCAGGATTTCCCAAAGGAAGAATCACCTTTTTTGTGGCAGTTCTTGCTCTCTGAATTGAATGTCATGGAAAATTTGGCTTCAAAGTGTTTTAATCCAAAACATTGTTGATGAAATCACTACGTATAGTTTGGCTATTATAGTTTACCTTTTTTATTAATATGGAAATTGTTACTGTTAACAGTGGTTCGAGAGCTAATTAAACAAGGAGTTAAACTCACCTGGGGCTGTTTGCAAATTTAAAATATTTGTTCTTGGAAACTCCTAGTAACACTGCAAGTCTTAGCTTGTCAGCTAGCTGAGGAATACTTACTTAAGTTGGTGGTTCGAGAGCTAATTAAACAAGGAGTTAAACTAACCTGGGGCTGTTTGCAAATTCAAAATATTTGTTCTTGGAAACCCCTAGTAACACTGCAAGTCTTAGCTTGTCAGCTAGCTGAGGAATACTTGCTTAAGTTCAGCAGTCACGGTCAGAAAAGGACCTCTAAAAGCATTGAGCAAAATTGCGTGCTTGAAGCCTGAACGTCCTGCTTACTAACTTGATCAGCCACAAATACACTAACCTGCTTCACAGCAGCACTGTTCATGACAGTCATAAAAAGTAATTGTCATCAGCTCTTCGTGCACTTGAAATATATTTGGGCCGTAAAAAGAAAATTATAATTCACCATCATGCTTACTTATAGTACGTAAACTTAAAAAAATAAAGTAATCTAGACAGGGTTTGAAATTACTGCACTCTACATCTTAATGGCTTAGCCTTCAGCAAACGAAAGTCAAAAGGGAGTGTAAACAAAATAGGTACAGGGTTTGCAAAGAAAAAAGTGTGAAAGCTCTCTCTTTCATGAGAAAACCAGCAAACCTGAGTATTTGTCAACACCAGTGTATTGTTTAACGACCTCACACCCATGCTCTGCCCTCTACCCTCCCTTTCTTCTTTTAGGGCAGGGGAGGAAAAGGCACTGTCTGATTTTGCGAGCACGCATAGTTATGTTTTAGTGTTCAGTCTCTTTGATCATGCGTGCCTTGAATCATTATTTTTCAGTTGTTTTATAATAACATGGAGCACTCTTTGATAGCAGTACACAGTGACCCATGAAAGTAATCATGCGAATCCTGGCCGGGGCATGATTAAACCAGCACCGACACACACATTGCTTGACAATAAATACATTTATTTCAATATTTGGATCAGTAAGATAAGAGTTATTTACACAACTGAGTAACACCTTCTTATAGAGAATTCAAAGTCACTTCCTTGGGAGGAACTAATTCTCCACAACCTTCGTCCAGTACCCTAAAAGCTGAACCGAATCGCTACAGAGCCCTGTCTCCTATTAACACTTCAGAAGTGTCTCTTGTTACTGAGAACAAAGGAGTCTGTTGTACTCGGAGATCAAACTTGATTTTCTGACAGTTTCCCAGGAACGAGCAGCAAAGTGAAACCTTGAAACAAAGAAAATTAAAGATGAAGAGTTGATCCTTAGAGAGGTACCTCAATCAAGGTAAAAAACTTCAGGCCTCCACAAGGATTAAACAAATGTCTCGCAGAGACCAGTGGGGTGTAATCAGTGGATAATACAGTGCAAGGGGAGAGGTGGAACACACCAGTAGTGTGATACCAGTGTGATGTTAACAGTAGGGAGTTGCCACCAACTGAGCAACAAAGCAACACGTTGGAAGGAAATTTAGAGGTCCTTTCATCCCATGTTAACTTCTCTTTCTTTGATTATCTTCATTGCAGTTCACTTGTTACTTCTACCACTGGTCAAGATCAGTAGCCCACCAGGGTAATGGGCTCATGTCAAAGTACAATCTATTTCACATATCTGGTTTGAGAACAAAAGTACTCAATATTGCACTTTCCCCCCATAAAAAAAACTCTTTTTGTCATCTCTTCACTTTCAAAAGATTCTTAAGGCTACCCTGTTCCTTTATCATAACATGTTTGCATTATTTTTTTGCAAAACAGAAGTGCTGTAGTCACAAATCATTGGGGCAGAAGGGACTGACCAAATGTGACACGAGAGGAGCGTCATGCAAAACCTTAGCATACAGGAGTACAAAAACTTCCCTCTCAGGACGATTCAGCAACAACAAAAAAAACAGTCAGGTGATATATTACCAATTTCTCTCTGTCAGGGAATGATGAGTAAGGAGGTGTCTGTGAACAGAAAATACCTGAAAACAAAACAACAGTTAACTATGAGTGAAAGGAAGTTGTGACATTATCATCAGAGGGGAATAACTTTCATTTCAACCCGGGAAAATGAGAAACCAAACAATAAATTCAATAGAAAAAGGCAATTAAAAAGGAAATAAAAAACACGTGAGTTGTCCAGCACACAATGCATCTGGCTTTCATTTTGTCAAAATAGGCTTGAGATGCTAGAAATGCAAGCAATGACAAAATAAAAGGCTTTGTGAAAGGAAGTTACAGAGACATGAAACAGAGCCATATTCAGATAGGGGTTGTCGCTTCTCATGCTGATTGACTTTGACGGTTATAAGCCTTCCCTTTCTCAAGGCTAATGTGAACGAAATGATTTCCCAATTATCTCACCCCTCTGCCCTCCCCCCCTCCTTCGCTGACTATAAGTCCATCAGGCTGTTGGTTTTTCAAGTATACAAACTCCAGGCAGGTATCCTTCAAAAGAAGGGGCCTATTTGGTAAGCCTTCTCCTTTTTTCTGGAAATTTTTTCCTACACAAACCAAGACAACTGAACGTTCAGAAAAAGCAAGAAACAGCTAGAAAAATGATTCCTATTTTGGGCATGGTATAAGAAACAGAACCACGATTTTCTTTTTTTCAGTTTTACACCTGCCCGTCAAATATCAAGGAAAATGAAACACCTTACTTTATTAGAAAAATTGAGCTCAAAGTCTGATCTAATTTGATGTTATGTTTCATAGTTGACTCGATTCCAAACAGGCCAACCCAAAACTACTCAACAAATTGACTGAGCCAGTAGTTTGTTACAGGGGTTATGGTGACAAACAGACAAGTGATAAGCCATACAATTCACAAATGAATAATAGAGCGCTTTTCGATTAAGAGTCTTAAAATCAAAACCAGTGAAAGTAATTACAACGGTTAATCAGACAGAAGGAAAAGACCTTAAAGAGCCAATAAGGATTCAAAGTAAAATAACCAAACTACCTGAAGCGCAGGAAAATGCGGACATCAAGTCATGATTGGTTTTAGTTTTGCATTTGACTGACTGAGAGAGTGGCGCACTTTTTTGGACCAATAATTACTGAAGTAAAGCAAAACGAATGCAATCCCATATCACTTTCAACATTCAATTAGAAATTTCCCTAATAGAACAAGAAGGGTGACCTGATTTCGGAGACTGTGTAAGACCACATCAAAGCTTGGATGTCCCTGATATGTGGGTGACTTGGTGCACATTCCATTCCCTTAAGAAGAAAAAAAAAGAACAAAATGTAATCTATAAAATAACTTTAATACCATGTGTGCTTTAATAAGTCAAATACCGCATTGGGTATTAATAATGGTAATCGAACTGAGTGGAGTGCAATTTTGGCTGAAATCACAAGTATGATTTCAGACCAAAATTGCATGACATGAGGTTCAGTTACCACTTTATTACATCCATTTTGAAATCGCCCAAATACAGGACTTGGTCAGTTCTTATATTTTATTGATACAGTACTGAGCCGGTTTGAAATTAAATTAATCCATTTTTTTTGGGGGGGGGGAGGGGAAAATAAAAAAGTTGCAAAATTTGCCACATAATACACTTTGTCTTTCAATTTGATTGGTTACTTTAAACAAGCCTTGAAATCTGATTGGTTGTTTTGTTTTTAGTGTGACCTGCTCATTGGTTGGGAAAAAGATGCGATTTAAAGCAAAAATGGTGTGATTCGAGAATAAATCGCACCAATTAGAGCCAATCAGATTACAGAGACCACCAGTGATTTCAAAATGGGTGTAATAAAGCCAACAAATACACAGCAAAACGAAGTATTTTGCAGCTATTGCATGAAAGAAACAGAACACACCTATTATCGGTTTATCAGCATGAATAACCCACACAGAATCTTGGGAGGACACTCAAAAGTTAGCAAATCTCTCCCTTTCGGCATTTTTTAAACAAACTTTTTCTACCTCTCTCAGCTAAGAAGAAAATTACGTAATTACTGAAAATAGTCTGCAATTTATGTTGAAAGCGAAAAAGACTTTTCATTTATGGAAAATCTGTCAAATTTGGACACATTTTACGTTGACAGAATTGTGGTTCAATTCATACTGCTAAATTTTACCTCCATGTGGTTGAAAGACTGGTACCACGAATATGTTCATATCATCACAAGATGTTAGAAGTGTTCTGTAAGGCATCAAGCTTGAGCTCAACAGAGAAATACCAGCTGAAACAACAAAAATAAAGAAATTCAATAAGTGTATGAGGATGAGGACTACAACTAGCATTTCCCCCTTTTTCCCATGGTTCTGTAGCTTTGATTCAAGACAGAACCTGAAAAAATTACAAAAAAAGATCTTTCTTTTGACTGAACCACTTTTTGAATTTTTTTTTTCTGCAACGTTTTTGCAAACAAGAAGCCATTCCTGTTTTCTTGCTTTAAGAACGGTTTCTTGTAACTGATCTACATGAGCATACATAGAAATTAAAGAGGAAAATGGCTAATCAGATCTTGGGAGTTAAAATATTAGTAAGGCTAACGTATACTTTGCAACTTCAATCTTGAGTGCTGAAACAGAGTGCTGGTCGCGTAATGCATAGAGCTCAGGTTTTCATGGTGAAAATCCTCCCTTGTGGCTTTGTTATACACAAAAACTGCAATAGAAAGAATGACAAAATGATCCCATTGCATTGAAACAACTTATATAAGCGTAGTGAAAGCAATGAAAAAGCTGCTAGTTGACTTGTGTTTAGTCTTCTTCGTGATGTGCTCAGCTCAAGGGTATGGTGAGGAGTTCACTGAGGGAAACAATGACCACATTGTGAAAATGACTGGTAACGAATCTCGAAGCTTTGTCAATCCTCCCAATCATTCAGACCTAACATGGAATGCTTAACATTGCTTCACAACAATTGTAGCGTCAGTTTGACGCATTTCAAGTTGCTTTTTCTCGCAGTTCAAGCATGTAAATATTTTGAAAGTCTGATCAGCGTTAACTTGTGTCCTACTCTCCTAATGCACTAATTCTGTCAGAGCTTACTGCCAAGGAAACTTAATCACTTACACAGCACCCTACGCGGAATCTTTGGATGTGAGAGACATACATGGTTATGTTTCAGCATGTGACCAAGATGAATTTTACCAGGGTAGCAAATCATATCTGAAAGCAACGTAAACTGCTCCTGTCTTACCTATGTTTGGATAATTCTCATCTGACTCGTCTGAAGACCCTAAGCTGTTAAACGAATAAAAAAAGCCATGAAACAACCTCCTTTTTTTCTTCATGTTATCATTCTTGCATTTTCCGGTCTCTGCTATCAGCTAGAGCTCTATTAGCATCCTATGCTTGATGAGGTTTTCTTTTTCTCCCTTTTACTTCTCTCTAGCTCCTTAAAATATTTGCTTTTATTCTGATAAGTGTGTGTGATTACTTTGGTTTTTTAACATTCATTCAGTTTTATAACATTCCCTATGATAATATAACCAAGGGCAGAGGATCTAAATATTTTCAACCATTCACTCACCCAGAGGATTCGTGTGAGGTGTGGCTGGTCGATGAAGGCTTCAACATCTCAGCTGTTTTTAAAAGCCTGAAAATTAAAAAACAAACAAACAAACAAATTATGTTCATCTGATATACCAGCTGGGGTCATTTAACATTATAGCAGTTAAAGCTTTTTTCCCCCATATTTTTTGCTAGTGGTATCTTTTAAGAGCCCACTACACAGTCTGTAAATGTTGAACGTTTAGATTCATCTTTTCAAGTTATCTGTAAACTGTGTGATTCCTTCTCCATCCTTTGTTATCATCCGTCTCTCTTGGTTTAGTCTTCCCATGTTAGGTGTTTTTCTATCTTACCACTGACTATGATGTTCTGTGGTTTCCCTCACTGTTGAAAGTAATTTTGTGCCTTACAGAAAACAATACCAAATACTCCGATGGTGAAATAAAGTACAATATGGCCAGCTATGCCAAGGTCTGTACCGCCAGGTAATTGAGGGGTGGATAAATTTTAATGCTATCCACTGGATAAGTCACTATGTGGTGGATAGCACTGTACATTTTGTCACACTTGTCCGTTGGATGGTGATTTATCTGGATAGCGCTATCCACCCTTCAAACTAAAGGGCCCAGGCTAACGCAGTTGCTTTGGTCACAGCCAGATTAACTTTTTGTAAAGCACCTTGTTACTGAAGATCAGCGAAGAGTTGAAACTGAATCTTGTACAACTTAAAACACAAACAAAAGCAACTTAACCCTTTGACCCCTGAGAGAGACTGACCTCTAGATTCTCCTTACAATATCAACCCCAAATCACTTGTTAAGGTCACGAGAATAAAAGAAATGATCAGCAACCAAAGAATCTCTTGATTGTTAAACAATTTCTTTTTGGTGGCGCTTTAGGAAATGTATAAAGAACAGTAAGGAGAATATGTAAACTGATGTTACAAGTGAAAAGGGTTAACACACAAGCAAAAGACGTTACCTTAATATGGTGAGATCAGTGAACCAATCTTGTACAACTAAAATCACATGACATACTGTTAAGAGGAAAGTGACAATTTGCAGTGACTGAAAAAAAGAAAAGGAAAAATGAGAAAAGGTCAACAAAGGTCATGTCAAGATGAACACAAGGGTGCCAAGATTAAAATGAGGGTGATTAAGTCGTGATTGGTTTCAGTTTTACATCTTATTGGTTGAGAGAGAGATGCGAGTTTTTGGTCCAATCACAGAGTGATGAAAATTAGAATTATCCAGCACTGCATTTAGAAGATCCAAGGATACAAAAAGTCTGAAATTGAATTGGGCACTTTTACTAATATAAGCAACAAGAATTAAATCTCATTTCTAAATGGTAAAAGAGGCATTTATGCATAATTAAAAAATTCATGATACGAGAGGGCAAATTTCTAATGAAACTGAGGTGCTGCGTCAGAGGAGATGAAAGGGAGGGGGGAGGAGGTATTACAAGACAATTTGGGTTATCACCTGACCTGAGTTGATACTGTGAATTGGTGGTCTCCATAGAGTGATTCGAAAACAAAAAGCTTATAAACTATTTTCATAAAACTAAATTATCTAGTAATCAAAAATTTGTATACCACATCCAGACTTCATTTAGGAGGTAAACTGAGCCACAAAAGTCAATAGAAAATCTATGAAATATTTGTGGGTTCCTGCTCAAACCCTCCAAAAATGTTTTTTCTAACATTTCAACAGAAGCATCGGTGCTCTCATTAATTTTAGGGAATTATTGTAAGATATCAAATCCTGAAAAAAGCAATATAATTTATGAGCTTCTGAATATGAAGCATTCCAAACAATCTGAAAGAAGAATTTGTAAATTAAAGACTATAAATTAAAAGTTTTCTACTGTAATCATGAAATTTATCTGTACCTGAATTTCATTGTAGTTCTCTGGAGAAGTATACTCTGGAGGAATGTTACGATCATGATGGATCAAACGGTCGAGCAAGGCTGCACTTAACAAAGGCTACATTTATCAACAAGGAAAAAAAATGAAGACAACATCAGAAAAAAATATCCATGATAAATACGCTTTCATGGGAAGAAACAAGCCCACAATAAAAAACAACCCCATACACCTAATTTGATGGTTTAAATTAAATGCACTTTTCCAAGCCTTGCAGGACACGGAAAAAGTGAGCAAAGAGCAAAATTTCTGCTTGTATATAGAGGATATTACATGGTGACAAGAATATAATTATGTATTTCATGTTCAAGTGGTAAGAACAATGTCTTACTCATTGTCTGCACTCACTCATAAGATATTGTTCTGTTTTAAGGCATACGGTAATAGTATTTTAGGTATATTCCCCAAATAAAGCCTCATTCATATATGAGGGCTGTGCCTTTTAGGAGAATTTCTCTCATATGTTGCCATTCCCATGAAAACCTACCAGTAATTTTTCTTCAGTATCCCTTCTAAACCTGGCTATCATTTTAAAATTAACATTGTCTTTCACCTATGAAGATTCCATTGGTAGGATTGGGAGGGGACTGATTGGTTGTATCATCTTGGTTAGTGAGCTTGGTTTATTGAAAAAGTATTAACTGTTAATACAATCAAGATTAAATGACAGCACCTGAGTATCCAAAAGAATGACTCTTTCTTGTGTAACAGCCAAATCAATACCAGTACTTTGATTGGTTCCATCCTCCTACACAACACCCAGGCAATCAGTGACTAATCAATTATTTATAAATGTGAAAGAACAAACCAAAAACACTCAACAAATGTGCCACAAAGTTAAAGGAATTAAAAGTAAGGTTAGGGGACAAGTGATCCAAAAGTTTTGGAAATTATGCAATAAAACTCTCAGCTAAAGAAATAAAATGGATGGTTAGGGTGCCAGAACCTCCTTCTCTATTCTTTACAGTTTGATTTTAAAATATGACTATCCCCTGTGTGGGATACTTTTTTGATCATGAGTTGCTCCCTCCCAACCCAAGCCTATATCATTTTGTAAGCTTTCCCTTACAGGTTACGAGAACCCTATTTTACCTCTGAGGTGAAGGTAACTTTGAGAGGGTAGAGTGTCTTTACCAAGAACATACAGACCCAGCCTGATTTCAAACCCGAACCTCTCCATTCACAGTCTAACCCATTAACCACAAGGTTACTGTGTCTGACACAAGCTTTGCTTACATTTATCAATATGATATTGATTCAGCACTTTAGAGAACCTTCAACTGACCTGAACCTGTCTTGACTGCACAGGAAATAAGCAAGACCTAAAAACGTTTTGAGAGAGAAAGAAGTTACTTATAAAAATTGATTTCAATCATTGATCACAGTTACAAATTATTAATAATGTCCTTGCTCAAGCTCTGTGAGTGTCACCATGAAGGTAATCAAGAAAATTTCCCTTGTGAGGTAGATCACTACAGTTCAACCCCATACTGCTCATGATCAGCCAAGAAAGTGGAAATATTTTTAGATCACCTGCTGGCAATGCTCTCATCAAAAGTGAAAACCAGGCAATCCCAGCCACAGTATTTTGCACTTCTCAGGTTACACTTGACAAGTCTTATTAGAGACTAGTATATACCACACACGTGAACATTGCTGTTTGCAAGTGCTGATTGGCTAGTTTGTAAGTGATTAGCAAGTTTTATTCACTTCCAAGCAGCTGAAGAGACAAAACTGACATAAATCAACTAATTTTCAATTTCTGTGTAGTTAAAAACTAAAACCATTATTCCAATCAGTGTTGGTGAAAGTGGCAAACATCTACCTCCCTGCTTCACAGCTCAATAAATATCCATCTCAATTCACCTTCACTTTGGTGAATAACTTTTAACTAGTTCTCATAGGTCCAAACATCCACAAAATTATAAGTGATTACATCACAACAGAAAAAGGAACGAGTCATCTCTTGCACGGAAACAGCTGCTATGAAAGTTCACTGGAGCAAATCAATGAAAGTATCTACAGGAAAACAACTTGGTGGCCAAAAAAGCTGGTTATTCATTGTTTTTGTAGACCAACATGAATGTCATGATGTCAATTGAAAACAATGTGTTGAAATAATTTTTTCACTGACAGAGATACAACAATTCAGTTAACTTTAACAAAACAGTGAAGCTGAAGAATCACAAACCTGGAGCCAGTAAAAGGCCCAGCTCCTCCCAGAACAGAGAGAAGAGTTGATTTGCCAACACCTTGTGGACCAATGACCCCCACAACCAAGAAATCTGTTTGATCAAGAAGCATCTAAAAAATGACAAATAAGTGAGTGTTAAAGAGTGATTGAAAAACTATCTATTAAGTTAGTAAGCATTTCTAAAAACAGTACTTCCAACAAATTTGTTCCCACATGAATCATTTTCACTATTTCTTAGATAAGAGCTTCATTCAATACTTTTGAAGTTTCCAGAATTTTTGTGACAAGTGCAAACCTTGATCACAACTGAATTTTCATCTGTCAAAACTCCATCCGACTGGGGGATTAAAAAAGGTATTACAAGAGATAATTTTTGCATTTTTACATTAAAATATGTTACATTTACAACAGGAAAAAGCATCACAACTGAGTATATTGGATAAAATTCTCTGTCATAGTCCATAGATTTACCTCTAAAGCAGCATCATTCCACTGAAGATTCTCATCCAGCAGTTTCAATACTTGTGGTGCTCCATCATGACTGTGTAGACCAAGTTTGAGAGAGGCCATGTTGGTTGCAAGTGCATCAACACTTGCACTTGTTCCTGAGGAAACAAAACAATTCACTAGATTGCTACCAACAAAATTAGTATAGGTAATAACATGCTTTCAGTGCAATTTGGTGTTAACAAGCACGGGTAAATTTTTCAAAGACAACAAAATTGCACAAGCCTGGAGAGTGAGTGCAATTTGTTGTCTTAGAAAAATTTACAAGTGCTTATTACATCAAATTGCATGAGAAATCATGTTGTTACTTTTCAATAATTTACATGAAAAAGCATCACAGAAAGTCAAATCAGACGAAATTTTGACAGCACGTGTGCAATTTGTAATTTACAATTTATTGTGTTACAACTTTGCACTCATGTTACATTAGAATGCACTCCTTTTCAGCTAATCAGATGCATATAACTTTTTCATGTACATGAACATTATACACAGAAAAGTAAAAATGTCCAAATTTAGAGGAACATCCCACACCTAGGCAATACACTTATTTTACCTGATACTGGCCCTCCTGTTGCACCACCCATACTGAGTGCTGTTGCAGTGCTTGTAGATCTCTCAGTTCCTTGGCCAGCTGAATGATCAGACAAAATAGTCTTTCCACGTGATGTGGCTGGCTGAGGGGCACTGGAACTTACTGAAGCCTCTGGTAACTGTTCCCTTTAGGATATGTAAGGTAAAGGTGACTATTTTTAGAGGAAGACATCTTCAGAAGAATAATTTATAGAAAGTCAAATAACAGACAATTTAACCCCTCCTTATAATATCTCAAACCTCTTAGCAGCCAATGAGCTATATCAGTTTCAGTGACGGAAACAAAAACAACTTGCATACCTACTGCAGCTCATAAATAGTGAATATTTATACCAGACCAATCTCTCACCTGTAAACCAATTTAATCTCTGGTAACTGAAACTGTTACTATTGATCCGCCTCAGGCACACAATTACTGCTCTGTAAATTTTTTACTTGAAGTAAACCTTTCCTTCCACTCCCTCTCACGCAAGGCTAATACTCAAAATGTCACCATTAGAAACTCCTACCTTAACCAAGTTATATTTAAACTCAGTTGACAAAACAAAACTTATCATTCTCAATTTTTAAGTGACTTATGAATCTTTGGCTAAATATCCAAATAATTTCACGCTCAAAAAGTAAGTTTTGGTCATGAATATTTTCATCACAGTTGACAGAGATTAATGACTTCATGTGTCAATACATGAATTAAAAAATTTGATAGAAGTACTTTGTTTCTATTGAACATGGACAACTCTATTACCTTGGTTTTATCAAAATTTGCTTCACTGGCGTTTCTTGTCCCTAAAAATGTAACAGTTATAATATAATATTCATTACTTTATTCCATGTATGCCACTTCAAATTAAATCCACGAGTAATTTCAACATTCAAGCAGTATAAACATTATGAGAGTGCCATAAATATGACTACCATGAAATAAAGGGTGCTGTAGCTGAGTGATAAAAGGCAAAGACTGTACTCCAGCCTATTGGCCCACCCAACCACAACTTATCACCGTTTCCTTAGCACAAAGCAACCAGGAATAAATTTAACATTCTCCACTGGATGGGATGCTAGTCCAACACAAGGTCTCCTCCCATGTCAAAAGACCTTGACCAGACAAAGGTGGTCAAAGAGCACATTGAGCATGTTGACAGCATTGTTGGTTCTTTCATAACAGTGCTATTTCCATGATGGGGAAACTTTTGACATTGTTAGCCTCAGAAACCTAAAAGACCTATAGCATTGTAACCTGTGTTGTGATTTATTACAAAAAGGGTAGCAGTGGATACAATTTCCTCCACAGAGAAAAAAATTAAAGAAGGAAGAGTTCATTTATTTATCAATATTGTAAAGGCTATAATTTGTCCATCAGTTAATAAAGGTGGTGAACTAGAGCAACTTGGATTTAACCAGGCAGGATACATATGAAAATTTTTATTGTGGCAGGACAACAGAATGGAATGGAAAATAGAAGCTGGATGCAAAATTGGAAAAGTCTATTTTGGACCCTCCATTTACAGGTAGGTCAAAGATTCAATTCTCATTGTGTAATGAAGAAAGAAGTAATAGCCTTTGCTTCATATGTTTGTCTCAGCATGGTAAATATCCCACTCATACCTAAATAGCATAATATTTGTGCACCCCTATAGTGCAATTAAATAACAAACAATTATAACAATGTAGTATAAGTAAAGTGAAATTTTGACCCTGACCCTGTCTGCAGAAGGTTTGGTGAGTATGATGGGTGTCTTCATGGGTGGTACTGTGGGGGATGCAGCATGTGCTCCCATGGGACCATCTCCTTTACCCTGAAGAAAAAAAACCATGATGCTGAATAAAAAACGATAGGTGGACTAGCTAGATGATATAAAATTCCATAAATTTACTCCCTTATTCTATGACTTGAAGGCCATCATCTATAGCATTTCCTGTGTTACAAAAAAAGGGGGAAAAAGGGAACTATCTAAAGTTTATAAAAAAAAAGATCTAAAGTGTGTATCCCGACAATTTTTTTTCAAAAGCTGCCAATTCATTTTGTGAATGTGCAAAAATTATCTTAACCAAATGATACCTTCAGTCACAACATTTTTTAGAATATAAAGATACATCTAAGTAACTAAGCTGCTTTTTGTATGAATGAACTTCCAAATATACGAAGACGCTTCCGCCTATAATGTTTTCAAAAGCTCAGTAACTTAAAACTGTTAGCCCATATATTAGCGGATTATAAGTTTACTTATCTCCAACAAGCGGTTACAGGTCGCAGTAAAAAGGTGGGGAAATTTGAAAATAACATTCCTTACCCTTGAAGGCCGTTCTCTAAAGCCTCTCTCTCTTCTACGACCGCCTCGTCCTCGACGAAATCCTCTGTCTTGATCCTCCATTTTGGATATCAGATTGGTATGTCATGTAAGACCCAGCGAAATCAATCTTTCTTCCGTTGCATGATGGGAGTGCAATACTAACATCACGTCAGATTCCTGAGTCGAACAAGATATCGTTCATATTTACAGCTTGAGGATGGATTTGAGGAAAGTTCCTGATGAAGAGAAAGTCAACTTATGCAGAAAATATATCATACCTATATTCCTTTTTATCTATGGTCACAGCATGTAGTTCTACGCTGGTTTATGTGGTCAATTTTAGCAGATAGGATTTGTGAATTGATAAGCTTAGACGTTTGATCTCAATCACTCCATGCTACTGTTAATGTCTGTAGGACGTATTACTTGTTAGTCCTGCTTTGGTACTTTAGCTGTGGGTTTGAATTATAGCGTTTACTGTTATTTCTTTTTTCTTGTAATGTGATGTGATTTTGGAAGTATTTTCACAGTGTTGAACAAGGTAACTCCAAAGACTTAGTACTCCAAATATTATAGAAAATTGCACTTACTACAGCAAGGCGACACACAACGCCATACCAGAATTTGACTATGTAGACTTATCGAATGAGTTGTAATTTTTCTTTGTGTTATATTCTTTTTCGCTTGTTTCTATTTTCCTTGATTCACGTCAACACATTTCTTAGGAGGATTCGCTCTGCTGCCATTTCTTTGGTTTATCAATGTAGTGTGGTTCTTTAGGGAGGCGTTCATCAAACCAACCTTCACTGGACAATCAAAGCTGAAATCTTGTAAGTTTACAACAACATTAATCTAATGCCACCTGTCAAGGAGGGAACTTACTCTCAGAACACAATAGCAACACCCATTCTTGCTGGATTTTATATTTCAAAAGTGGCAGAGGTTCGAGTTCTCACAGGTTTTTTTTTTTATCGCTAGTAATTATCTTCTAGCAATATTCCTGTATCAATACCTCTTACTTCTGGAATTCTTGGTCCCTACTGTCAGTTAATGACCAAGTTTTTTGTGCTGTAATTTGTGGTCAAACCATGGAGTGTGCAGGCCATAAATCCTAGCAGAAAAAGCAAGGTTCTGTGATATACAGTAGGAAAAGAGAAAACAAGGTTATTGCAATATATATTATATCTCTGACTTTTAAATAGAGGGAAAAGATATCAGTTTAAACTACCTTTTAAATTTAAGGGGCTGTGCAAGGAAATACAGCCTGCTAAATTGATCAATCATAGCACACATACCAACTGAGAGATACAATGACCTGTGTTATTTTTGACAAGTCCTATTGTCCAGATTTAGGGAATGTTTATTTGGTATAGGCCTCAACCAATCTCATGTCAGTTTACTCAATAGTCTGAGACAGAAAGATACAGCATCATGGCAACCATTTATACTGATCAGGGCTGTGTTTGAGTGAACTCGGGATGCCACATGGGACCAACTTTTATCTTTGGACAACTCTTACAACTGTGCATTTAAGAGACTAGACCTCTGAGACAAGAGTCCTCAAACACCCAGTGGTTGAACTAAAGCCAATGAATTGCTAAATTGCATGTAGCATACCAAAGTAAAATACAAACAACATAGTTCAATTTTGATGAAAATGTTGAGGATGTGAATATAACAACAGTTTGGTATATCTTTCTTTCAGATGTTATTAAATCAGCAGTAGGATTTCTTATATGGTTCGCTGGTTTGACGGCATGGATTATCATTTATCAGAAATATAGAGCAAGCTGGGGAGAGTTTGGAGACAAAATTTCATTTGTCATACCACTTGGAGAACCATAAAGCAGATCAACATTGCAATTTTGTTTACATTTTGTATATCTGCAGCCGTAGAAGCATGAAACATAGTTTAAAATCTTCATTTCAAGGGAATATTACTGTTTTTATCTCAGAGTCAGAGGTATTCAATCAGTCTCCAATCCTCTGTTCCCACTCTTCACATTCCTTGCAATGCCTCCTGCTCTTCCCTTCTTTGCCCTTGCTTCTTGTTCCTCCTTTGATAGAGTTTGGGAGATAGCAATCAAATACTACATCACTCTTGCACATTGATCAGAAAAGTGACAGTAACAAATGCTCTGAACTTGTCACAGTATTCACCAAACATCTGCAGCAGAGGCATTGGCCATCCTATTGTTCATAATACACTGCTCATTCTGGCTGATAGGGGGCTGGCTCTGATGAACATTTTCCATGCTGCAGGATTAAGAGCCTAGAAAAGTACCTCCCTTAATGATCAAAGACCTTAGATTTCAAGATGGAAACAGCAGTATTCTTAATTAGGGTGGGAAAACAAATATTTCAAGCTATGTTTCATGCTTCTACCTAAAATGTTTTGTGAAAATGAAAAAGAAGCCCTTTCTGAGAGAGTGCCTCCTGACTCTATGGCAGCTACAAATGGACCAATTAAAGCACAAATTAATGCAGAAGTTGTAGAATATTACACATTTGGACAATGTAAATATTTGTTGCAAAGCCCAAAGTTTTTTTATTAAACAGTTAATGAGTTGTCAACTGTGTGCTCTATGGATTTTTTTTAATTTTCTTCCACATTCATGGCAAGTGTGTTATTAGCTTTTCTCATTCATGCTTTTGACTGGTTTTATGCTTCTTTTCTTAGAATTCATTTTCGTGACCTGGAACATACGGAAAAAACTGATTTTCTAAGGTTTTTGGAAATTAAGGAAAGGTGTAGATCACAACTTTGCATCCCTCAAACCCTGTAATTTGTGGTGTGGTGTTGCAGAAAGCATGCATACTTCTCACACTAACAATTTTTTTAACTTTTTTTTAATTTCAATAATTTCCCACCCTTCCCTTTCAAATCTCTGACTTTGATTTGACAAAAGCTCCCTAGCACAACTCAGTAGTTGTTCCTTTTCAATTTTATTTCATGATCAGCAAAAGATTTGACCAATGAATTTGTGATGGCAAATGATTGATTGATTGATTGACTGGCTCACAACAGCCCTCCTCCTCTTAGGTAGATTCTTGCTACAAGAACTACCATCAACATTTTATTGAGGGACACACCATACTTAACACAAAAGTTACCATAAAACAGTCCTGGATTGGATCCACCCCAACAAACCATACTTTTTGATCCTAGTTCACCAAAATACTTGGCGAAGGTAATGACCAGTGTGAGGCAAGTCTATGTGCTTGCTCAAGTAAAAATGAAGCAAATGTAGAATTACTATTTCATGTGCACAAAAAGCTTTTACTTTTGTTTAGGGGACTGTGTCTACATATAACAGCCCTGATATTTTCATGTTAAACAATGGTAAATACAATTGATTGCCTGTGGGACTACTGCTCTGTTTTAAAATAGAGTAGGATTGTACGGAAATATTTCCCAGTTTGGCACCAGGTGGTTTTGCAGCCGACCAGTTAACCTTTCAACGAGCCTGATTCTTTCTCTCTCTGGGAGGGCAGGAAAGTGAGGGTGACAGGGACGAGAAAGACTTGGGGCGAGAGAAAACTGCGCGCTGGAACAAGGCTCGCCAACAATCTTGGGTAATTGAGAAAACCAGCATGGCGGAGTATTTGGCCTCGATCTTTGGAACAGAAAAGGACAAGTAAGGAAATTATGAGCGATCTTTCATATATTTTTGAGCTTTTCTAGATAAATTTTGTCTTTTAGAAACTAACTTTTGCTTAGTTGTGTTAAAATTACTTTGTTGTTTCTTAGAAAATGTGCAACACCGCAGAGTAAAATGTGTGCTATCTGACTTTTCGAATTCTTTTCATCCAATCGACTTATATCATCTTTACGCGAAGATTCTGAAGTGAATTTTCAGCCTTACGCAGTTCTCTTACCAAGTTGTATCCCTAAGAAAGACTAAAAGACTGTAAATTAAGATTTAAACGTGGAAATGTTTGGTAAATTAAAACTTAGCTTAGATATCGGCACGGTACAAATGATGGGTTCAAGTGATCGTGATAATTGATAGTGATCTACGACGTACTGCATATATTTTCAAGGAGATTGTATTTATTTTCTCGTAGCATTGGTTATCATGGAAAGATTTTCGTATAACCCCATACTGTTTTAAAATAAAGCCATAGTCTCAAAGGCAAGAACTGTCTGTATAATCAAGTGAGAGGCTGTGCGGCAATCTTGCCAAATTTAGATCTCCTAGCATTCTCAAGTTTTTATTTTGATTGGATTGTTGATTTTCTCTTCAGAGTAAATTGTTCTTTCTACTTCAAAATTGGTGCATGTCGCCATGGAGAACGCTGTTCAAGGCTCCACAACAAACCAACATTCAGTCAGGTGAGCTGTTAATTCCATTGTTTGCCATCTGTTTCTTAGTCTGCCCATGATTGTTTTCATAGGGGTGAAAAGTAGTCACACACTATCTTAGTAAACCTTCATTGTAAGTGACAGTTTATGTAGTTGTTGCATTTATAACACTGGGGACATGCCTCTGCAAGACTCGTTTCTCATTCAAATTTCATAAATTTGCTATTCCAAGTGCCAAAAGTTATATTTTAAAGCTCTGTCTACTATTCTAACATGAATAACTAATTTTCTGAATCAACTGATATTTTTACTGGTCATGGAACATGCATCCTCTCCTATTAATGACTTTTTAAACCACAAACACTTACCGTTTGACTTGTGAAGCCAACCACAGAGTCAGTTGTAAAAATCACAGTTCACTAATATAGAGGAGAGCAAGAAGTTTAAATGACTCAAACTGAAGACATTTTCTTGTTTTATAACTTATTCTATGCCTTACTAACTATCTTGTTCATGTTAACTGTTCCTTCTCCTCCAGACCATTTTACTTCAAAACATGTATCAGAATCCACAGAGTGCAGCTCAGGTTGCTGATGGGACAAGTGAGTTCATATTGAAGCAATAAAATGCTTTTTAAGTTATTCCTTTAAATTTAAGTTTCACCACGGTGTACTTTTAACAATGTTTTGGTTTGCAGAATATGGAATTCATCTTGCATGACTTCTCTGGAAAGCAAACCTTCACTTTGTCTCATTATTGCAGGTAGTGCCATTTCTGATGT